CTACCAAGTGCAACAGCAACTATTTACAACAAAGAAGGGTTTCTGCGATTTTGTTGTTTGTGGCTTCACTGAAACTGCAACTGCTTTTATTCATGAAAGAATTATGCCTGATGAATGCCATTTGAACCATGTTTTACCAAAGTTATCCCAATTTTGGCAATACTGTATCCTGCCAGAAATCTTAGGTAGATGGTATACAAGGAGATCACATTTGTTGAAGGCAGTGGAGGGCTGCAAATCATTTTGCTTCTGCAGGGTTGAAACAGAAGAATTTACCATAAAATGCCACAAGGAAAAATGTCCCATATCTTTGTACCACCCATCCTGCTTGAAGATATCTAAGTTTCCTAAGAATTGGCTCTGCCCTCATTGTCAAAGGCTCCCTGAATTGAAAAAAAATCAGGGAAAGAGAGCAGGAAGAGAGATCATGCAATGCATGAAGCACTAAATTTGAATACAATTTGCATCTGTCAAACAAAGGCAAATGAGGTTGATAAGATAATCGAATGCCAAGCTAAAGAATGCAAAAGTGGAAAATTCTTTCACCTAACTTGCCTAGGATATAAAAGAAGACCAAATAACAGCATGAAATCTTGGATATGCAGTTATTGCAAAGCAAATGGAACAATTGATTAAGCAACTACTTCCAAACAAGATGAGCCTTTGCATTACATAGATAGATTCTGACATTGAAATCACCAGTGGCTGAAAAGAAATCAGAAACATTTGCCCCTCTAAGAGCACTCAATGGCAGGCACTACATTAAATTATGTCAACAGATGATTGGTTTGATTGTGACATAACTATAAGATTTAAGTCAATTTAAGAACCGTAAATCCAAATGTTGAAGGATTGGACCATAAAGAAACATTGGATGTTGTTTCTGGCGGATTTCCACAAATATTTAAATGTTGTTCATTTTTAATCTATATTTCTAGCTTTACTAACAAGTTCTTTATAATAACTCCCATTTTACTACTTTATAGATTTTCTCACAGATACTGGTGTTACACACAGTATTTTTTTATAAGGTGTTAATAGGAGATTGGGGGTTACATTGTTGAAAAAGTAAAAAAAACCTAATTGTTTTACTACTTTCTAGTCAAACTACTACTACTTTTTAGATACTTTCTAGTCAAAAGGAATTACAGAGGGGCATAAATTAGTTAGGGATGCACAAACTCGAATAATTCTGTCAATAGTAGGGCAAGTGTTTCCTTTCGATGTAGTCAAGTAGTCAATAGGTAACGTTCCTTGAAGCATTGTGTACTTTTGGCGCAAAAGTCCAATAACTCTCTCAACATGATTTCTCACATTGGCAATTCCTCTTGTTTTTTCCACATCTACTGGGTCCAATTGGTCTTTTCCTTTTGTAAAGGCAGGTATTGCAAGCTTAGCTTGATACAGCCCAACACTTTCTTCTATTGTAAAGCCCCTGTCTGCCAATACCAAATCTCCAGGTTTCAACAGTTTCAAAATACCACAGTTGTCAGTTAGGTATTTGTCTGATGTACGTCTTCCCCATGCCTCGAAGCTGATTGAACCCTGAGGAGTTATACCAATAAGAACCTTAATGGTATTGTGATGTTTATAGTTTGAAAATGTTTGAGCTCTGGCCAATAAATTTGAAGGCCTTTCAATGAATACCTCAAAACAATCTATGATCACTGTTGTTTTCTTTCCAAATGCATATTGAAAACATTGTGGCATAGTATTCCATAGATCTTCTCTTTCCGGCCAAGATATGAGGAAACTTAGTCTGTTATCAAGGTTGATCATCCAAGCTGAAAAGATTCTGGAAACTGTGGATAGTGAAGCCCCAAATCTGTACACAAGGTCCTGAAGTGGCACATTAAGCCTTAATTTCATTAGAACCAAAACAAATTCTTGAAATGAAGACAGAAGTGATTTATTTTTGACACTGGGTTTAAGATATTTAAAGGCTGCCTTTAGAATTTCAAAGCTTGGCATTCCAGTATAAAATTTCACCTTTGAATCATCGCCCTTAAAATAGGACTCATCAAGGAGTTTCTCTTTTGGAGTATTAGCAGTTAGAAAATCAAATTCATTGGTGTCAGTCGCTTTGTCGGACATTCCAGGCTCCTCAATATCATTATTTATAGGGTCATCCACACCGCTGCTGGGTAAATCCTTGCTTTCTTCGTCAAATCCCGAGTTGAAAATCTCTTTGGCCGTCAATCCTGGTTCTGTGAAATGCCTCATTTCCTCCTTCCTCTTATTTCAAGTATTTCCATTGCACGCTTATGTCTTCCAGCCACCCTTTCCGCTCTCTTAGCTATGGATTCGACTTGGCAACTGCTTTTACGCTTCGAGTGTCCAAGGTTTAATGTTGGTACCCAGTCAACATTATGCTTGTCCCAGTCTTTAGCAGCCGCTCCCGAGACGAAATGATGCCCACAAACACGGTCATTTGCCAATTTTTTGTCTGTCAAGTCTTCCCGGCTAATTGCTGCTATCCATTTTCGTCTGCGCTCTGTACTTAATAATTCAGTTTGCTCTCCTTGATGAGTAATTATTGCTGGGACCCGGAAAAATGTTAGGCCGTTCTGATCTTTGCCTTGTTTCTCGCTGCTCTTTCTTCCAGTTTTTTCTCCGCAGGCGACAATCAGACACAAAACCATGATTAGAATAATTATTTCACACAAAAATTAGACAAATACCCGAATGATTCCCTAAAATATCTCGTCAACTTAGTACCCAAGGAGGGAATATTAATTGACAACGTAGTGATTCTACGCTGCAAGGTTTTATTATGGAACACCGACATGGCGGATAACAACGGTTGCTATGCATATTTGTCACGTGATGAAAACGCTCTATACAAGGCCATTTATGAGCAAGTCTCACAAAGGTTTCAAAGCTGCGAGACTGTCCGATAAAAAGTTGCCAACTCATGTTTCAAATCTCGCAAAGTTGTAGTGTTGTAGTCCTTCAAACAGGGGTCTGATGAGCGTGAAAATCCAATTTTGCAGTGCGTGAATGCGTGAAAAGTCAAAAAATCGTGCGTGAAGGACATATATATAAATGACATTTATAAATCTTCTCAAATTCTTCAGTTTCGACTATTTGCAGATGACACCAGTATTTTATTGGCTAACAAAAATCTTGATATCCTAGAACAAACCACCAATTCGGAGTTACAAAGGGTATCTGTGTGGTTATTGGCTAATACGCTATCGCTAAATGCATCTAAATCGAACTTCTTGCTGATAAGCTCTCGTAAAACTGATAGAAACATAAAATTAAAAATTAATAACAGAGATCTCAAACAAGAAAATTACACTAAATATCTTGGAGTAATAATTGATAATAAGCCCACCTGGAAATTGCATATAAAGCAAATAAATTTAAAATTATCAAAAGGAATCGGAGTGCTATATAAATTAAGACATCTGGTACCAAAACAACCTCTTAAGACTTTATACTCCTCATTCATTCAATCACATGTACTATATGGTACATTAAATTGGGGTTGTGCTAATAAAACTATCCTGGAACCTTTAAAACGTAACTTACGAAAAGCAGTTAGAGTAATCGACTTTGCAAACTACACTGCACATAGTGAACCTATATTCAAACGCCTTAAAATATTTAACTTTGATAAACTTTACCTGCTTGAGACAGCAAAAATGATATATCAAATTAGCTCTGACAAAGCTTCTCTTGAAGGCGAGTTTGTAAAAACAAAAAATGTACACAATTATAATACACGGCAATCTTCTTCTGAAGGTTTTTCTCTTCCATCCATCTCTACAAACTTTAAAAAAAACTTTCTCACTTTCGATGGTATTAAATTTTGGAACTCCCTACCTATAGAGTTAAAAAAAATGGATAATAAACACCACTTTGTGAAACAGATGAAATATTTTCTTACGAACAAATTTTGACATCTGTAGGCTTGATTACTTTATGATTTTTTTATAATTGCACTTAGCTGTTATTACAATATTACACATAGTCTTATTTTTATTTCGTTCTACTTTATTTTATTCTTGTTATATCTTACTGTTATTATTCAAACTTAAAATCGTCATTATAAACACGTCAATTTGGATACATGGCTCGATAGCTTGCCCAAAGTTCTTTCCATGTGTCCATCAGCCTAAAATTGTTTAATTCTCATTGCTGTTCTATAAAATATTGCGATTGACCATTCATTGTTATTTAGCCATATTAACTTGGATATTTTATATTTAGTATAATTATGTTAACCGGTATATTGTAATTAATCAATTTTATGTTGAAAAAAAAAATATTTTGAGTTTGAGTTTGAGTTTGAATGCGTGAATCACAACCACTATGAGGGGTAGGCCATTATATACTCATTGAATTAAAAAATACAAATTTAAAAAAACTGTACAAGATACACTTGAAATTTATCAAAATGTATAACTAAAATTATTACTGATTTACCTTAAGCCTTAGGGCACTGGGCTCGAAAATCATTTATGATTTCAATCTCAGTGTCCTAGACAACATCCTATCAAATTAGAGTCACGTCGCCCCTTATGGAACGATTTCAGTAAAAATTATTTCCTCAGCTTTTTGGTACTTCCTAATAAAATAAAAGTACTACAAGCACATTCTTTGCTGTATAATCTACATGCTTGTGTAAAGACAGTCTTATCGGTTTTTCTCTCTTTCTGCACGAGCAACATTACTACAGGCTACTTTTCTTCGTGAAAAACTTAGGCCATCGCCCCTTTTGGAACGACTCAAATTTAGGCATGCAGAAAAGCGCACAATGGAGAAAAACCGGGAATTATTTTCTGCCTTCTTTCCTTCTACCTTTATCATTCGTCAGTATCAAATCAGACTTTCGTTGAGCCATTTTTTGCAAATTCAGAGTAAAGAAGGAATAAAGCTATCCCCAAGTTTGGTTTTCTTACTTGAATGAGACTTTATCACGTGTCACACGTTCAGCCACTCATGAATTGTTGAGAATCACAACAGGAAGCCCGCCGTTCCATCGAAGAAGCCACTAGGCCAATGAAAGTGCTCCTGATAAAAAATCCCGGTGAATGAAAATTGTGCAAGCTATTGTTTGGATTCCAACGAATATTCGTTTAAGGGAGATGAAGAAACACGTTGTGGGGGTTGGTTTTGTTTTAGCTAAAAAACCGACCGAGGGAATGACCAAGAAAGTTGAGGTGCAGCAAAAAAATAGGGTTGAAGGTCTAATGACAACTTTTTCGTTTACATTTCGCTTACTTTTAAAATATTCTCTTAGCTTTTAAAAACAAAATGAAACAACGATAATTAGCAAAGAGTTCAACTAATGTCGTCAGCAAAATAATTTCGCGCGTTTTTTGAAGATAAACAAACCTAAACTCCTTCATATTTATTTTTATCATTGCACAGTCAGAATTCATGATAAAATCGAATCGTTCCAGAAGGGGCGACGTGACTCTATATTATTCAAAATTACTGTTGTGATGAAAATTCCTTGTAAATCTCATTCTTGTTACGCATATATACAGTTTTTATATTGTAGGTAATAGTTGTTGTTGAATGAACTGAATGAGTTGAGTTGCGACACAACACTTGACCTAAAATGGCAGCGACGGCAAAACCTGTTCTATTCAATTATGAAAGACTGACGATCCTGAGGATTTGCACGCATACCACCTTCCAGTTTCACTTTTATAACATTATATCAAGTTTATTCTTGGAACCGATTTTTAAATATCACAAATCGCAGACAAAGTTTTATCATTGATTTATATAGGCCTGACCATTCAGACGATTTGCTTTGACGATTCGTACGCACACTACCCTCCAGTTTTTCTTTATTAACTTTTGACTAATCAAGTCTGTAGAAATGATTTCATTTTGAAACATCACAAATACCATAGATTTGCTGTTTTTTTCATATTTTCATAAATAGATGGTAATATGGAAGTCTTTTACAAAAATGTGCGTTTTGTGAAAACAGCTTTCCTTTAATAACTCAGAAAAATGATGAAAATATTATTTGAAATGTAATCGATAGATCATGGTCTGCTACACTGTTTTAGCATAACTTGCAAGAGTTTAAAAGTGTTTCAAGAACATTTTCAGGGCCCTTAATGTTGGCAAAATCACAATTTTTCTGAAACTGCTCTTCAGCTTTCCTTTCAAAACTTCTTCAAATCTCGGTTCTATAGCCTAAACAATTTGTTACACTGTTTTTCATAGTCTGCAGTCTATCTTTGCACTTTTTTATATTTTTATTTTACGTCAAAAGTACCTTCTCCTTTTCCTCCCGTAGGCGCAGTATTATTTTTTCTAACAACTTTGCATAAAGTCCCTTGTAGAATGTATATGTTGATGTTCAGAAATTTCTTTCACATTTTCTTTGCAATTTTCATGGATTATAAGTGTTTCTCATCGAAGCTTTTCTAAAACGGTAATGTCTTAATATAAAGTAATTAGCCCATCAAGTTATATGAAAAATATATTTTATAGGTGTTTAGGTAATTGATTTCTTTGATTTGCAGACTAAACATATACTCTATCTAACTAAGGATGTCAGATTTGGCCAGAAAACAAAGTTTCAGTTGTACAACTTGCGCAGTCATAAAGTTGTAGTGCGATAACCAACAGTGGACTAGGTATAAAGCCTTTGGTGAAGTTTTAAAACTACATCTACATTTCATTCTATCTAGCACTTCAGATTACACCAGGAAACAATGTCCCAGTCCTATAAATTGCATGGTTACAAAGTCAAAGTGCAAGACCCAATATAGGACTGGGTACAAGTACCGTAGTCTAAAAAGTTCTTTTGTGGAATTTCGAAGCCGTTATTGCATCTCATTTTATTCAGCACATCAAATAACGCCTGGCAAAAGTTTCATTTTTATAACTTTGAAAGTGAAAACACTGTAGTGTTATACCTAAAAGAGGACTGGGTACCAGTACCCCAGTCGAAAAATAGCTGTTGAGGGCATTTTTTAAGGTTGATATGGATTCCATGTTATGTTGAAAGTTATGTCGAGTTTCGCAGAAATAGCGTAAAGAAATCACGAGCGTATACCTGACAACATAACAAAACTCAATAATGATTGCGAACACAACTTCAGCAAGCGAGACACTCAAAACTCATAACAGTCACACGATGTAGTTCACACGGGAACGCTATCGTTCCGTTCCATTTTTGTTCCAGTGTCTGGAACGGAAAGGTATACTGTTCACACGGTAACGGAACGATTGCGTATCGATTTTTGTTTATGTTCAGACGGGAACGCAATCGCTCCGTTCTGCCATTTGCGCGCCAAAATAAGCAAATGATTTTTAATGCGCATGTCCATAATAGAGATGGATTTCATCATTTCGATTTATCTCTGAGCTATCTCTGAATTCTTTAATCAATTTGAATAAATGGAGAATACAAAAGCGCCCCAAAATAAGCAAGCTCGTGGGAAAATGGAAGCCAACCCTAAAAGGAAGGAATTTCAAAGTGAGGTGAGGTGATGAAAGACTACCAGTCCATCCAAGCCCACAGTAACCTGGAATGGATGAAAGTACGTAGCAGGTACGAACAAATTGCCGCAAAGATGAATGTCTTTCCCACATGCTTCGCCGACCTCTCCGGTTTTTTCTAGCAAGAAGAAATGTTTGACCAGTCAAAACACCCCGTCTTTTTTTCCTTTTTATCATATTTAGAAGTAGATTCGTAGGACGCACAACCCAAAGATTGGGGGATAGGATAAAACAACATGTTCCTTCCAACATAAGAAACAAAACTGCCCCTCAAAAAGAACAGCCTCCTCGCTCTTGTAGGTCTAGAAACACTGTTAAAACAAATGATTCTTCCAGCGGTCAACATCTTTTAGACAACCCAGATTGTGCAAAACTCTATGATGACGACATGTTTCGGATAATTGGCAGAGCCCGGTCGTCCTTTCATCTAGCAGTTTTGGAATCGATCTACATACAAACGAAAAAGCTGCCATTGTGTAGACAGAAGGAGTTCGTTTTCTCTTCTCTCTTGGACCCCAGTGGTAATTTCTCTTTAGGCACGCGGCACTGATTGGTCAACAACACCGGTCTTGTGCTTGCGTTTTTCTGATTGGCCTTTTCGATCCACAACTGGGTATATATTTTTCATCGTGTTCTTTCGGACCTTTATTCTGACGTTTTATGCTCTGAGGAGTGTCAGACGAAAAAGCTCTCAGTTAATATGTTGTGAAATGTTTGCTTTTTTCAAAGCCATTTTATTTAGGTATATTTATATTATTTGTTTATTATTTGCATCGATTCAGTAAATAACTTTCTGTATCATTGCCTTGTCTGCATTTTGGATGTGTAAACATGGCATATGAAAATAATCGAGACAAAAAAGATACACATTTCTGTTTAAGAAGTAAAATTCTCTCAATAAATACAACAGCTTCTTGTTATTCACATCGATGTGCACTCTGAAGCAAAGGTCACACTTTGTTTCTTTCCTCCTTTTCCAAATTTTTCCAAAATATCAACAATCAATGCTTTTCTGAGAATCGTCGAATCTTCTATTCTGCGCGGTTTAGTAATTTGTTAAATTGTAGTCTAGAAGATGAATTTTCAGCCGTTCTAGAAGGCCCAAATTCAAAGCTTTTCTTTCACGTCGGACCCAACCATGGAGTCACTAAACTAGATTTGGTGGCGCCACCTCTGTTGCTGTGTCATTACTATTTATGATATTTTGCCCAACTGCCCCGCTTGCACCAATAGCAAAAAACAGTTTTTCTGGAAAGAATGGGTCCCTTTATGGTTATTTTTTCCCGGCCGTCCTCTAGGTGCCACAATGCCCCTGCTTAAAACCCTTTTGAACTTAACAATATAATTTTTGCTTCCAGAATTGTCCCTTCAGACATTGGGGTGCAGCCAAAAAGTCAGATTCTGTTTGTTCTGACTGGCAAAACAAACAGTGCACAAATGAATATTGTAATTCACGTCATCCAACATTTAAATTCAAAGGTTTGTAAAAAGAAAATAACATTTTTCAATAATGGCATTTTTAAAGTTTACTACTACCTTATATTTATTTACAATTTCCATCTGGCTATTTTTCAATTTTATCATCATTCTCCTGCTAAGAAATTTCAGCACTTTTATCATAGAGCCCAGACAGCAGCACCCTAGTTTTGGGCCTACAAACATACAGCCAAACAGGGCTACTCCATTTAGAATGACAGGTATGGTCGATCAGTTTTGAATAATAATTTGCATTAATATTTATATCAATGTTTTGTATTGGTATTTCAATCAATATTGGCATTGCACCTAAAAATTTTGTTAAGGCCATAAAACTTTCCGCAGCTTTTCACCTTTTCATTGTAATTTGATTTGTGTCTTGCCTTTTAGGGTATAGGAGCACAAGTGTGTCAACAATGAACTTGGTAGAACAGGGATTACAAAGTAAGATTTTTTAGTGGTTACCTTGACAATTTTAACTAACGCTACCTAGAATGACAGGTATGGTCGATCAGTTTTGAATAATAATTTGCATTAATATTTATATCAATGTTTTGTATTGGTATTTCAATCAATATTGGCATTGCACCTAAAAATTTTGTTAAGGCCATAAAACTTTCCGCAGCTTTTCACCTTTTCATTGTAATTTGATTTGTGTCTTGCCTTTTAGGGTATAGGAGCACAAGTGTGTCAACAATGAACTTGGTAGAACAGGGATTACAAAGTAAGATTTTTTAGTGGTTACCTTGACAATTTTAACTAACGCTACCTAGAATGACAGGTATGGTCGATCAGTTTTGAATAATAATTTGCATTAATATTTATATCAATGTTTTGTATTGGTATTTCAATCAATATTGGCATTGCACCTAAAAATTTTGTTAAGGCCATAAAACTTTCCGCAGCTTTTCACCTTTTCATTGTAATTTGATTTGTGTCTTGCCTTTTAGGGTATAGGAGCACAAGTGTGTCAACAATGAACTTGGTAGAACAGGGATTACAAAGTAAGATTTTTTAGTGGTTACCTTGACAATTTTAACTAACGCTACCTAGAATGACAGGTATGGTCGATCAGTTTTGAATAATAATTTGCATTAATATTTATATCAATGTTTTGTATTGGTATTTCAATCAATATTGGCATTGCACCTAAAAATTTTGTTAAGGCCATAAAACTTTCCGCAGCTTTTCACCTTTTCATTGTAATTTGATTTGTGTCTTGCCTTTTAGGGTATAGGAGCACAAGTGTGTCAACAATGAACTTGGTAGAACAGGGATTACAAAGTAAGATTTTTTAGTGGTTACCTTGACAATTTTAACTAACGCTACCTAGAATGACAGGTATGGTCGACCAGTTTTGAATAATAATTTGCATTAATATTTATATCAATGTTTTGCATTGGTATTTCAATCAATATTGGCATTGCACCTAAAAATTTTGTGAAGGCCATAAAACTTTCCGCAGCTTTTCACCTTTTCATTGTAATTTGATTTGTGTCTTGCCTTTTAGGGTATAGGGGCACAAGTGTGTCAACAATGAACTTGGTAGAACAGGGATTACAAAGTAAGATTTTTTAGTGGTTACCTTGACATACATGCCAAGCATGAGTTGATACCTCTTGCACTCAATCATCACAATTACAGGCGATGTTGCAGTTGATGCTGACGAATCAACGGTCTTTCATTGCTGACGAAAGCTCCTCTTCAGTATAGCCTTTTTGAAGACAAATTTTTATTAGAACGTTTTCCTTTTGCTTGCATTTTTGTTCAATACTTAGTTTCCAAGGCGAGCAAATATATCAACTCAAATGACATTCTTGAGTTGCTGAATAACACGAAGGTCAAAAAACTTCAAAATCGAGATAAAGCAACCTAAATTACGACAACCAGCCTTTGAATTCCACATGCTTGAAAATTGCAGAACCGCCATTTTGATGACGTCATGCAAACTTTAAATAGCAATAACTCGTTATCTACAGGTCTGATAGAGTTTATTTTTTAAAACTTTTTGCTCCTATTACAATGCCAAAGAAGATGGTTTGAGCGATTTTTCAAAAAAGAGAATTAAAATTTTGATGACGGGAGAAAAGACGTCATCGATCATGTGATTTCTATTGTGTTACAAAAATGTATCCAATGCTTAAAATATTCAGCAAGGCTGAAAGTACCCAAATCAAGAGCAAAAACTAAGGTTAGGCACTTTGCTCGGTTGTTGTTAAAAATTCCCTGTCTATGTGTGTTTTTTAATTATGGTTTATAAACACATTGAAGGTACCGAGTTACCTAAATATAACACAAGATTGCTAATGCAATTAATTTTAGCTAAATCATAAGCTTGGCATCAACGTAGAATGAAAAGCCACCCTGCCTCTAAAATCTGTCCCTGCATATCTCAGCCAACCTCTGATGTATTTAGTTGATTCCGAGTTATTTCACGCTGTTTTTACAAATAATATGTTTTTCGAGACGTCATCACTTAACCTCCCTATTCTTTCGATTTAAAGCTGGATGATTAGCGCTAGTAATTTGGACAAACATCTTTGCAACAGTGAAAGCATGTGGAATTCAGTCCGTTATATTATCATTTTAGGCCCGAGGCAGGATGGAAGATCAGTTGGCAAAAATATTAACAAGAAACAATTCCTTGTTAAGAATTTCAGTCCTTCTATGGATGAAAACGCAATGGAGCAATGGATGGGATTTATTTGTGACATGGCTGTTTCAAATGTTAAATTTAGCTATGACAAAAAGTCTGCAATGGTAGGGTTCAAACGCCCAGTTGAAATAAGTAAGTATCAAAAGGTTTACGTAAAGCTGCTCAAATCAAATTTCTCGAAACTGCATCTTTTCAAAACTTACCACAGCCCAAGGTGAATTTGCATACGATACAGATGCTTAAGGGTCGCCATTTTAAGGTGATATGGCATATTATGGATTTAAATCCATTGTGCTTAGTAAAAGACGAGACTCAAGCCAGTTTCCAGAAAATGATTGTTCACACTGCTTCGTATTCGTTTTTATTCGTTTTACCTGTTCACACTGCTCTAGGTAAATGTGAAAATGCTACGAAAACGATGAAGTGTTCACATTGCTTCGCCCCGGATGAATATGAAAACGCTGTGAAAACATTGCTGTTGGCGTTTTCAAAAGTATCCGTTTTTGCATTTTCGCCTCTTTTTTACATAGATAGTTTGCAACGATAGATAAGAATGCTACAATCGTAAGTACAGAAGGGAAAGCTGAAAAAACCATTCAAAATTGAAAAGGGTGTCATCAGGGATAGGAGAAAACACATGCAGAATTGGAAGGACATGCAGAATTGTCCACCGATCAACGTTTAGCATCGGCCTTTCAGCTCAGACCATTCTCTAAAGTCAGTAGGATATGGAGATGAGTACTAGGTGGAGGTCATAAGGTCATAAGGTCAAGGTGGAGGTCATGAGGCTTGGCTTTCTTTTACTTCAAAATTGTTCAAACATTGTTTAAAATTACATTCTATAGCAGCTCAGTCTCAGCTCAGCTCAGCTCAATTTGTTCTTAACTTTGAATCAATTTTGCGGCTCGTGTCCTTATAACATTTTTCTTATGAAAAAATTGTATTCTTAACAGCTCCATATGTTTTCAGTTTGCATCCACAACTCTTCTTGCTGGAGATATGAAGACAAATCCCGGCCCTGCATCTGCCGGCTCCCAAAGCAATAATGAAAGCAAAAACGAAAAAAGCCAATTACAAGTCCGAATGTTTGTCTCGAGAGAAGGTGATTTATGGAACTAGGGTCAATTCTAGAGTGAATCGCGTTCATCAGAAACTGATCTTAAGATACCGCTGCTAAAAACAATAAATGGCCAAAAGGCTTTTTCTTATCGCGGTCCAAAACTGTGGAATAATCTAGAAAGGGCTACCAAATTGGCCCCCTCCCTGAAAACCTTCAAGGAACAACTATAGTCGGGGACAACTTTTATTTCATCTTTACGTTCACTTTTTATAGCCTTAGTATTATTAGATATTGTAAATTAGGTTTAATTGGTAAATTTCTTTTGTTACTAGTATTTTAACATAGTTATTAGCTCTTATTTTATTCTTTTAAACAGGTCAGGTTGAAAAACATATGTATGAACCTTTAACCTGTATAAATATTATAAAATGAAAAAATGATAAAATGAATCGTAAACGGGAAGCCTATCTATGTTTCGGCTCGGATCGGATCTGTTAAGATAATCCTTTTATTCACAGACTTAGATGATCTGAAGAAAAAAGCAAGGACAACAGCTTTGGGTTCTAACCTGGAATTGCTTGTTGTTGAGTTCACTAAACAAGTATTGATCTTTGGCATTCCGAAAGGTACAACAGAACGTGAACTGGAGCAAAATGTTCGTGCAATTACAGGCCTTTTGACAATCAACAAAATCGACTTGGTTGCTGACCGCAATTATGCAGTTGTTACATTTTATTCATCAACACGTAAGTACCTTGTTTCATTCTGATTCCATTTCCGTATTGTAAATTGTCGCAACGTTCTCGTCATGGTTAATATCTTATGAAAAAACACATCTTTGGTAAGATATATTTACCCCGTGAAAGAGTGGATACCAACAGCAGGGGTCTCCTGCTTTTATCGTGGTGACTATAATGTCATGAGATTTCTGCATCCAATAACTTTTTGGTCTTGTAGGTCTAGAAGCACAGTTTAAACAAGTGATTCTGCTATCGGTCAACATCTTTTAAGCAACCCAGATTGTGAAAAAACTCTATAATGACGACATGTTTCGGATAAATATACTAAAATGCGTGCGGTACAATATGATGAAAAAAAAAACGATCAATGTAAGTAAATTGTACCAGGAAATTTTTTTTAAAATAATCAACGACGTTTCGAGCATAGCCCGCTATCAAGGCGTTAATTATTTTAAAAAATTATCCTGGTACAATTTACTTACATTGATCGTTATTTATGTTTCGGATAACTGGCAAAGCCCGGTCGTCTTTCCATCTAGCAGTTTTGGAATCGATCTACATACAAACGCAAAAGCCACCATTGTGTAGACAGAAGGAGTTCGTTTTCACTCTTGGACTCCAGTGGCAATTTTTCTTTAGGCACGCGACAATGATTGGTCAACTAAATCGGTCTTGTGCTTGCATTTTTCTGATTGGCCTATTTCGATCCACAACTGGGTATATATTTAACATCGTGTTCTTTGGGACCCTTGTTCTGACGTTTTATGCTCTGAGGAGTGTCAGACGAAAAAGCTTTTAGCCAACATGTTGTAAAATGTTTGCTTTTTTCAAATCTGACTAGTCAAAATTGCCAACGACACCATCTTCCAAGCTTATTTCAAGAAAACAATGTTTGTCAACATTGGTTCCAGTCTGCTGTGTATGGCAAGTGCATGCACGAAGTCAGTATGGTTTCGCACGCCAAAATTTGGCAATGCACACCAAAAATACAACAGCGTTTATATAGAAAACTCTACTTTGCACGTTATATGATAGGTAAAGGGAGGCTCGAACGCTTGAAATGTGCCTGAAATGATCCTGAATGCGCGAGATCTCGTTGCGAACTGCCATAATTTGGAAATTGGTATTTATCTTCAAAGACGTATGCTATTACAGTTTGTCGAAAAGTTGTGTTATTGAGTAAAATTCAAACAGAAATATACCGAATCGTATATAAGTGTACATTGACTTAAAATGTAACCCACCTTGTTTGTGGATAAAATTTTAAATAGAAGTTAGGAGAAGATTGACTTCAAACAAAATTTATATTTTTTAAAATGAAACCTTAAGCGGATTTGATTAAACCGTAGATGCTGGAAATCTTGTCAAAGGCAAATTAATTCTCGAAGGGTCAAAGCTTCGATGTCTCTATTACAACGAAGATTTTGTGCCAGGTAAGCTGTTAGACAGTCAAAATACAATCAAAGGTACAATCATGCATTTGCGAAACTTGTCGGTTAATGTATCTATCATTTCTTTGCGAAAACTTTGATATCGTTCAGGCCACTTTGAAAGAAAAACATACAGTCTGTGCGCTTTGATTGGCCCCAATTGTCACATGATCCAAGATTTGTAGTCCCGCGCACAACGAATTTTTGTCTTTCGTCTCAAGCGATCGAAAAAATACCAAACATGTTTGTTTTCAAAAAAATTGTCTCTTCCAATAAAAATATTTAGTTTTTAGACCCCGTTTACACTACAGTAAAAAGAACGAAACTCCTTGGTTTCGTGCTAGAAAAAGCGACAATAGGCCTTGCATTTCCACTAGGTATCTCGTTTCCCTGCTAGATTGAGAACAGTTCCGTTCCTCTTTGGTTTCGCTGAAAAGCGAAACTCTTTGGTTCCGTTCCAAAATCGTGCTTGTTCTCTCAAATGTAAACGGCCAGGAAGGCAACTTTTTGGTAACGATTGAAAACGCGGCTCAATCTAAAATGCCTGCCAAAAGCCCTTGAAACACCCAGCAATTTGCATTGTATTTTATATCTGTCATTCCTTTTCCGAAAAAAATACTACTTCCGCCGTCTTTCCCCTAAAACAATGTTGATAATTTAGAGAAATATCTTAAAAGAAGCGCAAGAGAAAGTGCTTCCTAAAATCCTAGCCCATGTCATAGTAAACCAGCATTGTCCCGTGGGGGAGAGGGGGATGATTGATTTGACATTGGAACATGACGTCAGGGTTCCAAGACTTTTGACAGGCATTGTAGTGTTGGAGTGAGGTCTTCTGAAAATTTCAGCGTCATCGCCGCGCCACTACGCATGCTTCACATGAAAGTTCCTTTCTCTTTACTGAAGTGTAAACGGGATCAAATTTGGTTCAGTTCCTTTTTGCTTCAGCGTAAATGCGATGAAAAAACCTATCGTACCGAAAGAATAACGGAACCAAGAAGTCTCGTTCTTTTTTCCGTAGTGTAAACAGGGTAGCAGATTTTTACATCGAAAACAAAAATCACGGGTCGCGACGAACGAATCTGCTGTGCGTGGCAGCTTAATCTCCGTTTACACGGGAGCGGATCTGCATAGATCCGTACCCAAACTAGCTACGATAGGCCTTGCGTTTACACGGGCACGGTAGGATCCGTATCTTTTCTGGGAGAGATCCATACCTTCCTGGGTACGATTAGAAAGCGAATCCATTTAGATCCATACCGCCATCGACGCTGTATAAACTTGTGGATTTGGATCTGCAAAGGCACGGCAGAAAAACGAGACTGTTGCTTAGGTCAATGGAGGCTACTTCGATTGTACGCGATAAAGCAACAGATTATCGACAAAGATTGCTTTACCAAATGTTGAAGAACGAAACGAAATTTCAACTCCGCCTGAAATTTCGCATGTTTAAAAGACAGATTCGATCTTGTTCCGTCCCCTTGTGAACGCTATATAGTTTAGGATCCGATCTCGTGTAAAGGCTCCTTTGGATCCAGGGATGTAGTTGTAAAATTTTAACAAGGGGGGCCGTAATGCAGTGTGGGAGGGTCATGGGCGTGGCATGTGAGACCTCGTTCAAGTGTTTTGTACCAAGTTAATTTTCCTTAGGAAATATATCAAACACAAGAAGTAACCTCGGGATTCTAACATAGGGCATGAAGTTAGAAAATAGACTGATCCCATTATTACGTCACAGGTGTTGCCACACTCAACGCATTCTGGTAGTTGTAGTTACGCGCAATGTTGTTATCCATCATGTTTCTCACTGCTTCGCTTTGTTAACAAAGTAGTTATGCCGAAATCATAATTGGAATATTGAAACTCACGGAGATTTAATGAAAAAGGACATCCCTAGTTTTTTCAAAACTCTTGCATGGACACAGGTCCTACTGACAGTGCTGTCAATGGAGCGCACCAGAAGATGAGAGAAACTGACATTGATGTCGATGAATTTGAAGAAGTGGGCTTAGATGTCGATAAGTTGTCAGATGATAAAGTTGGTTTGACGAAGTCTTTGGAGAACCTTCCAAACTTCGACAACCAAAGATTTCATGACCATTTGATTACCAAATTAAATTCTATGCCAAAGCGTGGAAGTGCCCCGAAAGCATTCCGTAATAAAAACAGGGTTATAGGTTATAGAAAGAAGGCTAAGTCAGAGGTGTTTTTTTGTAAAACCCACATTTAAAGCTGTCAAAATTTCGTGAAGGTAAGAGGTCATGCATCCATGAAAAACGTGAGATCAATTGATTACGCACATCGATGGGATATACAAGAAGCTCTTGTATTGATTGAGAGAATTTTACATCCTGAAGTGGCGTCGTGCCTGGGAGATTTGAAATGTTCCTCCAGCAGGGTAAAGATGGAATGTTCCTCCAGCAGGACACCAGCCATTAAAACGTTTCAAATACAATAGCTTTGTCTTTGATAAGGCTGCTGAATGCAAACAAAGAAAAAGCCTGTTGTCAGCGGAGTATTCTTTGTCAAAATCTTTTTTAGTTTCAGGAAAAAGCTTCAGAGGACTTCTCTTTCTTGAGCGTAAAGTTGCCCTTTCCTTTAAGGGCTTCTTGTTTCGCTTTTTTAGAACAATGGTTGGTACATTTATTATGTACGTCTTACGTCCACCAGTGAGATGCAAAGAGCCGGGTTTGCATTTTGTGTGCCAGAATTCCACCTATGTGCTGCGGTGGGGTGGAAATCCCTCCTTGAGATCATATGCAACCAGCGTGTTTTTAGCAAAGTTTTTCCTTAATTTTACCATTAGAAATAGTGTAAAAAGATAAATCCCGATTCACACGACTGTTTCTGAAGCATTGTGGCACACAACTTGTAAACCCTCCTTTGCCACCGTTTCGTCTTTTAGGCCCGCTCTCTACATCAATAGGCCTAGCAACGTTCCAATGTCGCTCCATTGAAAGCACTGTTAGTAGGACGCTTTCCCTTGCAAAAATCTTGAAAAAACTAGAGATGTCCTTTTCAATGAAATCTCTGTGAGTTTCAATGTTTCTGTTCATGATTTCGACATAAATACTCTAATAGCGGGCGAGGCAGTGAGAAACACAGTGAACAACGTGGATAACAACGGCGCGCGTAACTACAACTACCAGCCCATAAACATGGGCCACATAAAGTAATGCTCCTGCGCATAGTCTATTAGGTTACTACAACGTAATACTGTAATTGGTCAATGGCGGATTGAATGAAAGACTTTAGAACCATAGCTACTCCAATATTCTCTATTTTACGAAGTTATTCTCTATTGCTTCTGCTATTAAAATGGAGGCCAGACAGAGTTAAATAGTAACGACCGGTTGTGTATTCAGTTCATGTATAATAACATCTTGGTACACGAGAACATAACTTGACTAAAGAAAGCAGCAACGATAATATATTGCTGAGTATATCAAATAGAAACTCACTTATAGTTTTCAATTTCAAGGCTTTCGATATGCTTTAAGTGATGTGTTCACGTTATGGAAATGTCAAGGAATGTCAATATCCCTGTCTTCATCAGAGTCTTCGTCTCAATGACGTAAAAACTTTTGATTTGCCTTTGAATAGCGTATAAATTATTGGCTACTTCTTGTTTGGTGTGTTTTCTAATGAACGCCGCTTTTCAAGATGCGGCGTTTCAAAGAGGGCGGCGATTATCAGAGGGCGGCGTTTTTTACAAAAAGTTGGCTGAAGGTGCGGCGTTCAATAGAGGGCGGGGTTTATCGGAGGGCGGCGTTCATTAGAAGAAATACTGTTAGCACTAAATATTTTTCGCTGAATGCGCGATGTAACTTTGTAGTAACCTAACAGTGTAGCAACATATTGCCATGTAGATAAAATATCCTATCAGTTTCATGTTACAGTGAAGTTTGTATGTAGGCCATTGAAGTAAATATATGAATCATCGTTCTGTTTTGTTTGGAACCCATGCGTTGTTCTATCTCCTTCACATCTTAACAACCATGCTTTCTGGCAGTCATTTCCCGCAACTGGACCAGTGGGAAGTTTTTTCAATTGGTGCCTCTGGCTGCCAGCGAAGCCATTTAAGATACTTGTCAAAAGGAAAGCAACAAAAGGCTCCCCGACACATCAAAAGTTTTTCATAAGGTTTTTCACATTTTTTACGGACCGGATAATCCAAGTCCGGATAAACGAAGTCCGGATAAACGAAGTCCGGATAATAGAAGTCCGGATAAACGAAGTCCGGGTCAGATAATTGATTAAATACTGTAATAGATAATCATCTCATCAATCAGGGGGAATAATGGCGTAGTCTTCGTTTTGTTGTTCCTCTTACGCTGTTACAGCGTACACTACCAATACTAATACAGTATCCTGTAAACAGGGCCTATGCCTAATTATGATCCATTTTTACCAAACAGAAGAAATCTATGAAGCAATGCATGGTCTATCAAAGACAATCTACATAAAGGATTACGATAAAGATATTATCAGTTTCATTTGGTCAAGGCAAGAACTGAAGAGCCGATTGGAAGCGAGTCTTGATGGTGCACAAATCAACTTCAATAAGAAAAATGATGAAAGAAATGGTGACAACGGCTGTCTGTCCGTTGAGCTTGACGAATATGATGCTTCGTTAGAAGAAAGGGTTCGTTTGTTTTTGAAAAAATTCATATCACAGTTTAAGCAGGTATCAATCGCTCTCGAGACCTTGAAACTCTTAGATGACGAGATTAATCAAGTAATTCGCTCATACGAAAAGGAGGATAAACGATGCTCTTTGAAAATCAATGGCAAGAAAATGAGTATCACAGGAAAAGACAGCGATGTGGAAAGAGCTCGATTCAGAATTGACGAGCTGCTTCTTGGAAAGATTGCTGAGAAGAATCAGCAAGCTTTGGAAACCTTGGCTAGGTACTTGGGTAACGAAAAAAATCCAAAGTTTGATACCACATCGATTTTGGAGCTACTAAATACAGAAAAAGGAACTTTTTTATTGAAAAACTTTGATCTCGTTTGTGAAAAGCTTGACAATGTGGTATCAAAGTTGCACATTGAGAGGGCTTCCGTTGTGCTAGACAAGGTAGGAATCAATGAGTTGCTCAAAACGGAAAACTTTGAAAATCTCCGCCATCGTATGCTCAAGAAGCACTCTGTCGCTTCGAAATTTGTCTGTAAACAAATACCAATGCAGAATGCAGCTTCACCATTTCATGATTTCATTTGGCATAATGTGTTATTTTGGATGCCCGACCATGACGAACCAATGGGCACTCTGTTAAAATATAACTATGCTATCCCATCAGGCTGTTTTTTCGTCGAATCAGTAGTTGCAGATATTGCGAAAGAGCGGGTAAGTTTCAATCCAATACGATTTCCTCGAGTTTTTATGTCTACAGCTCTCTTATATTAGGATGTGTCCTCCTTTATTATCTGGCACCATTTCGAAATTGGCACAAAGTTGGTGCAAAGTCGCACTGTGGTTATTCTACTTTTCATTTTTGTAGTTTTTTTCTAGACTTTTAAATAGCATCCTATTTAACATTTTCTTTATATAATTCCTAGGGGATTTGGGGGGAACTGCTTCCCTTTAAATCAATATGAATCATGAAATTTTTTTCTGAAAATGTAAATATTTTGACGTTTGAAACCAAGTCATCCAGGTGGTTTCGCGGTTAATTTCGTTTCAGGCTGTGGTGTTAGCGAGCCACGAAACACGAAAAAATTCTAGTTCACGGTAGGTATGAGCTTCAGCAGACTTTCTAACTGGAGACAGAAGTTACAATGCAAGTTGTAGGGCGAAAAATCATACCTATAAACATCAGAACGTCAATGGCATAAAAGAGGCCCAAAGGTTTGAGAAGTTATAATGATGCTGGAAAAAAAACTAAAACTGTTAAGGTTATACCGGAAAGCAAATTTTCGTTAAAGGAAACAAGTGAGGATGGGTGGGTTGATAAAAAGCGAACACGCTTTGTCGACCCAATAAAGGGAATAGAAATGCTATGAAACCCACATCTCACCTAAGTATTCTAAACCAAAAAAACCCAAGAAAACAAAAGATTCCACAACATTGTTTGAGTCTTGTAGAACTGGTAGAGGTAAAACGTCACAAGAGACCATAATGAATACCAAAAAAATATCAACTTGGGGCGAATCAATTAAAGGGTCAAGAAATTTTTATAGAGAATTCTATAGCAATATCAAACAATCCCTCCTTGCTATCAAAAAGTTGCTTGTATAAAAAAGGTGGTGCGGCTGCTGCCTTTCTAAATATTGGTAATTGTTTCAAAACAAGACTGAAAAGTAAAAGGGATGTTAAAAGGACTTTGAGGGGGAAGGGGGGAGTTTGTCCCTGAAAAATATACTTGTGTTGCCAAGAGCAGGATTCAGTTTTGTGCAAAAGCACTTTTTAAAATGGCGTGAAATTATTGATGTTGTATGGAAATGGCAATGACAATAACGGGCCCTCTTTGCAGGTTGATGTCATTGTGAACACAACAACAGGTAGTATGTCTTCGACATCAGGGTGCTCTAGATCTTTGTACGCTGCAGCCGGCAATCATTATGCATTCGATATACGCACAAGTGTCAATTCGTTTGGTGAAGTCGGCGTTTGGGACTTTCGTGCAACAAAAGCTGGGTATCTTCATTGTAAAGAAGTGTACCATGTCGTCCTTGGCAGTTTCGACTCAAAGGTAACTACCGTAAATCCTCGAATTGCCCCCCCCCCCTCGAAAAAGCCCCCCTCGAATTGACTCCCACCCTAGAACTACAAATTGTTAATAAACCCCCTCGAAAAAGCCCCCACTGCTACCGTAAATCCTCGAATTGCCCCCTCTGATGTTGCCTTTGGCGTTTTATTTAATAACCACAAAAATTCATACTTTTGGTAATAATTAATTAAATGCTCATAAAGGAATTCCTACTAAAATAAACGAGGTCTTTTAATAATGTCTTCTTAATGTCTACAATAATTTTATAAGCCCCCACTCCCTATCGTATAGCCCCCATCCAAAAATATCAAAAATAAATAAGCCCCCAGAGGGCTAATTCGAGGATTTACGGTATGTTGCATGGGAGCCTAACATTTTATTTCGACAGTGACCTTCAAAAGAGGTCGAACAATTTTATTCGTACTAGGTTTACCTGTGCGTCCTTGAGTCTCATTACAGTAATAAGGTCAGAGAAGCTACTACTTGCATTTTGTTTTCAAATAAAGCCGATTTTTTGAAATTTTATCCATAGAAACTGCAAGACTTGATCGTAAAAGTATTGGAAAAAGCTTCTTTTTATGGTTACCATTCAGTGGCCTTTCCATTGCTTGGAACCGGAGGCAAGGGTTACAATGTCGAGACGGTTTTACAAGTATTCAAAGACAGTTTCGAGTATCATTCTAAATGCTCGTTGATCAGTGCCATCAAGCTCATCAAAATAGTTGCTTATGAAAAAGACACAAAATCTATCCGCGCTATGGAAAGATTTTTTAAAGCATGTCAAAGTGCATATAGACAAGACACAGTTTGGGGAGTTCATTTTATAGGGTTTGACTCGAATGACGTTAATCTTGCCAAGAAGATGCTTCAGAAATTTGTCCAGGAGAATACTGTTAAAGTTAGCTTTAAGCTAGATGCGCTCAAAGATTGCCCTCAACTTCAAAAAGAGCAGCTGTTTCGCCACGCGAAAGCAATTGGAGTCAAAATGACGCTATCTAGTGATGGTAAGTAATTCAAAGGAAATGAAGATACAGGTTAGAAATTCTTCTTTCAAAGTTTAGCAGGCGGAGGAAAGGATATGAAAGATGAGTAGTGAAGAAGAACTCAGCCATAATCTGAGGGATAGGCAAGTGAGAGATAAGTTTTTGGGTAAGGAAGAAGAAGGGATGGGATGGTGGGGGAGAGAAGGTGAGGGGGTTATGGTGGGAAAGGAATTAAAGGTATGAGCAATAATCACCTTAATTAAAGCATAATGCAGCCATAAAATATAAGCTCCCAGTCAATAAATAATGTTCGACCTTGCTTTCCCTTCAAAGCATTTCTATCGGATGAAATTGTTTTTCCTTCCTCAAACATGACTGCGAAATCATCAAAAGAACTGACTCTCGATCCGGCTTGTCGATAGTCATAGAGTGACGTCGATAGATCCAAATGTATTCGTTTAAGTAGAAACTATTAGACAGGGAATTTTGTAGGAAAGCAGGAAAGCAGTTAATTTTGAAAGCACTCGTGTTTACCAATAAAGAACAAACCTTAAAGATAATCAAAGATTCCACGACATACTTGCTTAATTGCAGCTATGAAAAGGCTGACATCCACTTGATATTCCATTCTTTCCTCATCGATAAAATTTATTAGTTGTCGAAAGGACACTAATGTAGTTTTCTGCTTATTGTGTGAAAAGCCTTCAAGGAAATATTCCTTAAAGATTGACAACGAGAAGTAGGTTAATTTTGGAACGTCGTGTCTTACCTGGGTTTAGATAGTTCCAAAAATCTACCGGCTGTTCATGCAGTTATTGGCTGCGAAACAACACCGGTAATGTTGTTGTAAGGAAAGCTAACATTTTAAAAAGCTTTAGGAGTGTTCTGGAAAGGGAAAATTGCTCAAGAGAGTTACGATGAGACAGGAAATCTGCAAAGACATTCTCACGAAAGCGATAAAATTTGGGCAAAAATAATCATACAAAGGGAAATGTGATGAAACACTTGTGCAGATAAGAGTAGGAATTCGCAAGGCAATGAAAAACAGATAATCAGAAGCTCTACAACCAGATCCATACTGGTTGACACAAGCATTTACTATTGGTTACATTATCGAAAGAAGATTGTAAGAGAAATTGCCTTTAAGCTTTGGTTAGACATACGATGGAAAGAATGATCTGGCCTACAGGTGGTATTAGTGTGGTTTATAGGAAAAAAATTTCTTTACATATTCTAATTTTGAACATACATTTGATAAATAAAAAATTTCTTTACATATTCTAATTTTGAACATACATTTGATAAATAAATAAGAAATGGCACGAAGAGGATATACAGAGAAAAACGTTTCTTAACGGCTTGATGACAAAAATATCCGATCTTCAACGTTAAAAAAGCTGTGAATATCTGCAGAAAATACTGGAGTCAGCAAAATAATTCTAAAATTTTTTTCACACAAATTATGTTCATCTTGTGCAGGGCCCTGCACACCCTCCGCTAAAAAAACTGCAAGATCTGCAGCGCTCTAGTAATGAAGTCGAAGAAAATTCCGTAACCAATGAGGACTAGGCCATGGGAAAAATTATGGTGAGGTGATCAGCTTAAAGCAGACGATGATGAGTGGAACTACATTTTCTTCTAGAGTTCCAGCAAAGGAGACAGTGATGAAGGATGAATGGATCCATATCATTTTCTATACAACGAAATTTTAATTTTGAATGACTTTTTTAACTAGCTAAAGATTTTTAGGCATCCTTTCACGCGTTATTCAATTACCTTTAAAAGGCAATGACGTCATAAAATGATGATGACGTCATGAAAGAGCGTTTAAAAGTAAATATAATAGAAATTCAATACATCTTTTAAAAGCACTGAATGTGTGCAATTCGAATATGGAACATATTTGACAATGATAGTTGCAAGAAAACAATTAAAAAGGTTCAAAGTGAATTTTCTCCAAGTTGATGACGTCATCACAAAATTTGACTTCCGTTCAAGATATTTTTCATTTCATCTCAGATTTGAAATCTGCATAGTTAATTTAGTGCAAAAATGCAAAAAAAGTTGAGTTCGAGCCCTTGGCCGATTTTTAAAGATTTTTTATCATTTTTTTGATGACGTCATCAAAAACAGTAACTTCCGGTGATAATTTTTTTTGGCCCATCTTGGATTTGGAATCCCCATGGTCGATTTAGTAAGAATGTGAAATAAAATTTGAGGTTAGGCAGTTTGCTAGTTTTTTCTACAAAATTCCCTGTCTATATGGTAGCCTTTCGAGTAACCCGGCCTAAAAATTATCCGTTTTTGCATTTTGTTCTACTAAACTACTTGAAAAACTTAAATGGAAATTTGGGAAACCTTTCGAGTTTTCGACTAATCGGGCTTTAAACAAAAACAAGTAAGAAGTTATCCGTTTTTGCGTTTTGTTCCCACTGACGTACTTGAAAAACAGATTAAAAACGGTTCTGTGAGTGGATCAGTAAGCAACCTGTTATGTGGGTTAATTGAAACGCCAAACCCGGAAAACTTTTGATCCACTCAACAACAACAGCGTTATACAGAGAAATTCAGGGACATTGTTGTAAATACTGATATCTCTAACAACTCCACGTGCATAATTATCTACATCTGGTTTACCTGAGGTGTAGAGGAGCGGAGAATACATTTGAGTCTGGATAAATTTAAACCCAGCTTGGTGGAAACGACCAAAAACGGATTAAAACGAGTTTAAAGCAAACTGTCGTTTTTATTGTCTCACCTTAAAAACGGATACATTCTATCCCGATTTGTTTTAGCCCGGGCTAGTGGAAAGGCTGCCTAGGCCTAGCCGGTTCTTTGTCATTTAAAGACCTTATTTTTCCATTCAGGCGATGTTCAGATAGAGGGCACTCCAGCTGGAAACACAGCAGTTGTAAACTACATCCATAGCAATATAGGTATGTATTCATTTAAGCAAATATGGCGATCTATAATACATACCACTCATGGGAGGATACTAAATGATGTGATTGATCCTTCAGCCGTCGCAGGGGTTGACATCCACCACAACGAGTCATCAGCTGGGAGTCTAGCTTTTGTTCACAATAACAAACAATACAGGTCTGAAAAACGAAGAGGCTGATGAAGCCATGCTCTCTCCAATATTTATCTAAATGCAACTTTGCTCATTTTTTGTTTCAACATTTTTAATTTTCATTTGTTGATGCTTGGTTTGGTCCCCCTCTCCTTTCCCAAAAAAATATTCGTTTGCCCTAAAATGCCCCTTGGACAGGAGGGGCAACAAGCCTAGTTCGCCAACTGAAGTTGCAGGCTGCTCGACTGCTATGCTTTGTTTTACTTATATTCCAGTTGTTTTGCCTAGAGCAAATAGCAAAACATGGAGAAAATGAAATAAATAATTATAAATTCTTTTACATTTATGTCATTTTAAATATTGCCCATTAATATGGACGTTAAGCAGCAGAAGGAAGATAGGATTAACTAGAAAAAATAAATGAGAAAGGATTACAATCTACCATCCATATTAAACAACTAAAATTATAGCACTTGAAGTATAAACATCTCTGAACAATCTAAATCCTATAAAGGAATATTTTTCGACAAAACTAACGAGTCATAGCCTTTCTATACAAAATCCCTTTGTGATACAAGGGATTATAAATACAAATTATGGCCTCATATCACTCAGTTTCCAAGAGCCGAAAATCTGAAAATCATTTCCAGATGAAATCAAAACAGCCCAAAGAAATCGAAAAGCTTACGAAAACTTGGATAACTTATGTAGATAGATTCGTTTCATTTAGCAGTTTTGGCATCTATCTACATAAGCACGAAAAAACCACTATTGTGTAGACAAAAGGAGTTCCTTTTCACCTATTGGTAACATTCTCCATAGGCAAGTGGCACTGATTGGGCAACCTCAACAGTCATGTGCTCGCGTTTCTGATTGGCCTATTTCAATCCACCACTGGGTATATATATTTCCTAACGTAGAGTTTTCGATCAATGTTCTGACGTTTTATACCCTGAAGAGTGTCAGACGGAAAGCTTTAGTATAATCAAATGTTTGCATTTTTAAAAGCCATTTTTAAAGGACTTATGCCACCTATTTTCGCGCCAAATTTTTTCATCTTGATACTTGTAAGTAAAAGCTATCTGAACATGCTTGCAAAATATTGCCACGATTTTGGGTTTGTAAGACCCCCAAAATAGCTATTTATATTTTAGCGGGAAACGTATCACGTGATGCTGTGACGTAGAAGTTGACAACCTGACATTGAAAGCATTGCCCTTAGACCAGTTGCTGTAATAGAGTTCTAAAGTGATGAAGTCACAAAAATCTTTTTTTAGAATTTTTTAATTTGGATCCCATAACCTGAAAAAGCATCATGAAATACCTCTGAATTTGCAAAATCAGGCAAGTGTATTACGAAATGGCAGAGATATGGCCACATGTTTATTGGTTCTCTCTCCATCAAACCTCTGTTTTTTGGTCTCTGTTCATAACTTTATGAACAGAGCCAAAATAACAGTGATTCGTTAGCAAACTTCAAATCTTTCATTAGCCATATCTCAACCGATTTTGGACATATTTGGCCAATTTTGCGTATTTGAAAGTATTTCATGGTGATCTTTTACGCTATGTGGTTAAAATTCAAAAATTCTAAAAAAGCTTTTTGGTGACGTCACACTTTAAAACTCTATGGGGAGCATTGCCCCTGAGAGAACAAATTATTGAATGATGTTTTTCTGGGATAGTTCTGGGCGTAGATTTTGAATCTGGATGTTGATCGGGCGTGCGTGGAGGTGTTTTCAAGATATGGGGAGGGGGGGGTCGAACGAGAAATTTCATGTCCCTGTATAAATCGTTTTTGCAAGGAAAATACGAGATAGCAATGTCTGAAGCAGTGCATTTGCAAGTATATCCAATGAATTACTATGGAAAAACAAAAAAATATGTCTTCCCGACTTTTTTTTGGGGGGGGGGCATGGGGATATTTCGTGGCATATAACAGTTGGCTTCCTGGCGAGGGGGCTCTCGGAAATCTTTTGATTTAGGAACTTTTTCATCAAAACGGGTCAACTGTTTAGTTAAAATTTTATAATTCATTCAAAGTAAGAAATCTTTGTAAGTTAAGGAATCATACCTTTATATTGTAATACCGCCACTCCAAGCGCTAAGCCTCGCTCTTACCTGCCTCGTTTGCGCATTTCCTTCGCCCCATTCATTCACTCTCCCAGCGTTAGTCATACTTGTTTGTGCATACTCTTTTGCGTCGACTTGCATCGCACTCTTTGTTGCATTGCGTATACTAGTAGGAACACTGTCACTAAGGAAACCCACCCTCTATTATAGTATTATTTTAAGAACTACACTATGGATTGACTCAGCTTATATATATATGTATCTAGACACATTCCTATTGTTTTTCTAGCTTGTTTTTCCTCTTATGTAGACACCTAAGATTAGCACATTTACATCTTTTATTTGTACAAGGAACTAGTTTAACATATATATATCGTTCTCTACGAATCCTGAGTTAGTGAAGAGTTAGAGCTAGCATTGTGAGCACGTACACTTCGCTCTTGTGAAAGGCTTAGTGGTACAAGTCGTACAACGATATACGTTTGAGAAAACTATATCTATGTTTATTTGTTGTGTCATTCTGAAGTTTTGCCGAACATTTAGCTCGGAACCTGCCGTATTTAGAAACCAATTTACAATATGCTGCCTACGAATGCACCCAGACAGTACGGGCTTCAGCACTGTCGGAGTGGTAAAATTTAACCAGCACAAATTTTCCAAGGAATGCGGAATACAGGGATCGTGCAAGTAAAACGCGAAACAAAGGCTTTTGCGTCGAAAAATTCGGGCTTTCGGTGGATATTTGACAAATGTTCAATGTGTCGGAAGCGGAAGCCCATCCAAGATGTCGTCTTGTCGGAAAATCGTAGAACCGAGCCCAGCCAAATGGTCGAACAGGGAATTCAAGCCACGTTTCTCCTTCGCAGAAGAAAAGCAGGGACCTGGTTCTCCTGATTAAACCCCCATTTTACCCCATTTACTATCACAATTCATAATCGAAATTTGCCCGCCAAAAGTGGTACTCCCCGCCATTTCCGTCTGGTCTAAATGGGAACATTTCGTGGAATCCTCGAGTTAATGCACAACCTTTTCTAGCAGAAAATTAACTGCCTTATGCAAGCCATAAAAGTGCTAAATGTTTGTCTAAACTAAACTAGTGTTTTCCACTATTGTAACAACTAAACTTAAATAAATCATTGAATACAATGCAATTATTACCGAGTACTAAGTGTCATTGAGTTTTTGATTTATGTTTTTACAATATTGATATCCTGAATAAAAAACTATCTTATTTTACCAGATACTTTTAATGAAGTGCCACATTGCTGGGAGCCGATGCCCAAGGACATTCATGGCAAGGAGTGCCCGTATCACAAGGTAGAGCTGCAGCATGTAAGCAAAGAATTTCAGGAGGTTGAGCAGGAAGTGAAGTTGAGGTCCAAAGGGAGAGTGGAAACAATCAGAAAATTGTGGCGAATTCAAAACCCTACTCTTTATAAGCACTATCAATTGAGAAAGAAGGCGATGGACACGGCAAACGGGTCTAGGAATAATGAACGGAATTTATTCCATGGGACCACTAAAGAAAATTTAGAACAAATCAACCATCATGGATTTAATCGGAGTTATGCTGGAAAACACGGTAAAAATTGCAACAGTTCTATAGTTCGAAACTAGACACAGAAATATTTTTTGAGCGAGGATTGGAAAAAGGGATGTTGTGTTTCCTCTATCCTTCTCCTCCTCCGCATTTACTCATCCTTTGCCACCGCAGCCATCTGCAATACTATATCCCCGGTTGCACACGGCTCTGGTAACCAGGGTAAGCATAGCGGTCAAATCTTTGATTGGCTGAGAGCTCTGTTCGCTACCATGTTCTAAGCCAATCAGCACACAGGATTCTCACAACAAAATCGCTTCACAGCTAGAATTAGGCTCATTTGCGCCATTTCAGCGTGTTTTTACCACATTGTCTACAAAAAACATTGCAAAGCAAATTTCCACCTTATATTTTGTCCAGTTCGTCATCACGCGTTGCTATTTAACCTATATTGGCGCCACTGTTCGATCGCAAAGAATAATATAAAAAAACACCTTGCAAATGATCGATAAATTTCGTGTCGAGATTCAGGTAAATTACGTTTTTACCTCTCCCCACCCACATTTCACATTTAGACAAAATCAATTGTATACTTACCTTAACCCTAGGAATGGTTCATAATCCCGTCATAGATGCACTCACTGTTCAGCCTTTGATTCTGTTCCGAAAAGCGGAACGCTCAGGGGTTGTGTTCACACGGGAACGCTTCAAATGACATTTTTTCATTTTTTTTTTATAATATAATATTTTTATAATATTTATACAGGTTAAAGGTTCATACATATGTTTTTCAACCTGACCTGTTTAAAAGATTAAAATAAGAGCTAATAACTATGTTAAAATACTAGTAACAAAAGAAATTTACCAATCAAACCTAATTTACAAATTTTTCCGTTCACGTTCGTTCCGTTCCAAAAAGTGGAACGATAAAATAAGTGATACGAAAAGTGGAACGGTACGCAATCGTTCCGTTCCGTTCCGTTCCGTTCCCGTGTGAACGCGCAGAACTGGTCCTGAAAATAGAACGATAAGAGTTTTGCCCTTGGCGCATGCGTCTGTGTTGTGGTAGTTGTGGTTACTTGGGGCTTGGATGGACTGGTAGTCTTTCATCACCTCGAGAAGCAGCTGAATCTCGTCGTCAGTCCATTTAAAAGATTCAACACAATCTGCAAACATTGAAATTCCTTCCTTTTAGGGTTGGCTTCCATTTTCCCACGAGCTTGCTTATTTTGTATTCTCCATTTATTCAAATTGTTTAAAAAATTCAGAGATAGCTCAGAGATAAATCGAAATGATGAAATCTATCTCTCCATTATGGACATGCGCATTAAAAATCATTTGCTTATTTTGGCGCGCAAATGGCAGAACGGAGCGATTGCGTTCCCGTCTGAACATAAACAAAAATCGATACGCAATCGTTCCGTTACCGTGTGAACAGTATACTTTTCCGTTCCAGAAACTGGAACAAAAATGGAACGGAACGATTGCGTTCCCGTGTGAACAGGGCCTTAGCTTTCGAATCTGAATGTTGATCGAATGAATGTTCGAGAGGCTTTTTCGAATTACGGGGGGTCAAAAGTCTTTCAGGGAGGGTGTTTTTTGTTTTGCTTTAAATTTCGTTCATGTAGACGCAAGCACTACTAAAAACAAGTATATCAATAATACGTTTGAAAAAGTGAGTTTTTTGTTACTATATGGGCCAATTGCGATGATTAGGGAGAAGATAAGTTAAAAAAAATTCGAGATGGCATCACTCCTATTCTAAATAATCCAGTGAGAATTCGTAATTTTCTTCAATCTCTTTACATTCTTATATCTAACCTATATATTTTAATCGCCATTTTCGTCAGGAATCAAAATCGCCAAATTTGATCATTTTAGTCTGGTACGGTTCAAATTGGGGCCATATTTGTGTCAACAAATATTTGAGTTAACGTTTGCATCTTTTCGTAGCAGCTGCATATGGAAATGGAAACTATTTCGCCGTTAATGCTGAATATTCGGTAGGGTACGCCCAGCCCAGCCAAGATGGATACAGATACATGTATATTGTCAAGGTTCTTGTCGGTGAATATACGCAAGGAAAAAGCGGTTTAAAGGTAGCACCGTGTAAAGGACAGGGAACCGAGCTGTATGACTCAGTCGTTAACGATGTAGCCAATCCGTCAATTTTTGTGGTGTTTCCAGACAACCAGATGTACCCAGAGTACCTAATTCAATTCAAGTAAAATTTGACTGGGATTCGTATTATGAAGGTAGTTATTAAAAGGACACTTTTATTATATCTTTAATGTGAGACACAGTTCCAAGTTAGAGATAGATGATTTTGATGATAATATTTTGCCTTTTTTGGAACTTACATTTTCCCCCGTTGACTGTTTTTTTCACACATATTATTAAAGTAGTATCAAAGTATTAGAGTTTTTTCATACTTCTGCTATCATGCTTGCTGCCACCCAGTTTGAATAGTATGGCCGGTTTCGACAAGATTTCGGGCGCACCAACAGCCCGCACCTCAGGTGCGGGTGCGGCGGCACTATCAACTCCATGCCAAGTGCCCTGGCACTATCAACTTCTCAGATTTAATTAAATGTTTCTAGTTTTCAGGTGTGCCCTGCCCTCGGCGTTTCCATGACTGCATCTTGGTTGCGCATTTGCCTTGCTCTGCATACGGGTTTGTCCCAGACGCGTTTGTCCCAGTGAGTTCAAAAGGAGAAACATTTAGTTATTAATCACCCCGTTTTTCAAACCTAAGAATCCCCCACCCAAAACGCCATTTCTACAAATGCAAAAATATCTACAAAGGCAAATTGTATTAATTTCACTACTAGTAAGTGCCAGCAAATTAGAACTTGTTATTTGAGAACAAAGACACTTTTTTTAATAAAGATGCTCGCATAAATAAGAATAAAATTGAAAGTGCTTGAAAGTTATTGGTTTTTCTAATTATTCAGTTTTTAGCACAAAATTTAATACCGAAAGGAAGAAAATCTGAAGAAGCGCCCCCTAGCCATCATTTTACAAAATGTGTGTCGTCTAATTAACAGCCATTTGTTATTTTTGGTTTATTTTTTATTGTTATTTTTGCCTCTTATTTGTGTCTCTTATTTTCGAGTTTTCCTGTGCCTCAAGGCAGTTTGACAGACAAACGATCGGTTTTGACCAGGACCAAGCAGAAACTGGTAGTCACGTCCCACAGCACTCCCATTGCATCACCACAGTGCTCTCACAGCGCTCCCACATCACTCCCACATCACTCCCACATCACTCCCACAGCACTCCCACTGCACTCCCACTGCACTCCCACATCACTCCCACTGCACTCCCACTGCACTCCCACTGCACCACCACAACTCCTATCGGAAAAACCCATGTGCGTATCATCAATAAATGTAGTAATGTCCCTCAAAAAGTGAATGACTTGTAGACCTAGACTTTCCCAGAGTCAATTTTTTATTAAATCCATAAATCATTCGTACTAGTGGGAGGGCATATCTTAACTGCGGACAGTAGTACGAATCCCTCGCACTAGCACAAATGCTTTACGGATTTAATAAAAAATTGACTTTGGGAAAGTCTATACAGACCAAGCTTTTCATCCACGAATCAGAGTTTAAAAATGAATGTTCTTTGAGATCCTTCAGTCTCACAGCTTGAAGCAGAACAAAACCGGAGTTGAGTTCTGTAACGGTCTATGCAAGGCTATGATTATTTTTGCAAAACTCTATGGTTATTTACGATTATTACAAACAAAATAAACATACAAGTAACATAACACAGCACAAAATTCAATAACCAAAACTAAATTTATAGAATATCTAAATGAAACTTTTTCCAACAGCAGATAATCAACAAAGGTTGAAAGAAACATATCGAGGCTAGAGAGACAACAATTTCTTGCATAACTCTATCCAGCGTGAGTACTTGTCCGCGAATCGTAAAAAATGCTTGGATTATCAGTTGAAAATTTCAAGCCTTGACCTTCATAATTTTCGCTTTTCACTTTTATCAGAGTTAAATGACCCAATAAAATTCCTTCCCTTCTATCTAATCACAATGCTATGCACATTATCGCTTAAAGGCAATTTGTCTCGTTGTGGATTGGTTAACGAGAACATTAGCTGGAACAATAGCCTAAACACAATTCCAGCGCCATATTTTTTACAATGCGATAGCTTTGCATCCGTATAGAAATATGAATCGAGAGCAGACATTCTAGCAAATGCTGTCTCCAATCAAAAATATCTTGCTTTGATGAAGGTAATTGAATTATCCTGGCTTTCCATAAAAACGTGGTAATAAGATTGTCAATACCGTTATTGTTTATGGGCCATTAAGTCCAATGCAAATGATTATACCATTAATATAGTTGAATATATTCATAATGTTTGTTGTCTTTTAAAAGATTCTCCGAATTTGCTTTACGTGATCAAGAAACATATTAGAGTTTTTCGAAAGGCAAAGACAGACCACATGAACAACTTTTGGTCCACTCTCCCGTAATTTTGTTCTGCTTGTGACTTGAATCAGGAAAAACGTGACAATGACCTGTTTCGTTAAGAGAAGACGTCCCTTCTGAAAAAAGAAACAAGTAAAAAACGATAGGAACCTTTTGCATCTTGGAGATTAATTAAAACATTGTAAAATCAAAGAAAGAAAAATAGGAACTGTATAAACATTATGGTAAAGAAGCATCCAGTACTTTTTATCAAGTATTGTCCAGCTGGAAGATACACAACCAAGAAGCATAAGTGAATATCTGGTTTAAGCAGGTAAGAGTTTCTATCAATGGAAAAAGTGCCAAGAGGATCAAAATTAGTGCAGTAAAGACCGTGAACAAAGTATGATCAAGATAGATGCAAGTGACATATGAGGAAGCTAAATGAGGAAGATTTCTTTTCTTCAATAGCATTTATTTCTCATGTTCACGGTAGGGAGAGGCGGTGTTGCAAGCCCCAGATTCAACTTTTGGAAATCTAATTTCATAGCTGTTCAAAACACCTGTTTTCAACAACTGTTCAAAACAGCAACGCCCTAAATCAGTATTGTGGGACGAATGTGGAAGGTAGCTCTTTTTCCTTTTACATTTTAAACAGCCAATTGGACATTTTGCGGCACATCTTAGGTTGGCCAATGACACATTTCGGGGTACATCTTAGCAGAGCCACTGGCACAATTCAAGGTACATCTGAGGGTAGCCAATGACAATAACACATTTCGTGGCATATCTCAGGGCACAATTTGAGACATATCTTGGGATTGGGATAGCCAATGGCACATATTGAGGCTCATCTTAGGAGAGCAACTGGCACAATTTGAGACACATCTTGGGATAGACAATGGCACATATTGAGGCACATTTTAGGACAGCCAATGACACATTTCAAGGCACGTCGTAGGATGGCCAATAGCACAATTCGAGGTACATCTTAGAGAAGTCAATGGCACATTTAGAGGTACATATAGAGGCACATCTTAGGATAGTCAATGGCACATCGAGTAAAGATCATTTGCAAAAGTTTCTCTGAAGTCTAGCTCTTCATGCACTTGGTTGCGGTGCATGAAAAGTAAACATTCATTACTTCATTTTTCGCTTGCACCTTTGGCCATGGTAAAAATTTAATGAGCTGTTAAAATTCTTTAAAAGTGTTCAGGGCCGTAAATCCCGGGGGGGGCGGGGGGACTGGACCCCTCCCCCCCAAAAAAATCTGGAGCAAAACGATTTTTTTGGAGAAATTACCATCATTTTCCTTGAAAGTAAGAAATCCCTGGTAGCCGGGTTAGAACCAAACTATGTTTTTCTGTGTTATTGCAACAAACCTCAGCCAATAAGGTTATTTTTGTAAGCAGAGTGGTTTTTATAATTTTTACAAGATAAAAACTTACCGTTTTCTACCGTTTTTTACCGTTTTATTTTTGAAAACAAAGTAAAAAATAAAAAGAGAGCAATCTGTCATTTTATTTTACCTATTTACTAACTTATTTACGTACATTTCTATTATTTGTCTATTATTTGCTTTTATTCAGTAAATCACTTTAAGTGTTGTTATTAACTTGCATGTTTGCTTAAAGCAAATCAAGGAATGAGCCGAGTGGCATCTGTAGATGCTGCTGATATGTGCATGTAAATACCATAATGAAACTGCACGATTTCAGCGATTTTTGTGCCGTTTGCATGGATGAGTATAGGCCTCTAAGTACGTCATAAAGTCTTTGCGTCACAATAGCAAAAGCAAAGCATTTGGATGCAACGGATCGATTCCTACAATATTATTCCACAAAATTTGTCTTTAAAGGTGAGGTTAATTTTGACCTTACAAGCACTACAAAGACGAGGAAAAACTTGCATCGCCGCGAAAGACAAACTGCCTCACCCCGGCTCTTTGCATCAGTCAGTGTAAACATACGTTCCTTGACATATCAAGGGTACCGATGTCTGTTTTTCAGCATGTACATAAAGTGGTGATAATAAAAAACAAATACATTTTGGTTTGATAAAATTGTATCAACTGCTGTTGCGAGATTAAGGGCGAAAAAATGCAAAACATCAAAATTAATGATGGAAAGCCATCTTCGTATTGATGATTCCACTTGACAAAAAGCAATTCCAAGATGAAATACCTTGCTTGTTTAGCGGCCAAGAGACCAGAACATCCGTTGCAGACTTGCTATCTTTTCGAGTTTTAAGACGCTCCACGTCTTCGCTTTCCTGGCAGAAGATTTATTTTGCATAAGTCTCTCAGAAACAAGACGAAAAGAAGAGAAACATACGATGATGTTGTATATCGTATCGAAACCGCGATTGGTTTAACTATTAGCCAATTCAGTTACTCTGCTATGGCTTGAAAATCGGGCCAAGCGTTGTTTATCATTTTCGTCATTTTCAAATACAGAAAAAAAATTCATAATAACGGGAGTATGTTATATTGAGGATTGTTCTACAGGGAGTATTCCAAGGCACCAGACTTATTAACAGCGAATAGTTCTTGAAAAGCGGGATTCGTAATGGCGGGATTCAACTGTAAGTCAAGAGAGAAGAGGGGGGTGGGTAACTCTTCAAAAGTTTACCTGAGAAATTGATTAGGTGCCCAAATATTCAAATAAACATTCGCAAGATGCAAGCACAAGCATGAATCAGAGATCTTTTCCACGAGAGTAGTTTTACAAAAAAGTAGCTAAGCTTTATGATACCAGATACATGTTTACAAATAAGGCCAGAACATTGAGCAAGAACGATTTACAATCATCTGACACAGACCACCAATTTATGCATCAGCGTCAAAGGTTCCAACTCACCCTATTTGGGCCGGTGTCCCCTGATTTGGGCGGGAGTCTCCCGATTTGAGCGTTCTTTTTCCGTTTTCCTCCCGCTTTCAGAAATTTTTTCATGAATCTCTATCAAAATTTTATTTCTAAATACACAAATGAAATAAGTGAATTCTAAAATGTGAATCTGCAGGTATCGTCGTATGATTTGAACCAGAGAACATGAGAGTTCAACTTGTGCTTTTAAACTGATAAATTCCAGTGAGTTTTTCTCTTCAAACTTCTTTATAGTTAATTTTTCCACATATCTGTTAGAAAGTGGATTCGTAAAACGACTCTCGAAAAAGTACTGAATATTTGTAAGGAATAATGCATTACTTCATTTGTCGAGTTTATTACCTATCCAGGGTTCAAATTCCTTTAGACAAACAAGAGACTTAATTTGGCTGATGGGCCAAAGTCGAATTTTTCGCGGAATATATTTTAAAACTCCCATTTTAGCTACTCTTAGGTCTGCGATGTGGCAACAGAATTCGTCAAAAACACAAAAGTACAAGTATGAAATCACCGTACTAACCATGAAGTTGTATTTCTTTCTTATTCGTTCGCGAACGTTAAGCCCTTTGACCAAAAGTTTCCATCTTTCGATGATCTTCTTTTCCTTTTTCTACAAGAAAGATTTCGCATTGCTAATTAACACTGTGATAGGTGTCCTTCTAGTAGCAGCCTGTGTTCCAGACCTCTACGTTAGGGGCCAGGAGCAAAGGCTACCTAGTAGCGTCCGTGCAAAAGATCCAGTCGCTGCATGTACATTAGACTTTTGGCATGTGGCCTAAATAAAACATGGATTTTCGATATTTGCCTTCGTGCTAAAAATTATTCAGTTTTTCGTAATAATGAATTTAATAGCATATTCAAATTCGGCAAACATGAAAAGGTATATATTTCCATGTACCAAAAACATCGCAACACATAATCCTCTAGGGTTTTAAGATTTTAGTTTTCTTTTAAAATTCTAATTAGGATTGAAAATGGCAGTCACTTGCAAATTTTCCATAAAGTTCCAACCCCTGTGACTGTTTTGAATTTTGATACAAAATGCAGCTGTGCTTCTCTAAGAAATTCTGGCCGGTAATTTTGTCAATTCTTAGATGGTGGATGTCAATATGATTTTTTGCTTGCTGATATGACAAGGAATGACCCGTTTGGCATTGTTTTATTATCATGCATTTTTTTGCTAGTATTTTGTACGAGATCAGAGAACACAAAAAAATTTCTGTTAAAGATAGACTGGCTGACTGCCGCATAAACAAATCGTAGACGCTAGATAGAAAGCCTTATGGCAAAAAATTCCATTGTATTTTAAAAAATTACAAAAACGTGTGGCTTATGTGGTGATCTATGCAAAAAACATTGTTGATACTGCAATACAATAACCAATGCAAAATGCAAAACAAAATGATTAGATGCAGGCAAAGTAAAAATATCTTCAAAGTGCTTCTAGGTCCCGCCCATCTCTATGGTCCCGCATAAGTGCACATTTAAAGGATTTAGACTGACGAAATGAAGTAAAAAATACATATTAACTCGGTAACAGAATATTCCCTAAGTCCACAAGAGAACATACCTTTATGCCCTCCTCTGTGTTTACTAAAACAAGCTTTAAAATGATTCCGAGCCGCCAAATCACCGCAGCTAATTGGCTGAACAAGAGACATTTCGAAAGCGAACTTTCTACAACAGATTTTAAAGCAAATAATTTTTTCTATTTGTGTTTTTTGCTACAAAGCATCCAAACGTAGTTCGTGGACATTTTAGAAGCGATGCTCAGTGACTCCCACACCTGGAAATACAGAAGGTTGGCAATTCTCCTCACCCTGGAAATTTGATCATGGAAAGGACTCTAATTGCAGACCCTTGGATCTGTAGTGCATGACCCTAGCCACTGAGCTACCATCACATCTTATGCAATCAGATAAAAATATTTGGCACTAACCTCTTTTAGCTTCCTCTCTCTCTCATCTTCGTCCTTTTGCCATGCATCAAGGAGTTTTTCCTCAAATTCTGCAGCAACAACGACGCCTTCGATTCTGAAAATTTGTTATCATTAGCAGTTAGCAAACAGTTCAATTGAAGACAGGTTTCTATGTTTTCAAGTATTCACATCTATAACAGGGCATTCAGCTTAATAAAGTGCTCTGTCATAAAGTGTTCGATGCCTTTTAGGCAGAGATGTGCACGCTTTTGGTGTAAAGAACAGGACGGCAGAGTTTCATGCTTAATGCGACCATCAGGCAACTGCCAAAACTATTCTCTCTTTCTATAGCATTCAGCATAAACAATTTCTCATCGCATTACAAGGTCAACCCGGTGATTGCTTCCTATGCATTATCTTATCCCTTTCAATCCCTTAGAAAGCTTTCAACACCGATAAGGTGATTGAAATCAAACTGATCACAATGCAGCTACTTTCTCTGAGCAGAGACTTCAGATTTCCATGTTTCACTTCTGCCAGTAAGCTTACCTATTCGGGATATAAATTCAAAATTCATTCTCCTGCTGCCGGTTTTTTGCCCAATAGCAAGCTAAGGATGGTAAACCTTTTCAATAAAACGACAAGCCCTCACCCAAGTATACTATAAATGCTGCAGTTGAGAATGATTGCCTTCCAAAAGTATTGGATACTCTGGAGATTATTAGGGTGTCTGAATTCTTAAATTAAGCTTCTAAAACACTTACGTTTGAAAAGCATTGCACCACTTCGAAGAACGAGTAATGGCGACGGAGTTGTAAACAATATGACTTTTGAAATTCAAACCACTTTTGTGAAGCCATTAGACGTCAGTTTAAAGTTAAACCAATCAAATATAATAAAATAAAATTCAAGTTTTTCAAGTTTTTTTCTAATCATGTGTGAACCGGCGGCCTTTCGGTATATAAACAGCGCCAAATGTTGAATCATCGATGAGAAAAAAAAAACAAATATAACTTCAAAACATTTAAAACATTTCAAGTGTACATGCAATACGCCTTGGTACATAAATCACTATGAGTACATATCACAGGTCACATTATCTGTACCACATGACAAAGCTGTCACCTTTCGACCGTAGGCAACTTAGCTGGTACGCCGACCCCTATCTCTCGTAGCAGGTACCAAATTACCTACTTATTTCTAAAACAATGCGTTTTGTTGTTTGAATTGCATTCGAAGAGCACCTTCACAAATTTTGTTTATGCTGTAGTTTGTACTTGAGTCATAACTCATCCAAACCTATGGGCATTAACTGAATTTTGACTTTTCGAAGTTGTCTGGGATCTTTAACATGTTAAATTGCACACTTAGTGACCATAGTGACAAAAAATTAACTAAATTTATTTTGTCTGTGAAAAGCTTTGTGGGAGAACTAAGCATAGAGGAAGTTACTCGAGCAATACACATTCACAAGATAGGTGTAAAAAATGGGAAAGTCCACATCATTTTTTGATGGATACAAACAGTTCACGAGAATGCCGACACCAAGAGAAACTTAGCTACCTTAAAAAAAGATTTAAGATTCCTAAGTTCTTATTAAATTAGTAAAACAACCATCTTCGTGGCGTAAATGCTAACGAATATCACTACGAGATAACTTAACATCGAGAAATCTAGGCAAAAAGGTTTTGCGGGAACAGAGAGAAGTACAATTAAGGTCGTCAAAGGTAAACGCTAACTTACATTGGATGGGCACATCCGCCGTGAAAATCCCAACCCATCATTGCAGGAGCCGCGTCAATCCCGAGCTTTCTCGCGGTTTTGTGAATACCTTGGACTGAAACAATTAAAGGTATATTGCACTGAACTAGACAGTTTTATTAGAAGCGATTACGTCATCGATATATGCATCAACTGCATAACACAAACCAAAACTCACGTATCACATGGCTCCAAATACTGATTGATCATGCAAAAAAGAAATCGGGCCAGAATAGCAGTAATCAATCATCAGTAAACAAGCCTTTCGCACAGAATATATCGAAGAATTTGCAACAGGCGTAAATGATTTGAATTTACAAAGGTATTTCGTGGTGCTCTTTCATGTTATGTGGCTAAAAGTAAAAAATTCTAATTTATATTTTTTATGATTTCATATTTTATAGGCTTCAAGAGAACCGTCATAAAAAATAGCCGAGACATTCACATATGAAAAACCACAAGTCAGTGAGTCGGAGTCAGTAATTTGGAGAAAAAGAGTCTTACTTGGCACGTGAACACCCCCTGGAGGTAACATGGACGGCTGGAAGAGTTCCACATTTCCATACTCGTTACGGGGTACCTTCCCCTAAAAGAAGATAACAGCGTTATAGAAATGACTATTAATATTTGCAAAGCATTTTATTAGTCTGCCGCTTAATCACCAAACCTTCGCAGCCTACTTTCACCCTCACTATAGTGAGAATGCACAAACCTTAGTGAACTTATAGACGCCTATTTTTAGAAGTGGGCCTTCTAATGAAAACCTTGAGTACAGCACAGAGCGTGCAGGAGCCCCAGTGAACAGTTCTAAGGCTTGTTTCCAGGAAAACTGCCCGCATGTTTTTTTAGGCGAGCACATCCAAGCACCGGGGCTGACGCGACATAGATATTGGAACGGTAGAAATTGGCTGTTAAAAAGTAGTTTCTTGAATTAGACAAAACTGTTATATAACATTGAATTATAAAACGATCTCGCATGATCTGATCCCCAAGATGTCCCTTTTTATAAGGGATGAGTTGAATTGTATACATTTATCCGAGGCTCCCCCGTTTCCAATGTCTTTTACTTAGAAATAACGCGGAGTTTGTTCTTAAGACTTACATCTTTAACCGGAGGAGGCTTGTAAACTTCAGTTTGCCACAAACCAAAGAGATCGATTTTAACCTTGTCTCTTTCGTGAATGGGTGTGTTCTGAAATAGAACAAAATGTTTCAAACTTGAGGTGAATAAGCCAAAAAAGTCAATAAATCTCTACAGAAGGTAGCAAATATGGCTGCTTTATTGTTAACATCATAGAGAACAATGAAAGGATTTGCCATACGCCTATAAAAAACATCGCATGGAGCAGAATTACAGATAAATAGAGAGAAAAATAATTTCATTAGCTGCTTTAGACATCATCACCTTGATTATGCAATACGTGACACTTTTAAAGAACAGGAAATCTTACTCACCCGTTTAGGCCTTCCCCGAACAATCTTGTAAGCCTTTTCACCTTGCTTGACAACTCTCGCCTCTTTTAACCAGTTTTCTCGAGTATGGAGCTGTGAAAAAGGATTTGATTGCAACTGAAAAAACCTCTCTCGTAGAATAATTCTTGCTGCTGAAAGCAACAGAAAACCTCAACATATTCATGTGAGAAAAGAACAAAAATTATTTCTTGATTTATCACACAGCAAAAATTAGTGGGCGGGAAGTCTAAAGGGCACTTGCTCACGAGCAACTTTTAAAACAAGCCACATTACGGTGGATATACATCGAAAATCAAGGGCTACACGAGTTTCTAAGAATCACAGCGACGGTCAACGCAATGCAAACTTTTTAGTTGATCTGAAATACACCTTTCTATGAACATCGCTGATAATATTTGATAAAATGGCGCTCGAAAACATTCAATTGAAAAAACTCCAGATTCCTCAAACCTTTCATCATAAAAATGTTGAAAAATTAAGGCATTTTCAACCTTGAATAATTTTGAAAAACCCTTGAATATAGCGTCCAACAGGGCTCCACCTAAGGGTGTATCAAACTTTGTTTTCTTGCAGTTGATGTCACAAAGGCATGAAACAAGGCCCAAACACAGAAAAGTCCAAATAACCCTTACAATATGGACACAGTCTCTGGAATAAATGGCCTTGTTTCTGAAATAACCCAAAACTGCCGGTGATTCGGGATATATGGCTTCAAACTTCAAGAGATCGCCTTCGAGAACGTAAAGTGGGTGGTTCTTGAATTCACCAATGGTCGTTGGAAATGGCTGTTGCATCAAATTCATCTTTAATTCGGTATCTTCTAGGTTGTCTCGTTTTCGCTCCTTAGTCTCGTAAGGGTGTAGAGTTTGAGCCCACCACTCTCTGTCAATGCGAAGTTTACGAGTTTTAGACATGAACTTTGCAGAATAACGGCACGTGACATCTTTGATCGCATTCTCTACGAAGTGGATACAAGAACATGTGGTTAAAGGCAATCTAAAGGCAGTTCCTAATTTCGTTGTACGACTTTTTTAAGCTATGATTTGGTTTTATCACCATAATTTTAGGTCTGATAAAATTTTTCACATTATTTGTGCTTGTATTTTAGATTTTACGAATTGAAAACTTGCAAGGGATTTGACTGCGAAAATCGTTCAGGGTGAAGCTTTACTCCCTTAGTCGCCAATCAAGGTCAAATGCCTTAAAAAAATTATTTTTTCTCGTCATAAAATCAATATCGTGAACAATAACGCAATGAAAGCTTCCAAGTAGACTAAAATCCTTGCTCTCAGTCCGAATCTGAGGTCAAAAAATTTGTACAAAAAAACTTGAAGGATTTTTTCAAATAAGGTTGTTAGTTGAATTGGTGTATAGACATGCCTGAAGGATTCAATAGGACTGCAAAACTATCAATGATTCTAGCAACAGCGATATTTAGTTTCAGTAACAGAATTCATCAATGCCAAAGAATGCAATGAAAATGAGATGTATATGAAAGTACGATTAGCATTTTAAAGCGTAAATATTTAGAGACTAACAACAAAAAACGTCCACACTTACCCCAAAATGCAGCATTATTTTAACAAATAATGCCATTAATTATCTGAAACTTGATATAAAAACAAAGGTGGATAAAAACATTTCACCCACCTTGGGCCTAAATTAAATTCTGTTATGATGTGAAATCTTTTTGGGTGCTTTGCTGTCTTTGTGAAAAGTCGATTGGTATTTTAAAAGCATCGTTATTGAAAGTGCAACTACATTGCTACTGCTACTTACCATTGTCAATGCCAAGTACATAAATAAGTGGTTGCGTTGCATTTCTTTCGCATGTTGAGGGTTCGTTAATAGATTTATTAGCCAGTTCGACACCTGTGAGACCAAATACAAGAATTTTAGATAACAGAAATCTTTGAACCCATTTGCTTGGAGCATGCATTTCGGATAAAGGGGAATGTTAGAGAAAGCGGGAAAAGAATTTAAGCAAGCGGTAACTGGTGGCTAATCGCTTGGAAGGATCAATCAAGACAGGGGGTGGGGGTGTGTTTGCAAAACACGACAGCGAAGAGTTAACACCATTACTAATGGGAAGAAATTTTTAGAGCTGAGGTAGAGAAATGAGTTCTCAATCAAAACACGCATCTGAAAAATATTCGCCTATTTTCCTTAAGGACATCACCAGGGGCTGCCTGCATTCCTCTAAACATTTGCGAACCAAGTATGATTTATATAACGAATGAAAATCTGCGAGCAAAACTTTCCAAGACTATCAAAATATTTGGCTCGCTGCGTCTGAAATATAGCATGTGGGTAGTGACGCCGCAATAGCATCTATGATTGCGAAGGCCTTATCAGAACTTTTCTTTCCAAGATAATGGAACAGTACACAGCTTTCAAATACAGAGATGATACGTGAAGGAATAGAGTGCTTACATGTCCACTTCTTCACTGACTTTAGATAAACTTCGCACCATGTATCACAAGCTGTGAAGAAAATGTGTGTTAGCACGAAAATTCAAATAGAAATAATACCATAATACTTGCTCGAATTTTGTCAGGGAACCAGTGCAGAAGTACCTACTTCTTCAAATTTCAATTCTGAAATAGGTACACATAAATAGAGGCAAAAGTGGGTAAACGAAACAAGGAACCAAAACAGGTCAAAAACAGAGAACAGAAAAGAATTAAAGCAAAGAAAATGGAAACAGGTCGAAAAGATGGTTGCCAGAAACAGGTACCAGAAAACTATTGGTACATGAAAAGGGTAGAAATAGGATTACGAAAATTGGAAAAAGCATTGGAATAAGAGATGGAATGCAAGTTTGCATTTAGTAAGCTTCGGGTATTATGCGAAATCATTGGGGATAAAATATTCAGAAATTTTTACTCTTCTGATCAGGGCTACAGGATCTACAGTAAGATTAAAAAACTCCATAGAGTCTTAGTCTTATAGAGGTGAAAGCAAGCGTTTTGTTGGCAATTCATTATCTGCTTAACACCACTTCAAATGTGAATACTCTATCCGGGCTAATCCAGGATTTAAGTCGAAAAAAGCCCCTTATAACCTCACCTGAAATTGAATTTTTGACAAAGTTCAAAGATTCTTTGCTTTGACATGACTCTGAATCCGAAGAGATGACTTTTACTGTGGGCGAATTAGCTTTGTTATTAAGACTTTTTCTGAACTTCACTGGCTTACTGGTTTTGTCGAATTCATCATCATCGTCAATTGTCTTGACAAGCTTCCTTGCGTAACCTCTGTCAACAGAGGGCATACAGCTTCTCTTTTCTCTCCTCTCTGACAATTTTGATGCTATGGACTTTCGTGAGCTTTTTGTTGCTTCAATAAAATCATCATCATCATCATCATCATCATCATCATCTGATTTTCTTTCATTTTGAGCTTCTTCACAGCTCTCCTTCACAGTGTCCGTATCATTACAATCGCCTTTATCATCAGCCTCGTTATCGGTTTCTTTATAATCAATCTTCTTACGTGCTCGCATCCTTTTACCGTTCTGATTTCTTTTGTCAAGCCTAACTTCTTTGGAATTTGTTTTCCTCGATTTAGCAGACTTCTTTACATTTTCAATAACGGTAGCTTCAGCTTTGGTAACTCTACGCTTAGGCGTCGACTTCTTTTTGCCGATTCCCTCGGCTGCTTGCAACTCCTTTTTAATATCAGAATCTGAAGTATCTGTCATGAAATAGGGTGATTTACTTGTGCTGTCATTTCTCTTCATTCCTTCTTCTTCCAACTCTGATTTTGTGACTTTCCCTTGGTGTTTAGAGCCATCTTTCGACTGACTGTTTTTCAGTTTTGCGACTGGTGGTTTCGTCTCTAATGATTGCTAATGAAAATAGAATTTTTTTACAGAAATTGTTAATGTTTTTATCATTGTGCAATATTGCAAAAACAAATAATGACAGAAACATTCAGTAAGGCAAAAATGTGATGATTTTGCGAGTTAAAACATTCTAAAAAATGTAACAAAGCATAATGCAATATTTGTTCGTCATTTACGTGACAATCTGAAGTGAGTTATATCTATCAAAAATTGGCCAGTGAAAAATCTAAGAAACTGTTAAATCGTCATAAAACTGAGAGCAACGAAATTTTGTAAAATCTAAGAACATGATTGCCCTGATGGCCTAGAAATTAAGACACAAGGGATAAAAATATACTTCCCACATCTAATACAGCATCAGAGCGGAAGCGAATCTCTTTACGTGATAAATAAGGTCACGGACATTTCATAACATTATTCATGACATCATAATTAAGAAACTCTTAAGAAACAATGAGCATTGAAATTTCCAGAACATTAAAAAACTGGAGTATTCAACATCGACATTTGTTTCATTATAAAAAAAAGGGGGAAAGGAATTGATGGAAATTAAACTAATAAAATATATATATACAACATTAAAGAAGACAATATTGCACCTCCTTTCCATTTCCTAGACGGAATAAATTTGCGTTGTCAACCTTCCAAGTGATTGGCTGGAAATCAAAGATGATTTGATCAAGGAATTATCATTCTACAGAATATGGTTTTGAAGCAAAAGTAAGAATTGCATTAGCAAAGTATTGGAGTAACCTGGCAAAATGAAATTTGGTAAAAAACTAGCTGCTTTAATCTGAATTAAAGAAAATCGCTGGTTATTTGTTTTTACTTGTTTTAGGTTAAATAATGTCAATGTATTTGGCTAAAATCAAAACAGAGAAATTTTGAAAGCCTTCAAGATGATGCTTACTGACAAGAAATAAGGCTGCGATTTCAAAATTCATACCAACTTACATTTGTCAAGCTACTAAAACGAATTACATTTAAGAGCACATATTTTCTTTCAAGTCATGTCTAGATTTATTTTGCATCCAATAAATCCACCTACAGTTTACAAACAACAAACTGAAATTTCTCAATTTAAGCTGTAAATTTCAGAATCGTGCTACCATCGACATTATAAATACAAGATTCAAGACAGGACCGTAAAAGCTACATTATATCTATTAATTATCAATGCTACACAGGTTTCCTAAAGCCATGTTCCAAACATCCAGCTAAGATTCTGCTTCGATATAAAGATAAAGTTGAAAAAAGAAGGTATACTTGTAGGGACATGACCAGTCTTGCCTGCAGGCCAATAGCACGAAGTGCAGCAACAAAAAGCTGAAAAGAGAAGAAACTAGCTGCTAACAAAATGAAAACACAACTGCTCAAAACGAGTAAAAACTATATACCAGACAAAAAAGGCAAATACAATTATGTCCTACTGAAAAACAGTTGGAGATAGAAGAAAAATTACTTTTTTCTCCTTTAATCGCTATTGCAATGTTGGTATTCATTTTGTAGCTTGCAATTTATGAACAAAGATTTTTTATAGTCAACATTCTGACCCAGTCTGTCAAATCGTGATGGCATCTTTAAAAAAACAGTTTCAATTGTGTGCATGTCTAGTATCTTCATGATGCTATAAATACAAATATTGCGATACCTGAATTTGCGGGATGCGCTTCGGTTTTCTGTTTATCTGTTGAAAATGTGTCCTCGTTAGAGAATGGTAAATGCAAAACTTGACCATTGATCTTGGAAGAAGTTAGACGGACGAGAAGAATGGAGGGTTAATTCCGAGAAAAAGAGAGATCAGTGTGAGCTGCAAGATTAGGGTAGATTTGTGTGAAAAGAGCTGTATGTTTATTTATAATTTAACAATTATATCATTAGCGAGGAAATAAGCAAACTTCAGAGGTAAAAAAGCAAGCATTTATGGTAAAATGGTTACAGAGGAGGAAAAACTTAAAAATTTAAAAATTAACGCAGTTTTAGGCATAAAATGGAAATCAAACGTGAATAAATTCAAAGAAACCAAAAATTAATCGCTCGATAAGTATCTACATTACTACTTTTTCAAGGAAGGTGCATGCATATTGCAACATTCAAAGTCAACTCTGACCATTTAATTCGATCTACTGCCTTCAACTGGAAATTTAAAAAATTCAGAAAAAAACTATATTTATGTCAATGAAGAAATGCTTACCTTTTGAAGAGAAATATGTAGGTTATCAATATCTTGCAATTGAAACCAATTAAGAAATTTTCGAAGCTCTGCTAATTCCCACTTGGATGTTGGTAACTTCAACATACTTGTTGGTATTAACGAGAGCCAAAGAGCCTTTGTAAAAGGACAGAAATCCATCGATAAAACTTTAAAAGAGGAATAATCAGAAAAATACTGAACACACGATCACCCGCCTATTTGTTTCACAAACCGGTGGAAGAAAGGCAAGCAAAAACCCAATCGTAGGAATTAACCTACTGAGTTTAATCACACCTTAACTAGTCTATTAAATCAATATGACAACTTTGAAAAGTTAGGAGCCAATAAGTTAAGAAAAGAATTTTCGCCTACACTATCTTTATCTTGAAATATTGGCTAACATTACTCAAAAAGAGAATTACATTAATAATGATTACGTCATAGTTTCATTATGGTCATAGTTAGTCGGCTCAAACCGAAATGGCCCCAAACCGGATTAAGTTGTCTTGCTAGGTAACGGAGCTAGAAAGCTCAGCGTGGCACTGAATACAAATATATATCATGATTCACAGTTGATTGGTGGTTTTTTATCGAAAACGAATCTCCATGGGGGTGATGGGGCATTTGAACCATGTCGCAAAGAAAATTCAAGGATCGGTATTTATATATCTTATATTTTATATTGGAATGAGTGCAACTAGGCCAAATACCCCACTAACATTTGCAAAAACCAAAGGTAGAACGACTTGAACAACTTTTAAACAAGCCATAAATCGTAAGCAAGCTGGCCTACAAAGTTAATTTACGTGTTTTCATTGTTGTTTGTTTTCGGCGCGTTACGGTTTTTCCTTATTTGCTACATTTTTTCAGCTTTTCGCACAAGAATTTCATCGCAATCCGTCGAGCAGCTGGCAATAGTGACCTTTCTTTTATTTACACATAACAAAGTTAACAATAACTTCTAAGAGATTTTGGCAATATTTTACAATGTCTGTCATGTTAACAACTCCTAGGACCTCTTTCAACGTAACCGTTCCTGATGAAGTTTTGTAGATTCGGTTCATAATCATGAGAAAAGTAAAAACAAACCGTTAAATTACGAACAGAATCCTGGACCAGCAAATTCTGTCAATTGATCTACGCAGTAACATCGCTTTAACAAGTAATTTTTTCAAGTCACATAATTGCTACCTTAGCTAGTAAACATCACTAAAGAAAATCTTTGAAAAAAAAGCAAAAATTTAAAACGTACCAAAGCTTTTTCTGACACTCTTTAGAGTATAAAACCTCACCTAATGATCGAAAAATTCTAAATAGATTTGCAAACATCACTCAAGGGACCTAAAACCTTGTTAACGATTGTTGACCAATAGAATCATACCTTTAAAGTTAGGTCATTGCAGGTTCTGTTCAGTAATATCTGCCTTGCAACCAAGCAAACAAGGTGACTTTTGTGTAAGTTGGTTTTGACTTCATTCTGAAATTTTCGCATCGTTCGCTCAACACACTGCAAAAACTTTTCTCTATTCTTTCGGCTAATGAAGGGAAAAATGAGAGGTTAGAGCGTGTGAAGTTCTTCAATTTAAGAGGACAAAAGTATCCTTATATGTCTTTAGAGTTTCAGTCTGAAATGTAAATACCATTCACAAAGATTTACGTCATTTGTCATTAGCACAAGCAACCAATGACCAAAGACCAAGGTGTCCTAACAAGTGCAGAAGAAACAAGAGAAAAAGGAGCAAACTCTGTAGCGAGAAAACTCACAGCTCAGAAGCTGTGTAGAAGAGTTGATTTATTGTTTCATGCAGGGACGCCTGCAAAAAAAAAGGGCAGGAGGGGCAGTGTTGATGCCGAGGGCAAATCGTGGAATTTTTCTACTAACATAGTCGAGTATTCCTAGGTGGGAGGGAGGCAAGGGTGGGGTAACATAAGAAAATATGAACTTGAATACAGTGCCACCCCTACAGTTGGGTTTTTTACCATTGTAAAATGGAGGTTTAAAATCGCGAGAGATGACCCGAAGACTGATACTTTAAAGAATGACTGTTTCTTGCGAGCGGCTATACTTTTTCTTTCCGTTGGATTACCCCTCATTAGGATTACATCATGTTGCGTAGTCAATAGTTATATTGGGTAACATTTTATGCTTAGTTATGCTTTTCTGGTATTTTCCTTGTACACATAAATATACGTAGTTAGTTAGATTCAAGGAGATTCGGAGAGAAATTCAGAAGGTATAGTCATGAAAGGCTAAACATCAGAAAGAAGCTAACCGTTTCGCCCTAGAGGCTTGCGAAAGCTCTTGCGGCCCGGTTTGCATTTAGGACAGGCAGTGCTTGAGAAAGACTGCGCTGTGCTTCGTAATATATTTCATTGGATTGCTATTATTAGAGTTCGCGGAAAACCGTCGTTGTTTATGTTAGCTGTTTAGATTAAAGTTTAGCCTTGGGCTGTTATAAGATGGAAATGGAAAGGAAAAGTATAGCCGCTCGCAAGAAACCGTCATTCTTTGAAGTTTCAGTCTTCGGATCATCTCTCGCGTGCACAAGGGGGATATCCTAATAATCTAAGTAATATACAAAATACCTATGTATACAAAAAACCAAGTGAAATTGCTAAATTTAGCTCTATTACACTATCAAAGATTCTTAACATAGAGAAAATGTTGACAGAATTTTCCATACATAAAAATGAGTATTAAATGGCCTTGTCACTATTCACAATATTTGGTTTTATAAAAATTCATGGCTGTTATGAATTAGCTTGGCTGCTTGTAAAGTTTTTATTGCCCGCTAAGTTTCAATACCGATTTATCCTCCTTAGGTTCCTGGAGTTATTCTGAGGGAACACGTCGTTTGTTTATCATCTAATATCTTCGTCGCTCTCCCTCTTGTGGTTGACCTTGTCAAGGACAAACTTTTTATCCTTTGCGTTTTTGTGCTGGTGTTAACATCTTTCTAATATTTTCTAATAGATATCAACATAACGAGAGTGGTCAAAGTGGTCATTATCGATAAGATCCTATAGTGTTTTCTTATATTTGAGGGCACTTCTAGCCCCCTCTGCCCCTCTTCAAAGAGGGCAGGAGGAGCAGCTGCCCCTCCAGCCCCCCTGGGTAGGTGCCCCTGGTTTCATGTCATGTGATGTCATTTGATGTCAAGTCATGTGATGTCATTTCATTTGATGTCGAGTCATGTGATAGCATGTGATGTGATGCCATTCGCTGTCATGTGATGCCATTCGCTGTCATGTCATGTCATGTCATGTCATGTCATGTCATGTCATGTCATGTCATGTCATGTCATTTCATGTCATGTCATGTCATGTCATGTCATGTCATGTCATGTCATGTCATGTCATGTCATGTCATGTCATGTCATGTCATGTCATGTCATTATTTCACCAGTCTGTTGTATATCAATCAACGCTATTAGACTGGTTCCATTTCTCTAAAATAGTTCTTAAAAAGAGATCAAGAGGCATTTTCGGGTAGAAGCTGGGATCCAGTTTATTTTGGGTATTTCGACCATGCTGATTACGAATTTGGCGGATCCCAAGCGAAATTCGCTAATTTAAAGGCTTAATTTGCATATTCAAAATGGCTGCCGGTCAAAAAACTTCAAGGTATAACCAAGGGACCCTCCGAACCGCATAAAGTTCTGGCAAGTGGTACAATATAGCAAATAAAGAAAAAGTAAAGAAATTCAAGAATCTTTGTTGCATGCAGCCGATCTTGGTCAGCAACAAATTCTAAGCTTTGTCACGCACAGACTGACACTGTCTGACACAGCCCATGATATCCTTCAACGAACCATTAAAAAGATGCAGAGCGCTTACCTTTCAAAGCCTATATGAAGTTCCAATAAATTCAAACTACAAGGAGAAGCAGACGATTTTCAAGGCCGATCGAAATATCCTCATGCGGCTGATCACTGCTTATGAAGGCAGCCGTGAAATTGATCTTAAGAGTGTGCTTTCTCATGAATTGATGCCAGTTCCTCATCTCTCACTGAAATGAACTGTTCTCTTCGGACTGGAAGCAAGTCTGTCCTTATTGACAAGCTAACGGATAGCATCAATTGTCCAGAGAGTATCGATCTTCATGGAATAACAGCGTGCTTAATCATCGATGGTCAGGCTCTAGTGGTGTTATTAGGCAAACCAAATGGTTGCTCTTCGTTTCGTGATTTAGCAGACACATTTGTTTCAAATGGGTAAACGCTACCAGAGATTTAGCAGTGCTTCAAATGGGTAAACGCTACCAGAGAATCGACGTTGTTTTTGACCGCTATAGACAACTATCAATCAAAACTAGTACCAGACTAAGGCGGAAAAAAACTAGCCGGCCTGTTCGCCGAGTTAAAGAGAGCGGTTTGGTACCTCTTCCAAAGTTCTGGTCAAACTTCTTGGCATTGCCAGAAAACAAAGCAGATCTTGCACGATTCCTGTCAGAAGAGTTGCTTCGCCAAGCAACTGAAGATAAAGAAATTGTTACAGCTGGTGGATTTATCAATGAATTGCTTGCCCAGTCATCGAAATACTACACTGATACCTTGTCTTTAAGTGCAGACCATGAAGAAGCAGACACCAGACTTGCCCTTCATGCTATCAATGCCACCTGCAATACAGTAGTAGTTGCTGCTAGAGATGCAGATGTGCTCATCATTCTGGTGTCCCACTTTTAACGAATGCGATGCAATGATCTTTGAATGATGTCTGGAACGTCAAAGAAGAGAAAATATATTCCAGTCAAAGAGATTCTTCACTCCTTGCATGAGGGATCTGTTCAAGCACTCATCCCCTTTCACACTCTTACTGGATGTGATACAACTTCGTACTTGTCTGGGAATACAAATGGCATCTGCATGGAAAGTTTTTAAAGAGTCTCATGAGCTCTTGCAAAAAACATGGGAGAAGGAGGTATTAGCAAACGGGGTATTATGCGTAAAGCAGAAAAAAATTTTTGCCACGGTTTTGGTGCAGGCCACAAATGAAGCCCGACACCTTCTATTTTTCAAGAAAACAAAACCCGAGGCATTGCCTCCAACAAGTGATGTGGCACATCTTCACATAAGAAGAGCACACTTCCAAGCAATGATATGGAAACAAGCTGGATCACCGCATCAAGACTTACCGTCACCTACAGATTTCGGATGGGAGCTTTCTGAAGATTAATTAAAGCCGATTCTGATGACAGTGAAGCCATCCCTACTGCTTCTCTGGAGATGATCTTTTGTGGATGTAACACACGATGCAGAACTCATATAGCTTAGTTTGCTTTAAGATTTAGATCAGACACTCCTTCAAATCTTAATGTAGGGTCAAGCTTCACACTGCAGGCCTTGCGCATATCAACATGAGAAGAATCCTCAAGAATTCTTGACAAGTATGGAAGAATTTAAAAATTAGCAAAGAAGTTTTGAGTGAAACTACAACTGTTTTTTTCTTAACAACTCTCAAGAATTATTAGTCAGAAGATAGTGTTAATTTGTGCAAGGGCTGTAATGTAGCAAGTTGTGTGGCAAATGCAGCAAAGCTGAAACAACGAATGCAACTGACCTATAATCGATTAGATTCAAGCTTGGACACACGTTAGAGACCTTCACAAAAATGCAGCAAAGTAGTCAAATGTCACAAAAATCCGATTACTACTTGGGGGAAAATTTCATTTGAGAAATGTCATACATAAACTTGTCGTTAGTTCGAAAAATGAAGAGCCGAAAGTTTGCCATTTCTCCTAAAATTAAATGGGCTAAATAAAACTGGAAGATTTTATTTTAAATGGTAGACATTAACCAGCTAGAAAACCAAATCAATGAGTTTAATTTTTGCCGGAGGATCATAGATCATCGAGAATGCCACCATTCGACTGATTTCGAAGAGACTTTTGAAATGTTGCATGACCTTTTCAATTTTTGATGGCGTGAACAATTTTTAGGTTAATGACGTCATCATATTTATGACATCATGTAAATCAAAGAAAATTTAATAGATCAACTTTACTAGCCCAAATTGGCTCTCTCTATCTTTAAAAGTAAATTCAAGACATTTTAGAGTATTTGCATCAGTAATTAGGGGTTTAAATGAAACAATGACAAATTGGTGTAAATAAATCATAAATAAGCGATATAGATAATAAGCTTAGATGGAAATCATATCTCTGATTTTTACTTTTTGGTGCATTTTGATACATTCTAGAGACTATAAAAGGACTTAATAATTAAAGCTGAGATATTACCAATAGTTGGCAAATTCTGTCATTTTCTTCAATTATGACATCATAATGACGTCATGGAAGTAATGAAAAATTTTAAAAGTTCCCTGTTGTGTAGTTTTTGTTGCTGTACACCATTTTACCAAGTTCTATCCTCATAACAGCAATATTAGTGAATATCCTATTCGAATGCAGTGTCATGGATTTTCTTGGCAGCATTTTGAAGATTTCGACTGGCAGCCATTTTGATATGCAAATTAAGCCCTTAAATGAGCTAATTTCGCTTGGGATCCTCGAAATTCGTAATCAGCATGGTCGAAATACCCAAAATCAACTGGATCCCAGCTTCTACTAAAAAAAGCCCCTTGTTTTATAATTTCTTGGAATTGGAACCAGTCTATATAAAAACAGAGCTGTAAACACTTTGGTGAAAAAGAGAAGATAGATCTGATTTGCCACTTTGAGTTTGATGTTTAATGCGAACACAAAGCATTGTTTGACACAAGCTACATTGAGATTGTTTTCTCTTAATTCTACCTCAAATTGTCAGACTTCAAAAGAATTTGAATAAGTTAAAAAAAGAAGTTTAACAAAACCTTTTTGACTGATATAAAGATTTGACCTTTAGACTAACAGCAACATCTTTCACAGTCATCTCCTTATTTTCATTCTTCTTTGGGCTCTCCAGCAATGACTTATCAATATCAGCCTCTAAAGGATGAAGATTTTGACTTTTTGTTTTAATTCAATATTCAATTAGCAATTGGCAATCAAAAATCAACAATTGCTGAGTTTCATGATAAAATGTTTATGTCATTAAGCTGAAATAGGAAAAAAGATGCAAATAGGGAAATTGGTGGTGGCATCTTGCAAAGACAATACATGCCAAATGAAACTACCAGTCTCATGTATCATGTTACACTATGTCATGTCACGGCAATTTGACCACCAGATATTTTGCATTTATGGAAAATCTTTATTTGATACTGTCAGCCTTCCATTCTTTCAATTAACCCTTTCTGCAGAAACCAGTCAAACCTAACTAACAAACATATTGTTGAATACCTTTCCCTTTGCAATCATTCACTGAAGATTTTCTCAAATACCATGTCATCCTTATTTGGCACATAGGAATTGGCTATTTAACAAAGCAGTCATCAAATATCTAGGTAATTATATGGCATTAGGTAAGTTATTAAGCAATAAAAAAATGAACAGGTAAAAAATTGCTATTTTGAACTACAACAAGTAAAATTGATTTTTGTCTTGAATTTATGTTGAAATGATAGCTATGCACCAAATTAATGAAAAAAGAGTGTCTTAGCTCCAAATTCAATTTTCCAAATTTTTCCTGCAACTGCAAAATCTGCTATTTGACAATAATAAACTAAAATTTGCTTAGCTGTTTTCAACATACCATGGACATCTTGCCAGTCATCTTCGCTGTCACTTTCAATTCCCTCAGAAGACATTCCCACGTCCACTAAGTTACTTGACCCTGCAAGACTATCTAAGTACTTTTGAACCTTCAGTGGGACATTTGCAACATCTTTCATCTTTTTTTGGGCAAAACGTTTTCCATCTGGTTTCAAATTGTTCTCATTCTCGTTGACTTTAAGTTTCCTTTTTTTCTTTGTCATGTTTTTGTCATCCTCCTCCATTTTTTTACAAACAATATCAGAATTCTTTGTCTTTCTCAAGCTTTTTCTTGTTTGTTGTTCTGCCTTCTTGCTTTCAGTTTTAATTGAAGCATCACATTTCACAGGTTTTGATTCATTTATAACTTTTACAACTGAATTGTTTACTAATTGTTTGCAATCTTCTGTATTTGTAACACTCTTTCCTTCTTGATAATCCGAAGATCTCTTTTTAGATTCATGTTCTTTCCCAGTGTCTTTGGATTTACCTTTTAAATTCACTTCTGGTTTTGATCTTTGGTTTTTTGCTCCAGCTAAACCACAAGCTCTCTGTTTACTTTGCACAGCGTTAGAGAAATGTTTACGCTCTAAATTGGCATTGCTATTGTCATCATCAGAACTTTCTGATTCTGATAGAAGTGGCTGAGAACTGCCAAAAGGGAAGGGTTCAGCCAAACTACCCTTAACTTCCTCTGATGTTAAAGGTTTATCTGAAAAAAAATTAAAAACAAAGAAAAATCAGGCAAAAATCATATTTTTGAGATCGCAAAGAAAAGCATAAACATGGCTACAACTTGCAAATTGTTACTTTTCAAAGTTGACAAAGAAGGCATTCAATTAACTACAATCGATTTTCATAATAATGCCTCCTTTGCATCCCAGTTGCATCCCTCCTTTTCACAGTTTCACACTTCTCTAAATTAGCTTGAATGACCAGTAATATATAGCAACTGATACATTTTTCGCAGAGCTCTCTCTTACATTTTCTATATCAAGTGACTCTGTCGTACCTTGGGTTTTTCTAGTTTTGGCGACACTGTTTTCCTGTAGTCTTGATTTTCTAGAAGATTTTTTGGGAGGCTGAAATTCTTCTTCATCATCTGAATCTGAATTTGAAGATCCTGAGTTAAAATATCGTTTTGCAGTGGTTGATCTTCGTTTAGGTGTTGCTCTAATGGATTCAGGTGACTTTTTCCTTCCCTTTTTGCCAACCATATTCTTTGAAGCAGATTATCTAAAGAAAATGGAGAAATGAACATAAGAAGTTGTCAATAAACCAGATTAAAAAAAGGAAGCAAGCTTGAAGTCTTTTAGTGCATTTTATATGAAATGTTCATTTTATGATAAAGAATACTAACAAAGAATTCTCTTTGAATTATGATTATAAACTTCATAACAGACTAGGCTCCGTGGAATTATAGTGCATGATGGGATCAAGCATATGCATAGTCATTTCAACCACTTTTTACATGTTAACCTCCTTAAAATAATCAGATTGCAGGGAGACAGACATCCATGCATTAAAGTGCAATCTCTGATTTTGCATACAGCACTACAAAGACCTTTGGAATGCATCTGGCAAACACTGCAGAATGGTTAACAGCAAGAATACTGTATTGGGCAGAATCAATGTTTTATTTATGCTGGAGGCTTGCAGATAGATATGAGACTGCATAGTCTTGTCACAGACTTGACTGGTTTTCCCAGAGATTAATTTTGTTTAATGAAAAATTTAGGGTTTCTCTACCAGAGCCAACCCTAAATTTTGCATCCAACTAAATTAATAGCTGGGGAACCAATTTTCTCTGCATGCAGGCTAGAAATAACAAGCCAAGATTATAAATTATGTCAAAAACGAGCTCTATCTCATGCCAGTATTCTGGCCTGGGGGCACGTCCACATGGCAAAAATATTATGTAACAGACATGGATTGTGCCTGGTTATCTTCTGGTGAGAGTGACTCTATGTTTCAAAATACTATTACTTAAACAATAGCTTTTTGTTTCCCGCTGAATGAATACACTTCAACCAATCTTTTTGTGGTATAAAATTTAAATATGTTTTTGAAAAAAGCAAACATTTTGAGTCATACTAGCCAGGGTGGAATCAATGTAGACCTCATGCAAAATATTGGCCAGTTAATTTGAAGCTGTGCCTAACAATCTGCATCTTAATGCTTACGCCAAAAGGTTGTATGATACAATGCACAATTGAAACTATCCTTCTTTCACCACCAAAAGTTATTTATATATCTTACCCTGGCCCAAACACAGGTAGCAAACACATCCACCTATAAACCAACACATCATTTATACTTCATTATACGCCAGTACTGCAAGGGAATTATGAAGTAGTCTTTCCTGGATATTGTAGCATAAGTTACATGGATTCCACCCTGGTATACTAGAGCTTTTAGTCAAACAATCTTCAGAGTACAAAACGTCAGAACATAGATCAAAACACTGCGCTAGGAAATGTATATACCCAAGCCCCCTAACCCTCCCCCCCCCAACTTTGTGGTGCCATATCCCCTTGAAATTCATTCTCTGATAGCAAAAAAAACTTAAAAAGCCCACAAACTTAAATAGCCATGGAACCAGGGATGTAGTGCGTGCTAGGGGGCTCAGGAGGGAGGCAAGAAAAGTTGCCTTTGGATTTCAAGATACGTTGGTAATAACAACAGGGCCCGCGCCACGAATTTGAAAGTGGGGGGCCAAAGCTACAAAAGCAGGGAGCCAAGGCTTCTAGCCCCTTATACTACAGCTTCAAAACTACTTGCTACGCAAAAAAGGGGGGACATGGCTACCCCGGCCCCCCGGGCCTTGAACAATAAATACATTATCAGCAAACTTGTTGCACCGAAACATGAAGATTTATGGGTTTTTCAACACAAAATTGAGCCAAAAAGATTCGCACTTCAGTGTTCAGCGCCAACATTCCTCGTTGAAAAGAACTTCATATTGTCCTGCTCCTGAGGAGACGCTAGGCTAGCTCTTCGGACGAAATCTACTTTTCGAAAAACTACATGCGTTGGCAAATATTTCTGATTTGTTGAAGACTTTCTCATAGACTTGTTGAAGAACTACGCATCTTACCTGCTATGGTATGAATAAACAAATGCAAAGATCTGCTTTCGCCCCCATAAACTATACGGGTTATATTATGTAATCACAACAACTTGCACATGCTACAATACTTTGTTGTTGTTGTTCTTGTCGCTGTTGTTGTTGAGACGATTTTGCCACTCATGTTGAAATTAGTTTGTGCCAAAAAATGGGGACAGAGCTGAAAAATAATTGTCAAAGACCCGAAAAATCTACCCTAGACTCAACAAACATAGATCCAAAACAAAAAGGGTCTTGTCTGACTTGTACTAAAGTTATTTGGTGCTTTATGAGATAAGATATGAGATAAATTGGGGCTCTGAACCCGCAGTCGTAAAAGGTTGTCGATTGCGGGGGGCAATTCTATTTTACATGTAGCGAATGAGATTTCCATTAAAACAAAATAATTCCTTGGGTTTTACAGTTATAGAAATAAAATTGCTACCAAAAATACGAGATTTCCATAGTTTTTGCCGTTTTTTTCCTGTTTTCATGATCTTCTAATTCGCAAAAAGTCTGGTCAAAAATATCGAAGTTTTGTAATTTTTGAGAGCGTTTGCGACGGCAAACGATTTTCGCAAGAAAGTCAAATTTGAATTTTTCTGCGATAGTCTAGACCTTCACCTTGTTTTTCGTGCTTCAACCAATCAAAACACCCTATCTGAACTTTAATAAGGCACATAAGCGTTGCCTTTGCGTTGCCTTTGCGTTGCCTTTGCGTTGCATTTGCGTTGCCTTTGCGTTGCCTTTGCGTTGCCTTTGCGTTCTCTTTGCGCTGCCTTTGCGCTGCCAAGGCCGTCGCTACGAAGTATAGATTTGCTTATAGATAGGCAAACGCTTAGATTTGTCGGCAAATAAAGGAAGGCACACCCGAGGGGCAAATCACTCCAAGAAAATCTCGTCCACCTTTTGTGAAAATACTTTTGTTTTATCTGAAAATCCCCAGAAATCCTTTTGTTTAGGGGAAAATCTCGTACGCTATTTTCAAGAGTGAATTGCCTCTCTGGCATACCCATTTTGTCGGCAAATTGGATCGGGGTACCCCACTTGTGCACAATAGCTAGTGACGGCCCTGCTTAAAGCCTCCGTCTCCCTGTGTCTGGTTATAAAAATTATATAATTACTTCGACATTCTACACAATGCTCATAATGTCCAATCTCTGCTCTTACAAACATGCCTGTTCTTGCAACACAGCAAATTGGTATCAAAGCTGGTGTACACTATAAATGACAACCTGCTTAACGTCAACAAAATAAAAACGATCAAAAAATCAAGGCAGCCACTTTTAGGTCGTGGGAAACTTTGCATACAATAAAGAAAAAGACATTGCGTGCGTCGAAATATTTGCAAATGTTGCAATAGGCCTACCACCGATCAGATGCTGTTGTCAAATGGAGAGAGAAACCAGACATACAAAATATCCTTTGTTGCAATGTCAATCACGATTTTCTATTGCCAAAGAACTCTTTGAAGCCCTTTATCCGCAATATTCCAAAGCAACTCTGTCACGTCCTCGCCCCAAGGGAGCTTATTTCGCAACAAATGTTTTTAGTTTGTGGTTTATTCGAGGGAGAGGGCTTATTCGATTCGAGGAGCCAAAAATACTACCAGAGTAAAGTTTCTTGTTCTACTTGTACCTAAGACCGGTCAGTGTGCTCAAAAATGCGGATGTATTTGGATAAACTCATTGCTGCAAAGGCAATACGTCACTCTATGGGGGGCTTATTCGAGGGTGGGGGCTTATTTCACGAAAATCACTCTAGAGTGGAGGCTTATTCGAGGGTGGGGGCATATGTCACAATAGTTAATTTTGGGTAGAGGCTTTTTCGAGGGAGGGGGCTTATACGAAGGTAGGGGCTTATTCGAAAATGACCTATTCCACTGACTTTATTTGTAGATGCATATAACGGCTTTCTTCTTTATGGCATAAGAACGGTTTGGAAAGACGAAATACGTCAAGGTTATTGCATACAAGGAGACCTGCGAAGAAATTGGAAGCTGAAAATTTTTCGATAATTTGTAACGAAAATTTATAAAGAGCAAAATGTTCCTATTATATCTTGAAAATTGAATAATTCTGTCCTTTAATATTCTTATAAAAAAGAGTGTATATCTATTGAATTTGGATTCAATTATATTGGCCAATGCAGATTTAAGTTGCAATGCCAAAAACATCGAGTCTATAAATATAATAATAATTATATCATATTTATGCAGGTTAACTTTGTTCAGCAACAACGTGCAGTCTCATCCTGAAATTCTGAACATTTTCCAACTCTTTGTTTTCACTGCCCGCTGCCCTCTCCCCTCCCCATTTTACGGTATATGTTGGAAGGCAAAACAATGACACGTTGATATGTGGCTGCGTGTGGTTACTTAGCAGATCCAGAGCAAATCTCTGTTGTTGAATCATTGTCTTTTTCTGTTTAACATGGACCTTAATGTTATCTAAAGAATCATTCTTTCAAGTGTTGCCTCAAAATGCTGTGATAAGAATTGCTAGTAAAACTACAAGGTACTTATACACTCTCTGCTTCAATTCTTTTAAACCCAAAGTATAGAAATATGTAAAAGCTGCATTAATTTCGATCAATTCTGAGACCACGTGCACTTTGTACCGTGGAGGAAGCTGGCAACACCAAACACAATAGCGACTAGAGTTTGCTATGGACCAATCATAATACACAAACACGAGGCTGACTGTCATATGCCAGCATTGCTAATATGTTTATTGACAAAATTTGATATTGCAATTCCCCTTATCTTTTGGTTGAAGCTTACATTTGTCAACATTCTGAAAATTCACAGGCTGCGGGCAGCTTTCTGTGAGGCGATTTCTGTTTGGCATTTGTAGGGACAAAGTCAAAGCTACGCATATGAAACATTGGACATAGCAGATGTGGGAAATACCAATTCGATAAGCAGGACGAAATATTCAAGAAAACCATAACTTGGATTGCACCAAATATTCACCCTACAAAGCCGAAACTGCGGGGCAGCAGATATTTCCGTCCAAGGGCTAAACGTTTCAAGGGAGGACCTTTGATAACACGGAAACGGCTTTGACGAGAGTCAGAAGAGGGGCTGGAAGCACTTTGCTGCAGTTAACAGGCGAAAGACTATGGCTAAATTCTTTGAACATTTAGTGTTTTTTGCAATTTGCATTTTGAGCTCGGGTGTACATATAGCCGTAAATTTGCAATTACCAAGTTCACTAAGAAGAGGACAGTTTTACCCAACCAAAGGTGAATCAGATCCCATAAACAGTGAAGCATTGCAATGCAGGAGTATTCGAGACGTCATCAAAAGGAACACTGCCAGATACAGAAAAGTTTTAGTTCGCAATGACAACAGCATGATTGACTTTGGGAGCAATGACGATAATAAATACATGACATCACGAGCGAAAAGCAAGCTCGATGTACTGGCGAGCAGAGTACAAGCAAAATGGGGACGACTGAAAGTCGACAAAGCCTGGACAGATGTTGTAGGAGCAAACAAGCTGTCATTACACTATGAAGGTAAGGCTAATGTTAGCTGTTTGGAAATGATGACCATGGTATCTAGGTAGCTTGAATAAAAGTCTTTATTAGCCCACGAAAAAAGAAACATGCTCTCTTGCTGAGGCCAGAAAAAGATGTATTTGATAAAGAAAATACTGCAGGAAGGCAAATAAAATATGATGCTTTAAGATAGAAGAACTTGGCTTTTCCTACTAAGACGTAATAAGGATATGAAGTCTCTCCCTCTTATATAGCAATGTTGAAAATGTTAAAATCCTTGCGCTCATTCCCATAAACACGTAAAATGTAATTTCCATGGAGATACTCGTTGCATTGAATTTTCAAGGCATCACGAGTCTAATGTAGTTTTTTCATGTTGCATACCATATTTTTTCATGAGAGAACAGTCAGAGCAAAAGAGCAACGAATAAATTCGTGTTTGCCTTTGAAAATTGTGATTCTGCAGTGAATATACTAATGATAAATAACACTGCATGACATAACTAAAGGAATTAATTGAAGGGAAGTGAAAAGATAGAAGCCTTCGTAAATTTAACAGCAAATATGAAGAACGAAAAGTTCTGTAAAGCAGAAATTCCGTTTCCGTGTGTACAGTGGGGTAATGACAAAACGTCGTGCTTTTTGCATAAAACAGATGTCGTAAACCTTAACGCAGACAGGTGCCCTTTAATTGTCCAAGTCCGTTTATGTCGGGTTGAGGTCATTTGGTCTGCTTAATCTTTAGACCGATATTGTGATGTACATATAGAAAAAGTTTTAACAAAAGCAATTTAGCGCCATCAGGCTCTGCTAGTGGATTCTGAGTTTCACAGAAATTGCCATCTACCAAGCCCCCACTGCTCCCTAATACACAGGGATTGGGCCATGTCGCACTTTCATAACTTCCATTTCGTGATTTTTTTCATTTTTTTTCATTGTTTGATTTTTTTCAATTTTTTTCATTTTTTGTACTAGAATTACCACAGCAGAAATGGTGTTATACTACATCTTTGTGGGTGGTTCACTCACTGTCGGCACTCTGACATTACAGCCCCCCTCAGCATTTCTTTTCTGGCGCCATCCCTGCTAATACACCCCCATTCCCTAATACAGAAGAACTTGTTTTTAAAATTTCGATTATAGTTTCTATGTCCTCGAATTAAAGGAAAGACGTTACCTAGAAAAAGCTTGTCCAGACGAAGAATTACGGGAAACTAGTGAATGTACAGTTTCCTTATGACTAAATTCTGCATAGCGACGGCAACATGTGAACTTCCGTCAGTGAAAATGGCCTTTCCTTGAAGTCAAGGATGATTAGGTTTTCATCGTTCGTTGACTGCAATTAAAAAATATGATTTCCTATTTTTATTTACTTTTGAATGTCTTTGTTAACAAATATCTGGCTACACAGTTGTGTAAAAACGACATATTGAAAAAGGCGCTCTCTGTTTGGCATGTTTCTATGAATTTGTATGTTTTATGTTTTAACGGCCTTCCCATTGACGTAGTTAGATGTGAAGGCAAGGTTTCTCTCTTTGGGAATGAAAATGAGGTAGACACGTCGAGATCAATTTCGACGAGAAAATATTAGGGGGGGGGGGGGTCATCTTTTGGCAAGTACAAGTCACATTTATGAGAAACTGATGATTTAAACTACCGTTGGCAACAACAACGTCGCGTTTTAAGTATTTTCATAGTAGCTTCTTTAATCAACTGTTTTTCAGTTGCCAACTACAGAACTCGTATCATATTGCAAAAGAATGTTAACTACTTGATCAAATACAATTTCATGAAAACGCAATCACGAGGACAGTAGCAGCTCTTGTGAGTGAAAGTGGCAAATGCCTCCACCCCCGATCCCCCCGATCCCCAAGATCCCCCCGATCCCCCCGATCACCCCCTCTCCGATCCACCCCCTCCCCGAGCCAATAAGTAGGCAATTGGTATAAATTTGCTAGAATACCGTGAAAAAGCAAAAATTGAGGTACCAACCACGTAGCTGTAGATGTTGGCTAGGGTGGGCAAACTCGAGCAACAACCGTACCTGAGGGGCGCAGGCTCTAAAACAAGAAAGCATATATATAACAAATATATATATTTGGACTAAATCAAGCTCACGGAATTATAAAAACGCTTTTATACAATGCCGTAGCACGTGGGGGCACAGGGGCCATGCTCCCGATCACGTTCAAAGGGAAATGATAAATATCAGCAGATTCGGTTTTATGTAATTTTATTTCAATTGGCCCCTCCAATTATTTTAGCAGCGCTGAGGCCCTGTATTATAATTTGATCAATGGTTGAAAGTCCTTCTCGTTTGCATCAGGGGAAAGGGTGATCCTGCGCACATGTATTTCGTTTCAACGTGAGGAGAATTATTCAAAAGATGACAGAAATGCACTTAGGGCTTGGTTCTATAGCCTTTTCTAAGCAATTTGAGCTATTTTGGGGTTGGGGGAGGGGGTTTTCATTAAAACTGCATTTTCATAAAGAACAACAATTATCTACAATGGAGAGTTCGCTGAGCTGGAGAGGTGGTTGACATATTAGGCCCCTAGCCTAATAATTTCTAAATTTCAAGCTGAATCTTTTCTTGAAATGATTCAGTCAATGCCTGCCTCTCCACTGCGCTGGTGAGAGGCGTCTGCGTTACATCATGGGTAATCAATAAGAGCATAATTTGAGCATATTTCAATTTTATGTGCCGTTGCAGAAAGTTGTGGATGAAAGTTGAAATGCGTTATTTATCTTACAGGCAGAACATTGAAAGTAAGATTGTCTGCAAACCATTTGAATACAGAATCAAACCTCGGTCAACTGTGTGGAATGGCTTTGGTATCAGGATTTGACTGGGTTTACTTCGAAGGATCCAATTACATTCGGATCAGTGTTATTCCTGATGGTAAGCTTTTCTGCCACTATCATTTTAAGCTACCTGAGTCCTAAGCCCTTAGCCACTCGATTTTGTTAAAATTTTGTTACATTTTCTCTTGCAGGAATATAAACCTATTTTCTAAAGGCTCTTTACTAAAGCTTAAACTGCGTTGTTCATTATGCAATTCCTCCAGCCTCTAGTCTAAGTCTCTTGCTGTTTTATCTTTATCTTACCAGCAGGGGCGAAACTACCGGGGGGTGTTGGGGGGCGGGGGGTGTGACACCCCCCCAATCCAAAAAATAGTCGATTTCGCAGGGCAATCGAAGATTTCGCAGGGCGCCAAGAAGAGCTTTATTGCCACGCAGAAATGCCACCTCTGAAGTTTGTAAAGAGCCGTTTAGGAATTTTGAAATGGAAATAACGTATTTGTTATGAACCTCCCTTCCTGACATTGCACTTTAGAGAACGGAACAGGTATGTAAGGAAAAGCTCCGTTATTTGAAGCATTTCATTACAGAAAGTCATAGCCAATGGATGCAATGATTGATGCATATGTTTATGAGGGCAAGGTTGAGTCATGAAAATTAATTTAAGTTGTAAATTATTTTCATGACAAGCACGGCGTCACTGGGGGAGGGGGGGTGGGAGTAAGGGGCTGAAGTCAAGATAGGAATTTTTTTATCATTTTTTCTATTACTTTTTAACAGTGCATGAACTTAAAAACATAATAAATCGTTAAGATACCGATTTTGTTTCATCTAATTGCTAACTTTTTCACGTATATTTTTATTATTTTTCTTTTATTTGCATTAATTCAGTAAATCATTTTCTGTATCATTGCAATGTTTTAATTTTGGATGTGTAAACATGGCCTTCTTGATACAAGAAATTGCACATTTCTGTTCAGGAAAAAAAATTCTCCCAATCAAAACAACATCTTCCTCTGTCATTCACAACTACGTGCAATCTGAAACGAAAGGTTGCCGTTTCTTTTCTTCCCCAACGTCTAACACTAGAGTTTTAGCATGACATCCCCCTCCCTATTTTTCCCAATAAACAATAATGTTTTCAATAAACAATCAGTTTATTTAGCACAATAGTATTTTGCTAAATTTTTGTCTGAAAAATGCTTTTTAGCCCTTTTTACAAGATATAATTTCGAAAAATTTCTTCACGTCGGACCCAACCATGGTGGGTCCTCCTACCTCACTAAAATCGACTCTTAGCCCCACTGGGTTAAATTTCGTTACGCTGTCTACATGATGTACCCACCCCCCCACCCCCCCAAATTAGCTGTTTATTAGCTTAATTTTGCAAACCAACATTAAATGAAGTGAATATAAAAAACAATTTACGCTCACGTAAAGAGATAGAAATTTCATAGGCAATGAAGTTTCAAGTTTGTTTTATTGCTTAGAAGTTTGTCCTTGGTAAAGACCAGTGTACACTGGTAAAGCTTTCACTAGTAACCTATAGACAAACCGTTGCTACAATGTCTGCAGGGCACCACTCAGTTTTGCAGAGCAGAAACCCTTTTCAACCCCCCCAAAACAATTGGCCAAGTTACGCCCCTGCTTACCAGTGACTAGGAAAACGGAGGCTGGGTTAAGGAAGCTTAGGTTTTTCAAATACTATTCAAAAAGTACTTATAACCATACACTGGCTCATCTTTTTCTAGGGCTTTCTGGAAATGTTTTAGTCTCAAATGTATAAATCACCCTTCAACCTCAGGGGGCTCACTATCACTAGAAATAAGCCTGACATTATAGCATATGGAATAGACACTGTATCCTATAGATGGCAAGAAGTATGGAACTCAATTCCCATAGAAATCACCTCAAGCTCAAATATAAACATCTTTGAAGCATGTATTGTATTGTGTTGTTGTATTGTGTTGTGTTTTTTGCTACCTAGCTTCCGAAGGTAGTTTTTAGGACACTGAGAAGCTTATGCTTATCGAGCAGTGTCCTGGTCCTTCCTCTCGATTTGACCACACCTCGTGATTCCTACGCCTGGAATTATAGAAGTTTGGTCATGCCAGGGACTCGAACCACGGACTCTTTGGTCTGTAGTCAGCGCCTCTAACAACCTTCTTTTTTTATGTTCATGCCGCATTGGCAAAAAACCATTTATATTACAAGTGGGCTACCTAAAATAACAAGGAACCTACTGTACATTAATGTATTTAGTAATTCATTAATTACTGTTACGTTTTTTTGTATTTGTTAATTGGATAGTTGGTTTTAATTAGCTTCAATATAGTATGTTTCCTATTATTTCCAAGTGTTTCCTAGAAAGCTCTCTTGATGTATGTTAAAAGAAAGGAAGTGAAAAAATACATTCAAAAAAGGGGAGGAATTTCAACAAAAATCGTTGTTCATGTTTTTCTAATACAATGTATAAATTTTCGTGCAAATTGTTAAATATTGTCGTTTCTATTGTAGTTTGTCAAACTAAATTGGACATGGCTTTCGTTATTGATTCGTCTGGAAGTGTTGGAATTCACAACTTTAACAAAGTGAAAACCTTTCTTAAAGATATTGTGGACTATTACAATGTTGGTTTTGATCAAACAAGAATTGCACTCATCACATACTCTTATAGGGTAAGAACCAGCATTCGTCTTGTGCTCCTAGTACCCTGTTTATATGAAAATACGTCCAGTTGGACCCATAACTACAGAAACACGCGAAAAGAAGAATTGGTTTCTGTCACAAATTGTTTTCTGGTGATATCTAAAAGCAAGGGCTTAAACATTAGACTCTTATCGAAGGGTATTTTTGATGACGAATTTGATTGGCGATGCCTGACAATGAGGGTGTCTTTGTGTCACAACAAATGGCTCAAGAGACAATGTCCTTTAAAGCTCAAAGCTCATGGCAAAAATAGGTTCTTAAACACAAGAAGCTGAAAGAGGGTGTAGGATCACAATTTGTTTTTTTTGCGGATTTGCTGCAGATTGTATCCATGCTGGGGGCCTCAGGGAGCTCAGGGGGGCTCAGCACCCTTTTTAAAATTAACAGGGATTTTTTTAGGGAGGGGGGAAGCTCAGCTTCCCCTTAACAATTGGGTTTTTATTTGGCTGGACGAACTCTGTTTCGGCAACACTTCATTATAATAAAGATTCCTTATGGGTGAACAATTCCTTATCAGTCTTTTTGTGTCACCAGTTTCAGTTTCAGTTTTCAGTTTTCAGTTTTCAGTTTTTGGTTTTCAGTTTAAGTTGAAACTGAATTTATCGAAAAGTTTGAATGATTTCTACAAACAACGGACAGTCTTTAACACAAATGCAAGTAAATTGGGTGTGGTCTTGGATGTGGACTTTTGGACAACATGTGTTCCCCCTTCCATTTTGAAATCGTTCATACATCCACGTATATTCGACACAGGATTTATTTCGCAATGTGTCTGCCATGATGCGTTTAATGTAGCAAAGCGGTATTGGTACTTCTTGTAACTGTTATTTTCAGATACGAGTCGAATTCCTGCTGAACAAATATGGAACCAAATCAGAAATCAAATCAGCAATCGACAGTATGTACTATGAAGGCAGTGTAACGGCGACCGGTAGTGCCCTGCTAAGGATGAAGGACTACGTATTCTCTACAGCTTATGGCAGTAGAAATGACAAGGCTATCCCCAAGGTAAGAAGTCTAGTATCATGATTATAATTAAACACAATTTTCAAGCATTGATATTCTTATTCGACGCTTCGGGCATAACCCCATTAATACTTTGAATCAATCTTTAACTGGAGCATGCGTTTGATGAATTAACAGGACAGTAGGGGTCTTAATACCCTTTTATCTGATCGTTATGACCTAAAAAGGTGTCTCTCTTCAGAGCAAATTGAATTGATCTTGTTATTGCTAAATTAATCGCACGCCATTCTTATAATTGTATTTTCTCATTCATTGTATTGAAGAATAGCATATAACCAAATATGCCTTCTGTACCGCAAATGCATATAAGAGCAAGCTTCCAGGTAAAGCCAAAAAAGGAAAGTTGTTGGTTGTTTGGGGGTGTCGGTTTTTGCGCTTGTAGGCTCAGGGTGTACATTAACCACAAAGTCTTTCGTCGTGAAAAAAAGTTGCAGAAATTTTCTTCAACCAAATTCGAAATAAGACGAAATTTGGTCACGAAGAAATATTTTGCATTTAAAGTTTTTTAAGAATTCGCAGAGAAAAAAACTATTACATGAGGTCAGGAATCAAATTTATGTATCCTTTTGATCTACTGAATGTCAATTACGTCATTTTTCTCATAATTATCTTTATCGTAGGCATCATCATCATAACCATCATTGTTGGTTTTTGAACTAACTTCGTTTTCACCATCGTTCATTTTCACCATCGTCTTTGCCAAAGGGGACGCCCTCCCCCTCCCTCCCCTCAATGGCAAGAAGTCTCAGAGGTATTTTATGGCGTTCAAAAGTATGTGGACTGTGGACTCCAATTTTCCCTTGCGCAACTTTCCTTTTGACCCCTTCCCCCAATCTAACCACCCTCTCCCGTCTAACTACGCTACTGTTTAGCCACGCTACTGTTCTAACTGTTTTTTGTCACCATTTTCTAAAGATTCTACCTCTGTCTATTTTACTCAACTGTATTTTTTATTTCATTCGTTCAAGATACTTGCACCTTTCTACCTAAATTTTGAACTCTACTCAAAAAGCACAATTTCGAGACCAACTTTTCCAACGAGACCAACTATGGAATAGTGACTCTTTTGAATGCTAAAAGCATCTCTTTTGACCCCACCTTTGCATAAGCTGAAAAAAGATACAGCTTTAATTTGGCTTTCTAAACATGCCTGTGGGGGGGGCGGGGGTTGGGTTGAGCCAAATTTTCGGATGCTAAAGCCTCCAAGTTTCCACAGTCAGTACCTTTCGGTTTGAATATATATCAATCTGTATGATTTTGCCTCTCAAGATTTCGGTAGTATGTTGCCATCTCCGTGTTAAAAATTCTCGACGAAATTTTGTTACGACGAAATTCTGAAAATTTATCTGACGAAACTTTTTGTTGTTAACTTAGCTTCACTTCATTGTGACCATTGATGTTTTAGATCGGCATTTTGATAACCGATGGTAAATCAAACAGTGGATACAATGTTCCTGCTGCTGCTAGCCAAGTGAAAGCAGCCGGGATCAATATGTTTGTCATCGGCATTGGCAGCAACTTGAACCGGGGTGAACTCAGCACGGTTGCAAGTGACCCGGACTCAGAGCATCTCTTCTTCTATGGTTTCAATGATTTATCTGGATTTGTTGATCAAATGAGCACAACCTCCTGTGACGGTGGGTAAACTCATCTGCCTTTCGTTAACAGTGAATTCGAAGCCGGGAGCACTCTACATCGTTTATCAAAATTACAATCAATGGATAAGAATAAAACAAGCACACACCGGCTTGAAACTTTCTCCCGTAGATTCCAACCCATCAACGTAAGGTCTGAAAAAACTAATGTAACATTTTGAAATGAAGTAACGAGCCCCAAATTAAACCTACACTCCGACCCTCTGAAAACCAACTCTTCTTGTTGGATTGATGACAATTTTAAACCAAGCAAACGCCAAATTGCAACAGTAAACAAATGTTCCTCTTCGTGCAGATTTTGTAGAGACATTCAAAATATTTAGAATTGAAGCTTTGGAATGTTTAAATTAGTCAATATTTTAGCTCAAAGCAATTTAGTACATCAGGCTGTGGCTAATTGAATTAAATATAAGCAGCAAGCGAAATCATAATCCGCAAAATTCCAAATTGGTTCTGTCGATTCCAAGTTTTTCAAAATACAATACATCAATAAAATACAATAGATTGCCTCACTTTATATGAAACACGATTCATTCTTATTTTATACAGAGTGATTCTGCTAGCCAGGGTAGGTCTGAGAAAAAGAAATAGGAGAATACGTGAAAGGGTGATCTATAGAGGAAAGGGGGAATGTTGACTTCAAATTTTATTTTTATTGTTGTTTACACTTAAGTATTTGGCAGTAATGAAGAAGTTCTTTTAATGCGAACATTATCTTGAGCCTTTGTCCGTTATTCTATTGTAGAAGGAGCACAGATAAGTCAGTGTGAAAGTGCAGAGACGTATGTTGACGGGGGGTCATTTAAGTACTTCAGAGGAAGCTTCGGCGCCAGTACAAGCAAGGTTACTATCGAATTAGAAGATGTTGGCGGTAAGAGATTACAGCCTTACTTCGAAACAACAACAAGTTATAACTTACATCTAACTGAGCTGTCGTGTGCAATTTTAAAAACTAACGTAAAGGTCAAGGACTGTACCACAATCTAGTCAAAGAGTTTCAGCTACAAAATAGTGAAGATTTTAGGAGATTTTTAAGGATGAACAATTCTTAACCCCTCTCTTTTTCGTAGCCATTGTGATACCCATTCACACCTCTTTCTCCTCATTCTAAGTTGCCCTAATTTCAAAACACCACACATTGAAACTATACTGACAGCAACATTTTCCTCGTAATCATCATTTTGGCTTTCATAATTAAAAAATCCATCTTCGTAATCGGAATCAACCATCTTCTTCAATCAAGTAGGAAAAGCCGGGAAATGATTATGAATAACTCGCCTATTTTAAAAAGTCTCGATACAAAAACGAGGCTACTTGGCGGATACTTTGATAAAATATGATCAAAGTAAAACTATTTTTATCTCAGTTCAAAAACTTTTTCCAACTTTGAAGAGAATTTTAAAGCTAAAAAGTACCAGAATGATGCAAATTTTTAGGCACTTACACGATCATAGACAATAATGAAACTTCTTCTTGACCAAAAATATGATGCAAATATGATGCGAATATGGTCGTGATTCCTGACCTTTGCTGCAAAGCTGCACTAATTGTTTTGTTTCGTGGTGCCTATTAAATCTACTTAAGTTTCTTATATCCTATACTATAAAAAGGGTAAATATTGCACCTAATTATATAAAGAATAATATTATACATGTTTTATATATTTCCAAGCTAAAGTTTTCTTCAAAATCTCTTAACAGACTTACTATAGACTTCTCCCTTAGTAATACCATTTTAAAATCCTACCCTCTCTTATCATGCTACCCTTTATCTTCAACATCCGTACTAATCCCAATTTTCAAAACAATATTTTATGTCAAAAGGCAAAAGTTTCTTGTATACCTCAACGGAGAACAAGAATCCTGGTCCACTTGACAAAGATGGAACAACAAAGAACACAAATGCAGCGTCGCCGAAGGCCACCTCTGTCACTCTGAAATCAAACAAGGTATGTGTGGGTATCCTTATAAATGAAAAGCCATTTTGGGTCAGCCTCTTCCTGGTTTTTTAACTAAATTTCCACTAGAGTTTCAACGGTTTTTAGAAAAGACATTGAATTGAAAAAAACAGGAACGTAGAAATTGTTTGATTTGCAAAGTTTTGCGTGAACAATATAAATTAGATACAATTTGCAACCAAAAAAAATATTTCGCTTTTCTTTTCATCGATTTTTATTCTATGTTCATTGATGCAGATTAATCCTTTCCATTCACTCTTAAAAATACTAAGCACCTAACATTTATGCATCTCATTTCTGCAGCTTGTATATATCGCAGTACAGGGTCAAGATGACAGGAATAGATTCATCCTCAATATATGGGACTCTCTTTTTGATAAAGACACATATCTTGCAAGTGTAAAAGAGAACTTGCCTGCAAACCACTTCGTTCAAACCATAAGAACCACAGCTAGTGGAACGTAAGTCAAATTGATTTGCCTTAAAACGACTAGCAATAAAACTTTTTTGAGATTTCCTGTGATTTTCCTAAGAAACAGAAATGACTTTAGACCGTGCAAAACGCTTAATCATGCTGGAACATCTTCATCCCATCTCTGCATACTTCTTGAAATTTGTAACATTGAAGTCAAGGTTTCTGTGAGTCTACAAATGTAGAGAGACAATGTAGCGAATGGAAAGTGACGGCTGATAGGCCCTTGAATTAGCAGTATGCCTAAATCTATTAGGAACTAGTACTCGAATGCCTGCTCAAGCCAACTTCTGACGTTCTGACGTTTTTTGACGTTTTTCTCAACTCCTTTTGAAATACACTGGTAGCAATCCCTATGGTAGTGGTGTTTTAAACAACTTAACTGAAGTCATCGTATCTGTGATACTGATCAATAGCCGTTAATGCAATAACCGCTGAGACGTATAGACTTATCATTATTATTACGATACCTTTCTTAATGTTAGTTAAATAGAAAAAAATGAAGTTTAATACTAACTTGAAGAAAATCAAAAGAGATTGCATTACGGTTTTTTGAGAGCGAGCATGGCAGACGCATTTTCTTTTAAAATACTTATTTCTTATAAGCATTGGAACTTCTTTGCATCTGTTATGACTATATATCATTTGGAGGTAACTAATGAAGCTCATCAATATTCTCAGCATAGATTTAAAATTTTGTTATCATCTGCAAAATTAAACATGTTTTCATTAGTTGCAAGAAGAACGTCATTTATGAAGCTGCTGAACAACAGAAGTCCAAGTATTGATCCTTGAGACACTCCTTCGTCAAGTGGCCTCCATAAAAAAAATGCCCATTGACCTTTACCATTCGTTTCTTATCTTTAAGATTAAATGCTATTCTTATCAAGCTGAATATATCTTCTATTTGATATATTCATCATGTGGTCTCCAACTACAATTATACTATGCCGTCTAGTTTTCTTTCCTGAAATGCCAATTTTCTCTTTGACGTATGACTTAAGACTATTCTTGACATTCTTTTAATCCTCAACTTCAATCCTCCCCTTATCCTCCTGAAAAGCAATGATGCATCTTTTTTATAAATTGATCATCTTAAGCCATTATTTTGTTTTAACTTCGACCATACTATGATTTTGTTTTACCTTTTTTCAACCATACAATGCAGTGGCTGACCATTAATTTTGTTCTAACATAGAATATCTGGCTGCATTTCAGGTTCCATTATTCTATCAAGTATGGTAACAACCTAGGTCACTTCAAGATCAATAGTGATACAGGTGAAATACGAACAACACAATCATTGGACAGGGAAGCTGTAGCAAAGTACAATTTAGTCATCATAGCAGCGGATGTAAATCTACGGTGCCACAAAGGCAGGACGGAGCTTGTTGTCGAGGTTTCAGATGAAAATGATCATAGGCCTAAGTTTGACAGAAACCCTTACCAATTTACTATTCCTGAAAATATGGCTGTGAACCATAATTTTGGTTTAGTTTCTGCCACTGACAAGGATATCGGCCCTAATGGCCAGTTGAAATATTATATCACATCTGGGCTAGGGAAAGACGATTTTTACATGGATCCGAACACTGGACGAATCAGAGTTGCAAGAAGTTTGGATTTTGAAAATGATCCAGGGTGAATATTTGTATAAATGCAATTAGAGTATTCATGCAATTACCGTCTTAATCCGAGTAGTAGCTTATGCAGGAAACCAGAAGATTGCTGTTTTTGCATATGCATCACTTATTTTTGTCTTTTCAGTAATTCTATTTACTTGCTTTATGCAGACAGCAGAGAAGATGTTTTAGACTTTAAAAGACCTTTAGAAACAGTGTTTCACAATCTTTCTGTTTCCCAAAATGGTTTAATCGAGATCAACTAAAATGTGGTTCTTAAACATGACAACCAGTTGCAAGAAGGACGCAAATGTTTCTGGTTCTAGCTTTGATTTATTAGAGAATGCTAAAACCAACGCAATGTGTATTCAGTATTCTCTACTCTTTGCGATTATCGTAAAAGCGGTGCTACCAAAAGTAACAACTGGTAAGGGCGGCCATTAACCCTTTATAGGCCTAATTAGCAAATCTTTTTCTCAAAAGTGTCAAAGAATGACGAAGCAGAACTTGTGAAAGTTTGTTGTCAGAGCAAGCATGTCTAAACTTTATTATGCACTCTTTCAGATACTCATTCAGAATTCGAGTCGAAGATGGTGGAAATCCAAAAAAATACGACGAAGGAGATTTGGTAATAAATCTACAAGACATAAATGAGCCGCCACGTTTTGCAGACTGTGTCGCAGGGTGCAGTGAGCGCGTCGACGAAGGCAACGCCCTCGGTCGATTTGTCAAACAAGTATCAGCAACGGATCCGGACAAACATGGCTGTACGTTGAAATATTACATTACATCGTCGGATAAAGACTATTTTGCAATAGGTGAGACCAATGGACGGATAACTACGAAGAAAGCAATTGACCGTGAAACAAAAGAGGTTTATGAATTGCAAATAATCGTGAGAGATTGCGCCAGTCCATCATTGACAGACCGAGTTACCGTTTCTGTAACAGCCAATGACATCAACGACAATGCACCACGGTTCCCTGTTGCCAAATACGTTGCCACTGTCAATGAAAATCAACCAACTGGCACAACAGTGACGTCAGTTCGTGCAACAGGTAAAGCCTATCTAAAGGTCTCCGCACCGAGAATTCCTTACGCTCATCATTCAGTTAAAGTCTTTTCATTTGAGATTGATAACACGTGCCAGTCTGATACCTCTAATCGAGAAAACCGATTCGCAATCAAATTGAAGGCTCTTGCGCAACCGGCTTGCTTTACGATTATATTTTCAAAACTGGCCTAATTTCGTAATGCATGAAAATGCAAAACACAATCAATTTCTCAAGATAGCTGCCGCTAAGCATGCCGGTTGCGCAAGGGCCTTTAAATTTGACAACCAAAAATAGTATATGCAGCTGCCGTCACTTTTAAAAATCACTTCGGCATTCAACTTAAACCAGCAAACAATTACCAGTGTAATGTCAAATGAGTTCGGTGCCAGCTTTTGTCAAAAAACAAATTGATAGAAATTTACAAACTTTAACACTTGGGCTAGAGGAAAAAGTTTTGTCTAAAAAGATCTAAGAAAGATTCGATTCTTATGCTTTAGTTCGTAGCAATTTTAAATAAGCTAATAGAAGTAATTGATTTGTGTGACTGAGCTGATCTGAATGTCTTACACCTTTTCCAAAACAGATGCTGACCTTGGTGTGAATGCAAGAATAGCATACACAATTTCAGGAGGAAACAACGATGCAAAATTCACGATCGATTCAAATACTGGTCGTGTTGCAACGACAGGAGCTCTGGACAGAGAGACAAAAGATAAATATGAGCTGACAGTGACAGCCACCGATGGAGGCTTACCGAGGTTATCATCCTCAGTACAAGTTGAAATAATTGTTGGAGATCTAAACGACAATGATCCTGAGTTTGAAGGAAGTAGAAATTTTCAGGTAACAGAGAATTCTCGACGAGGGACCTTGGTTGGATTGGTTAAGACAAAAGATAGGGATACTGGTGAGCAAAGATAGACATAATCATAATGAAAGGTTGACTGACCATGCATTGTCGATGTTTCTGCAGTTTCAACGAGAACGACCTTTCCTTTCCATTGCCCTCATTCTTTTCTTTTGATCCTTCTGTGGCTCTACCCCAAAAAATTAAACTTTATCAACGTAAATTCTGTTCAATAAATATCATCGAAGAAATATTTTTCAAAACTACCTAGTTAAGAATCCAGACCAATTGCTTCTTATGTTCAATTTATACGAGAGAAGAGGAAACCTTTTAAGTACTGCTTGAAACAGTGATTTGTTGGAATCTTACAAGCAAAGCGATTCTTAACCTTAACAAAAGCGTAGTCACTTTAAAGCGGCCTTGCTTAAATTCGCATGCCTCTCTTGCAGGACTGCCTCTTTTGCAAATGAAACTTAGAATAACAATTTTCTTCTTGCATTTGTTGATTTTTGCTTGGCTTCTGAAATGACGTCATGATAACTTTAATAGCCTAACAGCTTCTATAAGGAACCAAAAAGAATTTCTGAACATTTTACACATGAAAGTTGTGATTATTGTATCCCTATGGTTCTGATCTGGTCTTAGATGCAATGCAACGTAATGATCCTGGTTCCGAAGCCAAAGGACAGTTGCATTGCATTAAACAAATACTGTCAAAGCCCTTTCTTATTCACCGTATTCATCGACTGTTGAATGCATTCTAGGTGCAAATGGCAGAATTCGATGTAGCATAACTGGTGGAAATTCTGGAAATGCATTCAGTATGAATCCAGCAACCTGCCAGATTTCAACTGTTGGCATCATTGACAGGGAAACGAAGTAAATATATTTGCACATTTTCACCATTCACTGTCCAATCCAGTGTCCTGTGTATCGATAAATCAACCATAGTTGCCTGGACTATCAACTGAAAACGTTTTGCATGGCCCAGTATCTAAAGTTGTCTTATATACTTTTTCTCACTTAGGGCGTCTAGATCAAATAAGAGAACTCATCTATTTAGGGAACATCTATTTAGGGAACAAATTAATGCCTAATCTCGAACAATTATTGTCCTTCTGGTCTCACAGTTGAATACGTCACTTGAGAAACATTAAAGTTAATAATAGAAATAGAAAGCATTGCTTGTAATATTAAAAGTTTGAGATAGAAGGAGCGAAGTCGAGAATAATGGTCCGTTCGCGAGACTCGAATAATAAAGAAAATATCAGATTCGATTTGCAGAGAAAATTTGAAACCGAGGCTGTGATTATAAATGCTAGAATTGAGAAGACGTTTTCATTGTTAAGCTAAGCAAAAACTTTGAAAATCGAGAATCGTGTTGTTATGGCAATGGAAATTTTGTTGTAAATCTGAAGAGTTAGATATTTGTTAAAACCTATTCACCAAAAACTTGAACAAGCAACAAAGCATCTTTCAGGGGGCTTATTTTGAAATATATTCTCTTTTAGGGCTTCTTATAATCTGCTTGTGAAGGCTGCTGATTTAGGCCAACCCTCACGCAGCAAGCAAACCACATACACGGTGTCAATCGGAGACGAGAATGACAACTCGCCCATTTTTGCATCAACAACGTATAGAGCATCTATAAAGGAAAACTCTGCTATTAATTCGCAAGTTGTTAAGGTAAAACCTGCTCATTGTGGTATCAAATCATCGAAATAATAAAAATTTTTCTGGACAGGCATCTGATGTGAAATCGTAATTATATCGATAGCATAAATGCTTTGTATTCTTTTCTATCGAAAGTTCTTATAAAACTCTCTTTTTTCAACACAACACAACAATTCTCTATTAATTATCCGATATTGTCTACATTTGGCATTTGTTCATTCCTGTTTTTAAAGGTCTTTCATTCATAGCAAGGCATTCCTCTCTTTCTCATTGCAATGCATAATTTTGATTCTTGTTTCTCTCATGAAAATTATCATGCTTTAAAATAAATTTATGAAAAGCTACAAAGTAAAAGAACTGGTGTTGGTAAATCCTCACTTTCATTTTCTCTCACTAGATTTCCGCAACAGACAAAGATGCTGGCACAAACTCTCAGATAGCATATTCAATCGTCTCTGGCGATGACAGCTCTAAGAAGTTTAGCATTGACAGGCAGAGTGGTGCGTACTTCATAATTTATATCCATATATGCCTATCCGAATCAAATTTAGCATGCGGAGGTCAATGAGGTACCTCATTGGCGCAGATAGATTTCATGAAATAATCAATTTATTTATTTATTTACAGTAGGCGGGTATGATATAGCTGTCTATGTACAATTTGTGTACAAGCTAATTTAGGCCTACTTTACAAAAATTTAGAATAAAAAACAATTAAGAATGAATAATCAATAATTGCATATATAAAACAATTAGTTAATCAATGAAAGAAATGAAATTGAAGATTGAAAAAAGATTAAATTGACACTGGTAAACAGGGCACTCGACGAAGGGGGAGGCGCGGGCCAATGTGCCCCCACTTCTTTGCAAAACAATGGAGCTTTTTTCAAAATCTTTTGTTATGGGTGTTAAATTTTCGCTCTTAGGTGACTGTCAAAGTAATGCTAGGACGTTATTCCAGACCACGCAAAGCTAAAATTTCATCAAATTGTAGTATTCAAATAACTTTCTTTATTCTGTCCGAATAGCCAAAAATGCTTTAAATAGTCCCATAAAATCAGGGACTGTAATCTTGTGCAGAAATATTTTGCAGAACAGATTGAACTAAAAATCCTAAGCCGAATATACACTTAATGAATTTATTTTTCTTTTAGGCCAAATCAAATTGATTGGAGTGCTGTCTTTCGGCGTCCGGAATTCCTACAACCTGCGGGTTCAAGCCCAGGATGGTGCTACTTCTCCTCGCATGGGCCAGACAAACGTCATCATAACTATTGTGGACACAAATGATCATGCTCCTGTGTTTAATCCAGCAAGTTATAGCAAAGACGTTCCTGAGAATGCTCCCGGTGGAAGCGCGGTTTTGACTGTGAGAGCCACGGATCAGGATTCGGGTCCAAGCGGAGAAATTTCGTACTTGATTGACAGCGGCAACATTAATAACGTCTTTGTAATCAACAGCCAAACAGGTTTTTGAAATTTCATATTTTTGTATCAGGAAGTAAACTTAGGTGATCACGTGATCTCTAGCATAGGCCAAGGGATTTTTACATGGCATCATCTACCGATAAATTAAAACTTTTTAGAAAAAATGCTTTTTCGAAATACCATTTTAGTCATTTTACGTTGACAAGCTACAATAGCAATATTTGCTTTTAAGCTTTCACTTCGCACTATTCGAAGTTTAGAAATTCACAACTTCGAAAGTATTTGTCTATTGACTGTTTTTACTAGCATCTTCGTGCGCCATATTCGAATAGGTGCTATGACATATGCTCCGTTTCGGTCCTTTTATCTCTCCTCTGTTGAATTCATTTGCAAGCACGCACGAATGGGGTAGACAGTTTAAAACATGCAGCTCATCGTTTATTTTACAGGTGCAATCCAAGTCAACAAAGCTCTAGACCGTGAAACAAAAGACTCGTATGCTTTGATAGTAAAAGCAAAAGACAGCGGTTCACCTTCCCGGTTTGCCACTGCTTCGGTTACAATTCGCATTACCGATGTTAATGACAATAAACCAAAGTTCAACGAAAACCCGTTCACTTTCAGAGTGCCGGAAAACGCCGCATCGCAAACGCAAATCGGACAAATCACAGCAACGGACAAAGACATTGGGGTGAATGCAGATTTAGAGTTCAAAAGCCTTACGACCGGATCACCGATAACTGTGGAGCCAAACGGAATAGTCAAAGTCTCCGGAAAACTGGATTATGAGGCTACCAAAAAATATACGTTGAATGTCCAAGTCAGTGATAAAGGCAACCCTAAGCTCACGGATACCAGCACTGTAATCGTAGAGGTAAGAGCAACCTGCTTGCACTCGGGTAACCCTATTTATGTTCTCTATGTTTTTATATGCATCTGAAGTCAGTTTTTGCGAATGTTGCAAAATATAGCATCAAAATATTGATTAAGAATTTTTAGTTATATCGAAGGCTGGGGAAAAGAACCTGTCGAGACAACGTTGTTGAAAGTGCCCGTAATAGAGTTCCATTTTCGTCAATATGTGTTGTTTTTCTCCAAAGGGGAGGGGCAGGGTGCAGGGAGTGTTCAAATGTCTTAATGTAGATGTTATTGGCATTGCAGATTACAGAATTGCAGTTCTTAAATTCAATGACATTATTTGTGAAAAAATGCTTCATGTGTTGGAGGGGCTACGATGTAGTGTATTGCCAACAATCTTGTAGAAAACAACAGCTGATCAGTTCTGACTAGTAAAAATCTGATCATTAACGTTTTACTCCAGGTGCAAGATGTTAATGACAACGCGCCAGTATTTAAAGGGCCGTTTACGTGCGAAATTTTGGAAAACTCACCGTCATCCACCACAACTTGCTACGTAGTCGCAACGGATGCTGACTCCGGTGAAAATGCAAGGATTAGGTATTCCATTGCGGCAGCCGCTGCTTCTGGAGCATGCCCATTCAACATTGAACCTGTAAGTGAAATAACGATACTTAAATAATCATATGCCAAGTGACTAATATGTCACTCATATCACCGCATATCAAGGAAATTGATAAACAAGGCATTTGTTGCTCGTTTAAGACCATTGAGCGAATTATGTCTTTTTATGTTTTTGTTGAAACTGAAGAATTTTTTGGCAGTCATAAAATGATTTTAAAAACTATATAATTTATCTCGCTATAAATACTCAAACGAGGGATGAGCTGATAAGTCATTAGTCGTAAGGACGATGAAGTAGTCGATTCTAGGGAAATATTTCTTCGCAGCCTGTCTGTTCTAGCCTGTTTTAATACCAAGTGCAGTTCTAATACACAGCCCCATGTCCACCGGACACCCACATTTATCATCAAAGCCTGTTATTTCTCCACAGAGTACTGGTAAAGTGTCAAGTACACGAAGTTTGGACAGGGAGGCCTCATCAACATACAGTTGCGTCGTGACTGCAGCGGACTCCGGTCAGCCTACAAAATCCAGTCCGCAGAGCATCCTTGTTACGGTTAAGGACGAGAACGATAATGCCCCAATTGCAAATCCAGTGTCGTATAGTTTCAATATTACTGAGGAACAGACTACAAATCTTCGCCTGGGGTCCATCATGGCTTCTGATCGTGACTCAGGAGAGAACCAAAGGCTTACGTATACTTTGATTGCAAACCAGGCGACGAAAGTTAAATTTACAGTAGATGCAGCAAGTGGAGCCGTGTCTGCGACCGGAAAGCTTGATAGAGAAATAACATCATCGTTTTCATTTGTTGTGCGAGTATCGGACAACGGACAGCCGTCATTGTATGTTGACACGAAAGTTGATGTTGTTGTTAATGACATCAACGACAATGCACCAATTTTTGGCAGAGATCCATACACAGGTAGTATCCGAGAAAATTCAGGCGCGGGGTCAAAAATTGTTCAGGTGAGATGCTTGAAGCTCTCTCATTCAAATTTTCATAAATGCCTTTGCCGAGTTACAGAACCATAAGGCACATTTCATTTTTGCTCTATTGCATGGTGATGACATGATTCAGTGTGGATTATTAAATGCTGTCTTATTGGTCATTACCTTGCCTTCCTTTTATTTTCCTCTCATGATTGAAGTGGCCTTTTCTTGATCAAGTTCGTGAAATTTTGATCACGTGTGCTGTGGAACACCATCTTACTTCCTTTAACTTGAAACCAATAATAGTAGGAAATTGACGATAAAAATATCCATATTTGTCACAGGGATTTTGTGTTAAGATAAACTCAAAAAACGGGGAATTTCAAGGCATCACTGAGTTGAATTTGACAATAAATTGAAAGTGATGCTTGGTTGTCTCATTTCTTTAGGATTGGCGATAAGGCCGTTGTAAAATAATTCATTGTAATCTGATTCGTAACGTATTTCAAATTCTTATTTTTCTGATAGGTAACTGCAACTGATGCGGATGCCGGTAGCAATGCCAAAATCACTTATGAAATTACTGGTGGCATGTACAAAGGCAACTTCTCGATAGATGCTAGTACGGGCTTCATCACAACAGCGCAACCTTTGGATTACGAGAAGCTGGCTAAGTATGAACTTACTGTTCTGGCAAAAGATGGCGGAATTCCTCAGAAATCAAGCACTGTCAAGGTTTTTCATTATGATTTTTTTAATTCAATCTAGAGCCAAATAATCTATCCAACATTTAAGGGCCAGTTACAGTATACCGGATTGCTATCGGAGCGGAGTAACTTTCAAAACGGATAAGGGTTTGAGTTACTACACTGCACCAATCCGATACACAACGCCCAGATTAGTAGAGTGACACTAACTCCGCTCTGGAAGTAATAGGAAAATTTCTCTTGAGTCACTCCGTAGGGGAGCGTTGTAGTGCAACTGATACCTCAAATATCAATCCGGAATGAAAGTTACTGCGCGCTGCTCCGCTCCGATAGCAATCCGGTCTAGCTTAACTCGATGGGACCAGAAAGCAGCGGGTTTATAGCAAAACAAGAGAAAGAATTGAATGCCAGGTTGGTTGGATAAGAAATTTAAGCGTTGTTAAGGGGTAAGTGGTACTAATACGGTGGGGGGGGGGAGGGGCCTCTTAGAATAATGAAGAAATTGCCTGTGAGTTTGCGTTAAACATAAAAGGAGTTATTTGGACGATACCGTGTAATTTAGATACCGTGAAATGCAGATGGGATCTGGGTTAATTTTTGTGAATAAGGAGGGTTTATAGTTTTGAGTTACAGGATGTGTCATCTGTGAATGATGTAGGTATATGGGTAGAAAGAATTGCATCATTGGTCTACAGAGTAATAATTGCATCATACAAAATGATGAAAGGTTTAAAAATGATCATCATAATTGTATTTTAAAGGTTTCTGTTAATGTTATAAATGTCGATGACAATGCTCCAGAGTTTGGGAAAACATCTGAAGCAAAGGTTTCAGAAGGTGCTGTGATTGGAACTGCAGTCGTGAAGTTCAATGCAACAGACAGGGACGGGGGTACGCTCACATTCTCAATCCGAGGTGGAAACACTGGGGATGCATTTCTTATCGGCACCAGAACGGGTAATTTTCAAATATATCCAATATTTTGCACAGTCATATTTTTTATTGGGACATCAAGATTGATAATGCACGCTTATTATTAGATAGGTATCTAAAATAATTTTTGTGACGTTGACATAAATTATGCTAATATAAACAATGGCTAATATAAACAATCTTGTTGCAAAATGTCCGATGTCACACACCTTCTTTTTAGTAGACCAATCATTTAGAATCATTTTTTCTGAGAGGAAAGCATTTTGGATATGAAAGTGTTGATGTTTCACACATATTTATTCTTCATGTGAACAGGAATTCTGAAAACCAAAATATCACTGGACAGAGAATCAATCGCCAAATATAACTTAACTGTCGCTGCATCAGATGGTAGTGGCAAAACAACAAATGCTCATCTCCCTGTCAAAGTAACAGACATCAATGATAATGCTCCAGTTTTTGGTCAAAACTCATACAGTGGAAGCATCAGAGAAAACGAAATATCTGGTATGATTTTAGATGTACACTTTTCCCTTTTGATCACATTAAGCGTAAAACTTGAATTGGCAACTTAGAACCGTCCTGTTCTTTACATCAAATGGGTAAACAGAAGGGATACACCGAGGGGTACACCAAAGGGTTACACCAAAGGGGCACATCATAAGGGTCACCAAAGGGATACACCAAAGGAGTACACCTACCCATTCGGCTAATATCACTATACGAAAGACCGGTAAAACAGTAAAACAGTAAGGCACATAAATTCAGATCGTCTCAATTTGTCGTTCTGAATATCAGATTAATTGTCTGATTCCAGAATACATGGTTCTAAACAGACACATTGTCAAGGGCTTGCTAAAGTGGTTTTTCAATTGCAAATCCTTTGCTTTACTACTTGTAATGTAACTGTTTCTTCTTCCAGGTTATTCCATACTCAAAGTTGCAGCAACAGATAGAGATGAGGGTACTAATGCTGAAATCGAGTACGAAATCGAATCAGGAATTACCAAAGATGCATTCAAAATTGAGGCAAATGGGGATTTAAAAACCACTCGCGCTTTGGATAGAGAATCGCACCCCAGTCACCAGCTTGTTATCGCAGCTAAGGATAAAGGAACTCCTTCACTGAGGTCTACAGTCCCTGTCACAGTAACGGTTACTGACCAGAATGACAACACACCAAAGTTTGATCAGGTAACAATCATCTTTCACTGTTTGCCTTTGTCTTCCTGCATGTTGTTGATCACATTTTGTTGCTTTTTCTGTTTATTCTCTCCTTTACAGCTAGTTTTTTTGTCTATTCAAACTTTTCGCCTTTTCAACTTTGGCTTTGTCAAATTCATCTTCGTCCTCCCATCTGTTAACTATGGCGCAAGAATAAATCAAAAGCGACTTTTGCTCGTTTGACCGATGACCAAATCATGGTTAAAATTGAACATTTCTATGCAATAACTCACAACCAAGAATCTATTGTTGCATTAAGCAATATTTTAATATTCACAGGTACCAGCGAAACAAATAACTGAGAACTGCGGCGTTGGTGCTACGATCACTGTAGTAAGAGCCAATGATCCAGATGATGGCCTAAACGGACAAGTCAAGTACGAGTTGATTTCTGAAGACGGAGCCACACCGACCACTTTTGAAATCGGAGAGACCAATGGTGTCGTTAAAACGAAAGTCGACTTGGACAGAGAGAAGAAGAATTCGTATTCACTCAAAATCAGGGCATCTGACAGTGCCTCTGGGTTGCAGAAAAAATGGGCGGAAGAAACCTTGTCAATTACGGTGCTCGACGAAAATGATAATAACCCAGCAATCGTGCACCCAGCAGCCATTCCAGAAGTGAGCGAGAATGCAACTCTGAACACAGTGATAACTACACTGAGAGCTGAAGATAAAGACGAGGGCTTGAATGCCCAGGTTGGTTTTGCTATTGTTTCCGGAAACACAGGTGATGTCTTCAGCATTAATGCAGATTCGGGAGCGCTTAAAGTTGTGAAAGCTCTGGACAGAGAACAGATTCCTTCGTACACTTTGGCTATCAAAGTTGAAGACAAAGGGAAGCCACCTTTGAGAAGCACCAAAACATACACTGTCAATCTCAAGGATGTTAATGACAACGGACCAAAATTTACACTTACTAAATACACAGGCAAATACGTTTGATTTCATTTCTTATAACTGTTCTAGAAATTTACAGTTCATGGGAAAAAATTTGCATGTTAGCTTGGCCTAAAAGTTTTTCTATGGTCTTGGATCGTTTTACTTGTCTTTTTGATTTGTCAATTCAATGTTAACCATCTTTGCAAAAGTAGATCTCACTTCCCTTTGAATAAACAGAAGTTTAAACTTTCATGCAATCTTTTTTCGACATTAAAACGAAAAGCAAAAGTCACATCTTCTGCCTGTTGCTTTTAGGCCGCATCGCAGAAAACGTTCCTGTTGGTGCAGATGTTGTAAATGTGACAGCGACAGACGCTGACGCAGGGACAAATGCAGTCGTCACATACACATTCAGCTCGCAAACAACAGCAACAACATTCAACATTGACGCAGCTACTGGAAGAATTACAACAGCAGGAAAAATTGATTACGAGGTTAAACAAAGCTACAAATTCAAAGTTAAAGCGAGCGATGGAAAATTTGATAGCGAGGCTGATGTAGAGATAGAGGTCATAAACCTTAACGACAACAGTCCTAAGTTTGAAAGAGAATACACTGTTGCAATTTCTGAATCACGGCCAGTCAGTTCTAGCGTGACTACCGTTATAGCAAACGATCTTGATTCTTTTGGAGCTTTGTCCTATTCATTGCTAAACAATACATCCTCTTTTGCTATTGACACTCAAACTGGAGAAATCAAGACTACAGTGGGCCTTGATCGTGAAACAACAAGCAACTACGTTATAAGAGTGAAGGTTGTGGACGGAGGAGTACCCCAACGTTCAGATGAAACCACGGTAACAGTAAATGTTGAAGATATTAACGACAACGCTCCCTATTTTAACAAGAGCTCTGATAAAATTGATGTTATGGAAAACGAAAATGTGAACTCTTTCTACACTGTGCAAGCATTGGATAAAGACGCTGGGGTTAATGCCCAATTGTTCTATGAAATTGTAACTACAACTGGCAGTAACAACTTCAGAATCGATTCTTCAAGCGGCGCGATATCAACCGCGCGACACCTTGATCGTGAAGCAATGTCGTCGTACACCCTTAGCATCATCGCAAAAGACAAAGGCAAGCCTAGCTTGACATCACAACCATTCCTGCTGTCAATTACAGTAACAGATCAAAATGATAATAGTCCGCAATTTTTGAAAAGGCACGACAATGAAACGATATCAGAAGGAGCAGGAATAGGAATGGAAGTTTTTGAAGTGCTTACAAATGATCTGGACATAGGGATGAACGCTGAAATCGTGTATTCCATTGCAACTGGCAATACAGGGAACGTTTTCAAAATCGATAATAACACAGGTAAGCAAATCTATTGTTTAAAGTTTTTATCTCTAGGATAGCAAAACATGGGAACCTTTCATTCTGGTGCTTGATAATAGTTTAGGAAACTCAAAGTAATTGAAACGTCGCATTTTTACTTTTAAGCAAGTCATGAACGCCTCTCTTATATAATATTGTGTATAACTTAGCTTGTTCAATGTCTTGGCTGAAATTTTAGGCGTCGTCTCTGTGGATGGAAAGTTGGATAGAGAAACAACAAGCAAGTATCTCTTGGAAGTTACTGCTACTGATCTTGGAACTCCCGCGCGCTCTAATACAACAACAGCCACAATCGTTATTACCGACGTGAACGATAACAGTCCAGAGTTCGTTCGTTCAACATTGTCAGGCAGAGTCTTCGAAAACAAACCGGCGGGGACTTCCGTTGTTACAGTTAGAGCAACAGACAAGGATATAGGAGAGAACGCCCGTTTAAAGTTCAGCCTGAATGCTAACGATGCATTTAAAATCAACGCGCAAACAGGAGAGGTAAGTAGATATCTATTGCTGATTCTTATCACAGTCTGAAGGGAAGGCATAAACTATGTTTTCATCTCACTGAGTTGTATTTCATTAGCTGATGATTATTCAGCAACCTCGATTCATAGACTTTGGTTCTTCTTGACAACGAACGCACTCTTAGAAAGTAGCACCAAATAAGTAGAATTGGTTAGAAATTATATGGGCAAATTATTTGACTACAACAATTGAATTCAAATGTGAAAAAATTATACCGCCACAGAGAGTAGGTAAAAGATTTCGATTCTTCATCGTCAGATTTTTAGAAAAGGTGACATGCTAAATTGAATATTCGATAAGAAACTTATTTCGAAAAACGCATTTTAGACATTCAGAAAATTGAGAAATTTCAGCACTTAGCAACAAACAAAAATTTAAGAGACAATTGAATTTTGAATAAAGACAGAACTCCAAAGACCTTTTTCCATCACATTTCTGAAACTCTTTAGAAACAACAAGTGTTCATTTTCCTCAAAGTCAAAACATTGGGCTACTAAATGCCAACCTTTGTTTCTAAAAACGATTTGGCTCAGGAGTGTAAGCACATTTCCTCATAAATTGTTAAAAGCGACGAACATTTCCATATATTCTTATTTCGTGCCAGTTCTATTGGTTTGCTAGAACAACGCTAAAAATGGCCTATCAAAATGTAGGTGAAAACGCTGAAGACATTGGATCGGGAGGAAAAAGCACAATACAACTTGGAAGTGACTGCCACAGACCACGGCGCCGTTCCACTTTCAACGACAGAGACACTAAGAATCATTATTGATGACGAAGATGACAACTGTCCTGTTTTCAACCCTAAAGTATACAATATCACGATCGAGGAGAATTTGCCACGCGGCACAATCGTTCTGAATGTTACTGCGACGGATTTAGATGTAGGCGTCAACGCTGAGCTGCAATATGCGATAAAGGCAGGTGATGACCAAGGTGGTTTTGCAATTGACTCTACAACAGGTATGCAGTGCCTCAAATTGCTGGCTGCTCGTATTCTACCAATCTCGTAATTGATCTCGAATTTGACGGTCTCAATAAAAACGTAGCCTGATTGGTTCCATTTCACGTCAGTCACGTGCGTTTGCTCAGGATTCTTTCAAAGAATTGATTTTTTATTTTTGTTAAAATGCCGGTTAAAATCAGCAATACGACACCCCAACTGAAATCGATCAAATTTAGCAATTTATAGATAATTCTTAAAATTTTCTTACTGAACTCTCCCTTTAATTTGCAGGATCAATAAGAATCGATGGGACGGTAGATAGAGAACATTCAGACAAGTATCTTTTGAAGGTTAGAGCTGGCAGGATCGACTGTGGCCAAAAGCAAACAAATGACTCTAACATTGGTAAGAATTGTTCAAGTTTTATGCATAATTTCTTATGCAGAATAATACGCAGAACCTTAGGAAAGGCCTTCAATACATGCCTTTCGGAATCAGATGCCAGGTCTGGAGCAAATAATGAAACATCTTAAATAACTTACATATTTGTAAAAGCTGCTACCAAATGCTTGACGCAAGGCCTTATCTACTATTTTTTTGGGGCATGAGTCCCCCCCCCCCCCCCCCCTCAAAAAATGATTACGAAAATCCTTTTTTCTCAATGATTTCCAATGACCAATGCCTTTTGCTTCTTTTGATTTCAAACTATGGTGCAAACGCTCCAAAAATTCGATACTTCCTACCGTTCCGAATGAAGAATCCTGTGTTGGACTCTTATTTTTCCTGTTCAAACAAGATATGTCAATTGAATACAATATCAAGTTCATCTCATCTAGGCGAAGGAGGCAGTGAACAAACAGACTACAATCATACACTGGCCTACGTACATATCCATTTGACGGACAAGAATGACAACCCACCGAAATTTGCGAGGAATGTGTTCTATCACGATTTTGATAACATGATGGCAAAGAACCTCATGAACGTTACCGCAAGCGATCCTGATTTGGGAGATGGGGGAAAAGTCAAATTCCGAATGCTTAGCTCAAAAAGGGTAGGTTTAATCATTTTGTAGAACACTCTAACATAATATCTTGCTGGCTTGCATTTCAAAATCATCTGCATATAAAAATACTTAATACTACAAAGATCTTGAGCCTACAACTAATTTTATGCAGCCTGCAATTTTATGCAGTTATAGCAATCGTTGCATTTAACCCAGAAACGGTGCAACATAACAGTTTGTTAATAATTACGTAAATGTGACAGAATGGCAGTATTTTCTATATCTATGAAAATCAACTCGCGCTTGATTTTAATTTTTCAAAATATGGGATTAAAAATGTGAATTATCTATTCGGTCCGAAAATATATATATTTAATCAAAAGCTTGGGAAACTTCAGAAAAACTTTTGCTGAAATTTGCTGTCCTAAAATTTCTCGTCCGCTGATTTCTGCACTTATTTTAAGTTTGCACATATTTTTAACTTATTTTAAGAATCTTCTTTCATTAAGAAAATTCCTTTTTACATAAACAAAAATATTTAATATTCACTTTTGGACTTCTTGACGTTCCATTCTCTTCCTCTTCAGAGAGGTCTATTTTACGTACGACGGTAGATAGTATGACAAAAACCAGCATTGAAAAATGCTCTTCTTGTAGTCTAAAGGCAGAAATACGGATTTATCTCGATTGCTACGGTTTCTTGAGTTTTCCACACTGTCAGCTGTCAAGATCATGTGACCAGCAATATATGTAGATTGACTACAATCCTCTTTCTTCAGATTATAATAGTCGCATAAGGACTGAAGGTAAGCAGAAATTCATATTCAGAGGCGGATCGAAATTAACGCGAGAGGAAAAGTACGGCTTTTGATTGGCTCCTTGTTTTTGACCAATTAGCTCTTTCTGACTTGACAGCTCGGGATCCTTTGTTTTGATGTAGACATATTCCAAAAAAGTTAAAAGACAAGGTGGATACGACAATAATTATGTTGAATTTCAGGCTGATCTGAATGGCGAGGAAAGACGCGAAGTTGTTGTTGAAGCAAGTGATCTGGGAAACCCATCAATGACGTCGAATGCAACTGTCATCATAAGAAATAAGTAAGTCATCATTCAGACTGGATAAAATATAGGTTTAGCATTGTGTTGATCATACCTTTTAAAGGTATGATCAGTGTCAATATCAGTGTTTTCTATTATTATCAAAAAGAAACAAATTTGAGATTATAAAGGAGAGTGTTTTTATTGCAGAAAAACTTGTAAAAAGATGTCATTTGAAGTGACAGAACCTGGTGCGCTATCAACAACAACACTCTGCTCTTTCAAAGAGTACCCAACAGGAGTTCATAACAGACTTGTTGGTGAATCGTTCAGTGTAAGAAACAAATTCTTGATTACAAAAATCTAACCTAAATCCTATTATCACGTAAGCTGTAGTTATTTAAAGGATGAAGTCCCCAATAATGTGTTCATTTCAACCCTTAGATAAGTGACACCTGAAAACATCGGGGTCAAAGCTTATACTAGTAGTCACATGACAACGGACACTTCTCTTTAAAGGACAGTTATTCTTTTCCCTAAAATGTCCGCCATATGTAATTTTCGCTGTCTACAGAACGCCTAACTAGTCCTCTTCCCGTAACCCAATTTCTTCACATGTATATTTCACAGCAATGAGATGATGCAAAAACCTTTTCTAAATACATGGTTTTGGTTACTATGTTGGTAGGGTGGTAGACAAACCCCCTTTTTCAAGCCAATGTGCAACAATCATTGAGATTGATAGGCAAAGTATTCGAGTGCAAAGAGGGGGGATTGCTCATTCGAAAAAGCCTTGCGCATATTTGTCTCTAAATGTAACAGAAAGTCAAATTTAAAGCCTCGTTATAGAAGATTAAAATATGAATTATAATGTCCATAGCTAACCTGTATCGCAGAAGGAAACGACCAAGTGTCTTATCGTTGGAGCCGTGACGGCAATAGCATCGCAGCCTTTACTAGATCGGGGGTATTGGAAATCGCAAAAGTGACAAAGAACGACCAAGGAACGTACGAATGTTTGGCGAGAAACGGAGCTGGAACTGCCTCAGCACCCACGAACGCAAAACTGATTGTGAAAGGTGAATGACTTTTGTTGTTTCTACAATACTGGCTATTTTCAATTGATACACGCTACTACACGTTACTGCTGCGAGATGCACCTCTGACAGAAACTCAGGCAAATGCTTAGTTAGCGATAAAAAAGAGGAAGTTAATAGGAAGTAAGCTGCCAGGAATGATCCATATTTTTTGGCATGACAATATGCATTAAATACCGAATAAAATTATGTACCATCCTTTTCGTAGAAGTTAATGTTCTCATGGCTTATGTATCAACAATACACAAAGGTTAATAGACTATTTTACAGAAGGTTTTTTAAAGTTTAGTACCTTGGTTCAAACTCAACCTCCACATGGAACAATACACAAATATCTGAATGAATTGAGCTTGACAGAATCGGTTTGAAGCTTGAAAAAGTGCCAATTTGGCACAAGCGTGAAGATACATCTTAATAAACCAAAAGCCTAGACCTTATTTACTAAAACAATGTTTTTTGTCTGTTTTGCCGCATTTTTTGATTAATTTTGTAATTATTCGTTTTCTTTGAATGATTCAGTCAGGTATGGATGTTCTTCCAAGACCAGTTTATGACATAAACAGACCTCTCGAGATATATCGTGACACTAAACTTCATTCAAGGCGTTACGATACTTTTGAGACAGTTGTATGATGCAAACATTAAATGTAAAAAAAAACCTTCAGTTTTCACGAGCTTTGTTTCTATTTCAGAAAAACCAAGTTTCTTATTCCATCCAAGTGACATGACAGCTGAAGTTGGAGGCATAATTTCTCTGCAATGCAAGGCGACTGGAGACCCAGCTCCTCGCTACCAGTGGCGGAAGAACGGGGAAATATTTCAGGCTGGTGAAGGCTACAATACTGATACACTGACGCTTGATGGCGTGATTCCGAATGATGCCGGGCAGTACTACTGCGAAGCAATCAATGCAGTTGGACGAGCGCAGTCTAAAACAGTCGTAATCAAAGTTGTTGGTACGTATGCTGCTTTTCTAGGGGTGTCGTTGATGTTCGTTTGCAGCTTTATCCTTTCAAAATTCGAAGTCTTTTTTTCATTACTACATTGACAACGAAAAACGAAGTATCCCTTTCATAGCTGCCGTCTCAAACTATCACGATTACATCATAGCTGCCGTCTCAAACTATCACGTTTACATCATAGCTGCCGTCTCAAACTATCACGATTACATCATAGCTGCCGTCTCAAACTATCACGTTTACAGTCATAGCTGCCGTCTCAAACCTATCACGCTTTTACAATCTTAACTGGCGTCTCAAACTACACGGTTGACAATGCTTTAAACTGCCCGTCTCAAACTATCACGTTTAATCTTAACTCCTTCTCAAACTATCACGTTAATCTAAACTTGCGTCGTCTCCAAACTATCACGTTACTATCAATAGCTGCCGTCTCAAACTATCACGGTTTACATTTCATAGCTGCCGATTCAAACTATCACGTTTACATCTGAAACTGCGCGTCTCAAACTATCACGTTTACATTCTTAACTGCCGTCTCAAACTAGTCACGTTTACCATCCTCTAACTTGCCGTCCAAAACTATCAGCGTTTTACATCTAACTGCCGTCTCCAAAACTTCACGTTTACAGTTCATAGCTGTCCGTCTCAAACTATCACAGTTTAATCATCAGCTGGCCGTCTCAAACTTCATCACGTTTTACATCAATCAGCTGGCCGTCTCAAAACATCACGTTACATCATAGCTGCGTTCAAACCTATCACGTTTACATTCATAGACTGTCCGTCGTCAAACTATCTACCGTTTACATCATAGATGCCCGGTCTCAACACTATCACTTGTACATATAGCTGCCGGCTCAAACTATCACGTTTCACATCATAGCCTGCCGTCTCAAACTATCCACGTTTACATCCATTAACTGCCGTTGCTCAAACTATCACGTTTACATCCTCAACCTGACCGGTCATCAAGACTATCACGATTATTAACGATTCATAGCTGCCCGTCTCGAAAACGTATTCACGTTTACATCAAGCTGCCGTCTCAACAGACTATTCAGTTTACACCTTAATTGCATCTCAAAAACGTATCACGTGTAATCTAATTGCCTCTCAAACTATCACGCTTTATCATCTAACGCCGTCTCAAACTTATGCACTGTACATCTTAACTGCCGTCTTCAAACTATCACGTTACCATCATAGCTGCCTCTCCAAACCGTATCACGTTACATCATAGCTGCCGTCTCAAACTATCAGTTTACATCTTAATTGCCGTCTCAAACTATCACGTTTACATTCACTAGCTGCCGTCTCAAACTATCACGGTTATACAATATAGCTGCAGCGTCTCAAAACTATCACCGTTTACATCTTAACTGCCGCTCTCCAAACTATCACGTATTGACATCTTAGGACTGCCGTCTCAAACTATTCACGTCCCCTTTTACATCTTAAACTGCGCGTCTCAAAACTATCACGTTGTACATCTAACTGCCGTCTCAAACTTAATCACGTTTACATCAGCTGGCCGTCTCAAAACTATTTTTCACGTTACATCAAGCTGCCGTCTCAAACTATCACGTTCTACATCTTAACTGCCGTCTCAAAAACTATCACGTTTTAACATCTAACGTGCCGTCTTCAATATCACTGTTGACATCTTTAACTGCTGCGTCTCCAAACTATCACGTTACATTAGACTGCCGTCTCAAACTACTCACGTTTACATCATAGCTGCCGTCTCAAACTATCACGTTACATCATAGCTGCCGTTTAACTCCACCATTTTACGACAATATTTTTTTTAAAACATTTTTTAAAGTTTTTTTGTGATGATTTACTAGTGGTTTTACTTTAGCTTTCCGCGTACTTCATATCTTACGAACTTTGTTAATTCTGTTTATCAGGTGTCCGTGCAATAACCGAAGAAAGAACGGCCCTGACCGTTATTTCCGTCCCAGAAGATTCAGGTGAGCCGCACGAAAATTTTTGTCCGAAAGGAAAAAAGCTAATAGATTCAAGGTTTTGATGTTTTCTAGAAAAAATAAACAGATTTTAGGGAGTGGATGGTCGTGAAATTAATATGGAACATCTCAAGTGATCCTGGGTTATTTTGGCACTTTCTCTGTTTGCAAGGCCAAGGCTCATCAAATGAAATTGAAAACGATGGGAAATTGATTAAATTATAAGAACTTAATTGAATGAAATTGAAAAACAAGATAGTCCTAGAGAGACAATTGAATAAAACACTCAGATAGGAAACCTACGATTTTTTAATTGTACGTTTGTGCTGAAAAAGTTTCTAGAAGGACCGGACCAAAAACTTTGCCTTTTGAATAAAAACTTCTAAATATTTGGTTAAACAACACCGTCAATTTATGTCTCTTTTTGAGATCAAACTTATTCTAAACTTCTAAAAGTGATACTGCAATGAATTAATTTCATTAATAATGAAACTTGGTGCAAATAATATGAATAATGACTAATAAAAGTGACACTATAAATATCATCATTTTTACTTTGCTATTTCTGTGTTTGTTCGAAGAAATTAACGTTGGTGATCTTAACGAACATGAGATTCTCAGTGACAAAGTTACATTTTACAAATTCTTGTAATGTGTCAAATTGTGAGCCAAACCCATGTAGAAATAATGGGAAATGTGAGCTGACAAGCAACAGTTTTCCTTGCTCCTGCAACAGGTGGATGGTCAGGGGAAAACATGTGAGCTGGATGAAATGAATTGCAACTCGTCGATAGGTAATAAACCATTTAATCACTGGAAAGATTTCATTTTGCTTAGTTATGGCAAAGTATCGCTTAGGATTTATATATGTAAGACATGCGTCAGAGATGCAGGGTCTGAATTTAGGATTCGTCAGCTCCAGGGATGCTGTCCGAGAATTCTATGCAGGACTGGGCTGTGCTGTATGCCATTCTGTCGGTGCGCACCACTTAACCAAAATCTTCCATTTTGCTTTTTCCATTCAACCTTCCTTGCAACAGAATCAAGAAGTCTTGTCTATCATTATTGTCCGAGGAAAATCATACACTGTAATGATATGTCAGGTTGCTTTGAAAGGTGTGCGCCTTTGTCAAACATCGCACAAGCTAAAATGAACGTTTAACCCCAAAATGTTAATGAGCTTTAATGAGGCAATCTGTCATGACAGTTCAATCTGACTTATAAGAACACCAAGGACTTATTTTATTGTTTTCCAGCTCCCCTTTAATTTATTGCATTGTAATAAAATATGGCGGGACAGCTATTGTTCGGTAAACCAATCCACAACGAGGGGACAGATGCCTTTAAGATGGTTCGATAAGGCTTTGCAGTCCATATCGACTGCCCTGAAAACACTGAAATCAACCAAAATGAACAGCTAACTTTGACGATGCACTCAAAAAAGGGTTTGGGCAGCAGAGTCATATCTTGCTGTCTTTTCAAATTCTTCTATTCTTAATACTTTCCAAATCTTTCAAAAAGCAACTGCCTACGCGGAACTGCACAACGCGGGAAAGGATATACTGGTGCAGACTGCCCTTCAGGAACGCTGGTCTCAGCTGTGATGATAAAAATTCTTATTGCAAATCAATCCTTGTGGGGAGTGAGGAATTTTGTTGCCATTGCCGACAGAGCACTGCTACGAACCATTACATGTGGTAGCCAAAACAAGCAAAAGTTTGATTTCCATATTAAAAAGAAGAGACACAAAATTGGGGAGAGCCCTTGAAATTTGATGTTGAAGCATGATTGAAACACAGGCTTTCAGAACTGGAAGCCACAGTGAGTAAAATAATAACAGTTCGTTATTTGGGGGCGGGGGGGGGAAATAAACAGTCACTACAGTGTTTAGTTTTGAAAGATGACAAAATGAATCCATTTCCAATTTGGACTAATTGTTAGAAGCCAATGTTTCTGACAAAATCCGAGAAACTAAATGAAGCATCTGCCATAAACAAGAAGATGAATTCTTCTGGTCTTCGGGTGGAGCAAAATATGTTGCCAACCATCCCCGGATCCAGACCCAGCAAGCATGCCGGTTAACTAACTGGACTCCCATTATGGTTTGCTGTTGATCCGGGGTCAGAGTGAAATACTACTTCATTGTGTCCGGTGTTATTCTGGCAAGCAAGTGCCTGGTTATTCGAGCACAGCTTTTGCGATTGTTATCGATCTCAACGGAACAACTTCCGAAAGCTGTCAAATCGAACGGTGGCCACTGGCAAACGCTCAACCAGGGCTGGCCACTCCCTCTGGTGTCCAGTAAATATCAAACTTTTGCTTTCTACTTAATGCACATCAGGCTACAACTACTAAAAGCTGCTGAAGTGTTGCGTAAAATACAAGTGGGCCCTTGCTCACAATATATCTAAATAACAATGGCTAAAAGTACTGAATGGCCACTGACGGTACAAACAATTAGCTTAGCAGACCTACAGCCCCCTCTACCCCCAACCCCCTAAAAATGAGCACCTTCTCCTAAGTTACAATCAGTGAACCCGCCATATATTCTACACGTGACAAATGCCGATAATTGTGCCATAGTTATGATTGGTTAATACCATAGCATCTTTCTCGATTGGTCAGTTGTTGATTGAATCTTTCATCATATGATATTCAAACGATATTGTGTGATATATAGTATAGTATTGTGTCATTTTCACTTCAATACCTTATCATGTAAAGTCTTCGTGGCTACAATCTCACGAATGGCAATCTCTCTTAGGGTGACATTGGAACTTGTTGCAAAGGAAAAGCACAGCGGTAAAACCATCGACGCAAAGAAAGCGATAGATGCCATCAAACAAAAAGATGTACGAGACAAATTGGCTAAAAGCAAAATTGAAATCGAATACGTTGATCTAGGTAGGGTATGCTCTTTGTAACTTGGTGAAAGTCATACCTGCACATGCCTATGCAATAAGCAAACCATTTGTTTTCCAATTTGTAATGTCATTAATAAATATAGCATACAGTAGTTGAAACGTAACCCCAAAATCCCCGACAAAATGTTTTGAGGGGGATTCCTTAGATTATAAACCGCAGATAGTATCAAAACTCAAATTCGATTTAAAATTAACTAGAAAACACAAACATGGTGGGTTTGATGGCATAAACATACTTCGTAGAGCTCCTGCACAATTCTAATTTTTCCCCAGTAACCTTGACAGTCAGTACTCAAATTTTTTACAACTTTGAACATTATTGCGTACAGTTATGCGTATTACATATTGCTACTGTCTGTTCACGGTAATTAGAACAATTTCATAGTAATATTTGAGAGAAGCGTCTGCATTCATACTATAGCGCTTTCGCCCGCGTTTCATGTTGTTCTAATCAACCTTCCAGCGTACGTGGATAGGAACACTGGCGAAATAGAAGACGATGAGACTAATGTTGCTGTTGTTGTAGCCGTCGTTTGCGTAGTGGCATTTATTGCTGTTGCTGCTGTTGCTGCATTTATTGTCCTCAAAAGGTAAATTTGTAACATTTCGATATGAATGATAACTGTAGTTTGTAAATGCTATTTAGGTTAGCATCACTTCGAAAACTAAAATAATTTTCAAATATGATTGCAATGGTGGACCCAGAATTCTGCCAAAGGCTTTTAAAATGGTTTTTCTGGGGGTCGTGTAACGCAATTCATCGAGAGGTTCTTATTGATTTTATAGAGAGGTTCTTATTGATTTGAATCGTAATTTATTATGTATTTCATCCTTTGAAAAAGAATAACTAATGGGCTGGAAGAAGCATGTGCTCTCTAACTTGTGGTTCTGCCTAGGTTTTGGTAAATATTATGACTGTGCTTCGTCTTACATTAAAATGGATGCTTCGTTATATTTTAGGGCTCACTATAGCCTTTAATCATATTATTACAATTTCAGACGCAACCAGGGCAACTTGAATACCAACTTGACAATGACAGAACGAATTGCCCAAAGAGGAAATAGCAAAGAAGATTTGCTCAGATCTGATATTATGATGAGCAATATCGTATGTATACAATCAATTTTGTGTCAAGATTGCACACGCTCGTCTTTTCCTATGAAAGTAAATGAAAATTTTTCAGAACAATAGTTACATCTTACACAGTAAAAAATTTGGGTAGCAAGACCAATTTTGCTAAAGCATCATTTTATTTCATCCCATTATCATCTATCGATGTTTTTAGCCAATTTATAAGTTTAATCTAACCAATTAGCCCTTTTTGAAATCGTTTGCTTATCGTTTACACATATATTCTTAACAATGCCATGTTCAATACAAGGATCAAGTCGGGATGAAGAACATGGCCTACTCCGGTGATGTTGATTATCGAGCTAGTCACGTGCCCATTGACGAATCATTCATGATTGATGTCTCAGGAAAGATGAAAAATGGAGGCGAAACGAAAAAACCCGAGCAGGTATTCACTTTTTCATTTTTATGTACGTTAACAAAATTATACCTAAGGATCTCTTGTCTAAAGTACGCCGGGATACTGCAAGCAAGTATTTTCAGCAGGACCTCTAGCTCGATATACATTTAGTTATTATTCTCTGGTATTTACTGCATTTTTTCCCAATCGTTGAAAATATTATCTTTGTTAAGTTTACACGTATTCTGCAAGTGTATTTTCCCGAGGATCGACCTAGAAAGACTGCCAGTGTGAAGAGGTACTTCAACGACCGAGATATTTTGTCAGAAATAGGGAGGGGGAAACTGTGGGTGAGCCCCTTTTTGTTGAGGTGACAGTCAATGCATTTCAACAACAAAAATGAAATAATTCCACCTGCATCAGCGAGCTTACCCAATGGGCAAAGGATATTTCAGTATCTGCTTTCCACTTTAAATGTGCCACATTTCAGGTGATACACACTTTGGCAATACCAAAGTCCCTGTATATATGTCCCAATTTCCATTAGACCTAATAAGATTGCATACTTTTCAGTACGAGTCGCTACCCTGGTACAAAGGTCAAATGACAGAAAAACAAGTTGAATGTTCATTTGAACTGTGCAATAAGAGTGGATCCTATTTGGCCTACAAAACAGAAGACGACCAGCTTAGATTAGGGATTAAAACAGTGGAGGATAGCGAACACGGGGTTCTCCACCTTGGGGTAGATAGAACACCCAATGGAGCTTTCATGGTTAGATATGGTAACAACGATCCTATCACACGAGATTCGTTGCTCGACGTCATCGAGCACTACCAAGTGGTCCCTCTTAGTCTCGGTGATGGGACCCCTGAGATAGTTCTGACGGAACCATGGTTGCGAAGCTCTTTGTAGAACCAGTGTTGTATCAGCTTTTTACATTAAGGAAGAGCAATTAATGACACTTAAATAATTCACTTATTAATTCGTTTCTGTAGAGTTGATCTCGTTGTTTTGGTTACGTCATTTACGATTGTATAACATGATTGATAGCAATCGCTGTAATAGGCTCGTGAGGGGTACGATTAGTAGGATGTTGTTGTGGTTGTCATGCTTATAGATTCGCATTAACTAGCTAGGCACTATATTCTAAAGATATATGACCGCCAAGAAACTCCTTACTGCCATAAAGTAATCCGATTCAAATGGATTTCTATCGTGTTTTTTCGCAGATTTCGTGATGAGCAGCGTAACCCCTCTTATATTTCTGCCTTGGAGCTTGAATGGAATCGATTAATGGCTCCGTTTCACCAAACACTTACAGATGTAAGTAGGCCAAGAGTTCTGGACATAATAGGCTAAGCCAGTGGTATTAAATGTTTCTGTGTGTAATTTCATTTTTCTTTATTAATGTAACAAACGCTTCTTGATAATTTCAAAGCACCATCCCTTTCATAATTCTAGCGAGATATTACCTTGTTACTTGCTATAAGAATTGCATATTATAAATCCGATTGATGAAGTTACAATTTAATTGGATTTGCCTTGTCCAGCAAAGTATGCGTAATGTAGCAAGCTCGATTTGTGCAATCTGGTCTTGAAATGTCTATGAAAAATGTGCGAAAAACTAAATTTTCTTCCTCTGTTGAAAACCGGTGTGAATTAACTTGCATAAGTAGTAAATTATGCCTTGGAAAAAACCTGCTGTGATTTTTCAGAAGTGGCGCTTCCTATCAACTGGCTCTCTGAGGTTTGAGAACTGAGACCTAAAAATACAGTATAGGCAAGATCGAATTGTGATCGAATAAATCGAAAAACAATAACCTAACATTTTAAGGCTGGCTGTGTTGAGTCCTAGACATGTCCTTTTGAATCCCCGCCCCCCAATTTAGAGAACTTTTTAGATGTTTCTTTTATGATCCTGCATGTTTCAAGATCGATTTACGCTTTTCTAACATTCGTGCCCTCGCTATCGCCGTAAGGTTGTCAACCCCAAACATTGAATATTGTTAAACTACCTTTCATCTTTTTCATGTTGAGATAAATATTTATCAGTTGTGAATTTACAATTGACTATTTAGGGCTAGACCCGTAATTTCCTTGTAAATTAATTGGAATTAGAAATGTAAATGTATTTAGATAAAAAAATAAATTTTCTCGTATACCGTTGCAGCATTCGTATTGTAGACCACAGTTTCGCCTATTGAAGAAGATGATTATTTCAACCTAGTGCTATCAGAACAAACCTTTATGCACTTTAGGCCTTTGGTAGTCTAGAAGACTCCACTTAAAGTTTATGTGATTTTCAAATGGTAAAGGAGTTGAGACATCGATAGAACATTCATCCGCAGTTGACACATACCCTTCTAAGACTAGCTTTTCTATTTTAAAGAAGCAGTAATTTTAAAGTCAACCACGACGTTACAAAGTGAGCAAAATTAAGTCGAAAAGTAGCTGTTGTTTAAAGAGGCTGCATATTACAGCAATATTAGAATCGTCTATTGACTGTTAGTGTGAGTAAAAATTCGCATACATTCTTTCGTGTCGGATGTAATATTCAATTTATTTGTGAATCACTTCTTTAAGATTTATTAAATGAAGTTCAATTCTTTCACGCCTACTCAGTTATTAGTTCTTAAACTTTTAAAGTTAAACTGAGCTGAGTTCAATGTGGAAAAGTGAAAGGACATCAAGGCCATCGTGAGTGTTGACAACCTTCACACTAGGCCAAAATCACATTCATTCGAGCAGTATCGCAGCGTGGTCGCCTAAATTCATCTTCGTTAATTGAAATATCAAACCAATTATGCACTACAATAGCACTGTAGCATTCAGAGTAAAGTAATTGAAATGAAATGAAAACTGTAGACAAACCTTTGTATAAAGATGAATTGAAGTTCGACTGCCTGTCGTCATTAAAGAACGTCCTTCTGAGCTCTAAATTCTTTCAAACACTGATTCTTTGCCAACGAGTTGCATTACTTCATAATAAAACGATCTCAAGGGGAATGGAAGGGAATGCAACTATACAAAGAATAAGTCGTCTTCAGAGATACAAAAAAATCAGATTCATGGCCGCCTTTTCAATGCAGTTGTGCAACGTTTTTACGCGCCAAAATCCTCCTTCAAAGTTCCCCATTTAGGAATTTCTCAGCTTCTTTCAGTAAATAATTTGTTTTCAGAAGCCGGGAACGACTAGCATCCACCTAAAAATATAGAATTTTTAAGATTTAATTTTTCTTGTAGAAGCAAATCTGAAATGTGTAGGATAGGTAAATTATATTTTTGTGAATGAAAAAGCTCTCTACCAGTGGCGTAGGAGCCAAAGGAAGGGGGGGGCTAGGGGACATGTGCCCCCGATTTTCTTCCAAGCTTGAGGCATGCCACTTATATGAATGAGAAATGATCACTTGCGATTGAATATTTGTCAGGTCATTGCTCCTTTCTCATTTTAATGGCCGTTTACATTATCTTTGAGCTGACCTACTAAACTATATACTCAAATTTTCTTTCATCTTTTCATTCTCAAATGTCGATGCTATCGATTGCACTATTTTGACTATCAGCTACCATCTTCTATCAGGAGGCTGGCTACCATGACCCTCCAACTATCCCAAAATCTGAGGGTTTGTTGTCATGGTCATAGATAAAACTAAGGGGCTGATAGTAGAGATGGGCCCCCAGAACCAGATATGCTTTGTCGAAATTGGTAGAAGATTTGAAGATGTATCGTCTTTAGAAAATATAGAAAAAGCTTCAGGTTTTGACAAGTGTATCATTGATGTTAAATCAGGACCGTTTCAGCCGCTGATAAGCATTTCAGTCAAGAAACATGTACTTGACAAAAAGTTGTGAAATTCGAGCCCAGGCCCTTTAGTTTCTCTGAAGTCCACTATTATATTCTCTATTCCCATACTTGTTAGGGAGACGAGTCCTTTTGTTAAATTCCTTTTGTTTTTGGCATATTGCTAAGTGCATCATATGGGCATGCGCTTCACAGCATTTAATCACATCTATTACATATCATAGTTGCATTTGTAAACCAGAGTTTCGTTCTCACTCTTCTCATGACATTCTTTTCTCTAAATTTCCTTCCTTCGTTTTTGATTCAAAATAAGCTAAATCCCATAATGCCACAAATGCTCCTATCACAGAATGAATTATGGTATGTGAAAATAACGATATTTACTTAAACTGCGCATGTGCATATGATACAGAATTTTGAAAACCTAACGGTCCGTCAGACAAATGTTGGTTCGTCTCCCCAACAAATAACCTTTGGGATATGATTCATGGGTTAATTACGGCCTAAACGTTTTTCGAAATGCTTTACATTTTTATTCGTATTCGCAAGCTCCATTCAAATTATACAATAGCGTTATAATTGAAGCACCCCACCTGTTTCGTAGTCATTTCACAACATTAGCAAAGGGTCCCTACAGTAACACAAATTCAAAAGTATTTAAAACGATTCAAATGAAGATCTCGTGAACCCGCACATGAATCGGTAACTGTGAGAAGCATTCATTGTCAATCTCCCACACAACAAATCATCGACAAAAGTCCCAGTTTCTGTTAGGACGTACTGAACGAAGTTCAGCAAGAAAATGCTGCACCATATTTACCGGGTGGATCGTCTCTTCTTTATGGTTTGTACCATTTCACTATTGCTAGTGCCAATAAAGCTTTTTCTTGATAAATCTCATAGTTTTGCTATCCAGATATTGTCATATGGCATTCCAATATGGTTTTGGGTGAAGAACCTTCTACTCAATCTGTAGTATCTACTCACAATATGTAGAAACTTTGTCAAATAGGTCTGGTCACAATGCTTAGGACATCTTAAGTGCAACATTCTGATCCCATCCTAATTGAAATCATATCAAGCCGTCCTGTAGATTTAGCACTTTGTAGATACATAGTATGAAAAAAGCACCGAAGAAGGGAACATATCATATTTACAATAATTAATTGGAGGCTTTAACAGAATTCTTGTATTTTCTAGGCTATTCCTACTATTATCTACAGAAAGGTAATAGGGTGGTCGCGTATCGGGTTTATTTGGGGCTACATCGTACTAAAGTACTACTTTTGGTCGGATACTCATCACAGTATCAACGTCGGATAATATCAAAGGAAATCAGAGAGTTAGTATCCCGTTGTGGATCAGGATATAAATTTTCTTCTTACCTTTGGACATTATCGGACAGAAAGTACTTTAGTATGGTACTTTTCCGCTCTTCCGTGCTATTTTCAAATATACGGTGCCAATTGTTCATTAAGACACAGGGTGATTTATCAATTATATTTAATTTTACGAGTTAAATGAGAAACCCCTTCATTTTTCTCCTAGGTTTTTGCGGCGATCGGCTGCGTAAAGGCTACAGGTGAGGATCCATTACATAACTACAATTAACGTCTTTTGACAATGGCTGAGCTCTTACACTGTTGTTAACTTCTGAATATGTACAGTTTGGCACCTGACCAATGCAGGATGCCTCTGCGGTATCTAGCTGGTTCATGATTTACTAACATTTCCCAAACCCATTTTGTTGTAAAGACGCCATCTTGAACCAGTTCCGTTTTGGGATCGCAGGTAGAATCAAGACGTTGCTAAGTTACAGAATGACAAATAGCGTGGTAACCAGCAGCGGTTTTAGGGACTGCAAGGCACGGGACCGAAATGCGGGGCTCTTGTTCTTTATAATTTTTACTTTTTTCCTAGATGTGGGCCCCTTTCTGAATACCACAAGCATGAAGTCTTAGGCAGTGGCCCCCCAGGACACCATTTAAACCGCCTCTGGTGGCATCATATTTCATAAGAGTAATAGAAATGTGTCTAAAAATATCGATTTTGAAATGATGCTTAGGCCAAAGTGTATGCATAGGACAGCATTATCACTGCCGGACTTTATACAATAAACAACTGCTTTGACGTTTATACTAGTTGCTTTTCAGTTGTTCTTTGACATTTCAGACCCGATTTTCAAATTCATCCCCAAGACTTCGTTGTCGAACCTCAAAGTGACACATATCACCGAGTTCGACATTGAAATGGTCGTCGGCTCGAATGCCGCTGCTCGCACTGTCATCACTGTAAATGGCCCATTCAGCGATGGAAGTGCAGGTTTTGTTATGATTCATATCTTCCTTGAATAATTGAATATATCATTGTCGTATTTCGTTCACTGCATATATGGTGCTTGTAATATATATCAGATCTCAGATTGAACGCAAACAAAATACCTTTTCTCTTCGCCCTTCGATTCCACCCACCCTTACTTCCCGGGGGTTTGGGTCTTACAATGGACATTACAATAACAGTAACTATAAAACACTACAGTGCTCTCTAGAGGACACAATAAAGCAGGTTGCTTCCCAAAAGCTACGTGTCTTAAAATTCTCTTTTATACATTATTCAACATAACATGCATACTAGTTTGATTATGGCAGTATGAATATCTCTTTATATCAAAGCCAAAGTCGACGCCACTTTTCTCATACGCCGAGTCTATTAGGAGTTTTATGTAGATGTATTACACACGCCGAGTCTATTAAGAGCGGCGTTTGACTTTATTAGATGTAGCAGAATCAATTTGGAGCGACAGGGGCAGTCGCATATGCGGCTTCTTAGCGACTTCTGTCAGTACAAAACAAAGTATAATGTTTATGTAAAGTTAAACAGACTTATTTGAGACTGAAATCGAGGATTGCTTTTGTTTGCAGGTATGACAGGTGTTTCCATGACAGCAACTAGCAAAGGCTCAAATGTGAATGGGCCAGATTTTACCACCATCAGCACATCAAAAACCACTACAGCCCAGGATGGACAATACGATGTTATGTACAAAAACTTCACAGCGATTTCAAGGACGAGCACTGGTGTAACGACTACCTTAGACAATACCTTGAATTTGGTGGCATCAATGAAGGTGGGGGTTACTCAACATACCATTATCATCATTTTTCGTCCGACAATCTTCAGAGTTACCGTTTTTAACTTGGGTTTTTTTATTTTTGTAAATACGCCGTGGCTGTACACTTTTTGGAACCGTTCTTTTTTGATGCTCGCGGGAATATCTTCTTTAATTTCATCGACTAATCGCTGACTGGGGCGTCCTATATACCGAGCTTCAGGTCGGCACGAACATTTTTAAACAGATAAACGTTTTTGCTTGGTAGGAACGTATTCTAGTACGTCAGACCACACGAAACTTCCCAGTGGAAAAACAGCGAGTTATGGCCTTTTTATTTGACTTTCAAATTTTAATGAAAACAGCGTTATGGCCTTTTTATTTGACTTTCAAATTTTGATGAAATGTTGTTAGTCCACGGCATTTTTTAAATACACAGGGCATTTTTCTGGGCCAAACTTTTCCGAGCCGAGAAATTTTCTCTGAAAAAGTGGTAAAGATATCTTCTTGGTAGCCATTCTCGAACAGAACTTCCTTTTTTCAAGCTCACGACCCAATTTAGTTTTGGAGCAAATCAGTTCCAAACAGAGTTCAGCCATGGCGTGATTGCAAAAACACAATCCCGCAAGCAAAATGTGATTTAGCAATTGGTCAAAATTACCTCACGAATCAAGAGTGTGTCAAATCACATAGTGACTAAAATTTCAAATTTGTTCGGTAAGCTAGGTCGTCTTTACTTATATTTCAAAACAAAGGGTGCTGACTTGTGCAAACAGAAAGAGTTCGTTTTTTTCTTGGACTCTTCAACTAAGTAAGAGGTTCCCGGTCGTTGATTGTCAAAAGACAAAAGAACCAATCAAACGTGTCTGCGCCTTTCTCACGCTGTTTTCGATCCACCTGTTTCAGTATGCAATGTTTCTATTTGTGCCATCTTCAAAGTTTTCGGTTCCAAAAAATCATTTTCCATATCGTTATAATGGTATTACGGTGATCATAGATAATCAATATTACCACACCGTTGTTGAAAATGGCAGCTAAGCTCAAGATCTTGCGAAATGCAATGCTAGTCGTTTACGTTTTTACGAATTAGATGAAGACTTATTATATGAGATTATAAACATAGAAAGAAAATGATCTTTTTTAGACGGTTGATAAACCTGGTGCTACTAGCAGCGACACACTGTGGGTTTGGTGCTCTGCAGAGGTAGGAGATGAATATGTTTGGGTGAGCGAAGAAGCAACAAGCATCTACAGAGAAACTGGAGACCGACCGCATCTCCAATATACCCTTAAATATCATACTGGATTTGAGATTTTTTTTGCGTAGGTTTGCCATATCTCTTATTCCATAGCATTCGACAAAGCTCATGAACATTTTGTTCATTTTCTATCTTTCGCCAAGCAACAAATTCAAAGGCTTTTAAATACGCAACCAAGCCTAAATATACAAGTTAGCCAAAAAGTAAATTTTCAAATCAACATCACGAGCTCCTTCACATGTTTACCTTTGGTGCACAAGAGTGCAATGCAACATGTTTAATAAAATGCGCAACTTTTTCTATTAAAGCAGGGCCCCTGCTACAGGGGTTCTTCTAACTTACCATTGTAGTTGTCAAAATGAAGCAACGTTCATCAAATTATTTAGCATAAAATCAAAATTTGCATGTACAGGTTCAAATAAAGTTGTTAGTTTTCACAGGCCTCACATGTGGAAAATAAATACTTCAAGCAATGGAGACACTATTATTTTTGTTATAGAACCATGGTGAAGATTTCTGGAGATGTCAGTCATCTTGGTACATCTCGCATCAACGCTTATAATGTTAAGCTGAGAATAAACCTGCCAGCATATGTGAAATACCGCGAGGGGACATTTAATATCACTGGAAAGTACCCAAATGGAAGTCCTAAATACATTACAGAGGAGAACAATAATGTTCTAGTGTTAACAGTAAGTGAACAAGCTCAGTTTAGTTAATATTTATCGCTCAATTATAAAAGACCTGTTTCCGGTTACGCCGTCATTTTGAAACGCTTTGCATTCTGGGATGGCTAGTGGTAAACAATTTTTGAAGGCTTTTGCGACCAAGTCATTTTTGACCAATATGTTGAGAAATGCAAGACCAAAATCGCATTGACAAGGACCATCAAATTCAACACTATGTTCTTTCATAAGTTTTTTTCGGGATTTTTTCAGTGCTCAATCGTACAATGATTTAGTACCGAAATAAACTGTAAGATTGAGCACTGAAAAAACCCGACGTTATGAAAGAACAAGCGGTAAATTTGATGGTCCTTGTCAATGCGATTTCGGTCTTGCATATCTCAACATATTGGTCAAAAATGATTAACAGATAAGTATTTGGAGAAGGTTAAAATAGAAATTGTTCAGGGTAACCAAATATATCACAGTTTGCTCAAACCACTTCGTTTTTGGACAGAAGACTGATTATAATCCCCACCCTAAGCTTTTTCTTCGAGGTTATGATGAGCCTACCGACCCTCCAAAGTGGAGGATTGAATTATATAGGCTTGGCGACTCAGACAATTTTTTTCGCAAACCACCACCAGTTTTCCTGGAAAAGCACTCTCTCTTTACTTTTATTTCCGGTTTTCATAGAAATATTATTTCAAGTTCTGAGTAGTATAGGAATTCCTCGATTTAAACGAAAAATGTGTGATTTCTGAAAACGCCTCTCCAACTTTTCTTTAATCGCTTTTTCAAAACACTGATAAAAATGTTAGGTACGTATTTAAAAATTCATTGATAGCTCATTAACATTGTAATTTTAGTCTGCAAGCATTTAAACTTGCTTTGGATTCTTTCTGTCTTTCCGAATGTTGCCAAAATCTTAATTTTCTCCAAAACCACCAGTCAATTTAACTGAGATCAAATTCATTTTTCAATGCTTGCTTCATTGGTTGCCTTCTGTCATTTGATGCAGTGAAAAGAGATGCACGCAAATCGCTTTCAATAGACTATTAGTGTTGCAGTTCATTTTGAATAATGTCAGAAATTGTAGGCCCTTTTAGCTCTTTCCAACAAGCTATCTTCTGGAATATTCATTGACAAGTATTTCTAAGTACAACTATGAATACATAAAACATCGCTTAAATAGCACCATGCAAACTAGAATCTACACTGAACAGCTGTTGGGCCAATTAGGTCTAGCCACCACATCGGGAAAGAATATGTAGTAAAACTAAGCAAAACGTATTTTAGAGTATCAGCACCATTTTTATATAAAAAAATGAGAGAAATTACCATTTCAGTTTCCAAAAATTGGAGTAGCTGCCCAACTCTCGTTCCAAATTTTCGTCGAATTTGACGGAGGAGCACTGCGGTTAAAAGGAGGGCAAGCATACGATACATACATACCTGCTCATTTGTCATATTGCGACAATGTTGCATGCTCGCCAACCGGAGCCATCGAGTACCTTGAGGTGAACTTGACTAAAAGTCTTCGCATGCGAGAAATCAGAGGTAATCAAAAACAAATTCTTTATATTTAACTATTGTCTAAAAGCAATGCGAGAAACCCATTGTTCATAAGTATGATGTCTCAGAACAGGGCAAAGAGAAACTAGATGGTATGAGAACTGAGAAGTATTCAAAAGCTTTGCCAGGAACCTTTAATACTAGCCTTTTTCGCCATCCTCAGACAACGGCATAATTCAAAATCAATGAAAAAGCAAACAAACACAAATTTTGATGATAAATATTATGAAAAAGTTTTTTGCGGTACAGAACTTGAAAATGGTTTTGAAAAAAGCAAATGTCAGACGTCTGTGGAGTGTCAGACGAAAAAGCTTTTAGTATGTTGTAGAATAAATATTATGTTATAGCTTGAAAAAATTAGCAAACAAAAGGCGATAACCATAACGAGAAGGGGGGTTCCTGGCGTAAGGCGCAAGGGAGTGAACTCTTAAATTTCAATTGCTGGAGTCATTTGCAAAGCTATGTACAAAGTAGTCTTTTGACCCAGTGTTTGCTTATGATACTAGAAATAAATTTCTATTAATTAATTTAGACATATTTCTTCTACAGCCATAAAGCCCTTGCTCAAAAGGTATCGCAAATTCTAAGAATCTTAAGGGTTGTGTTGTGAAGTTTCAGTTTAAGTATCCCTCGCATGCAATTAAAAGAATAGCAAATGCTTCTTTTCTTTTTACCTGATGGAGATTTATGTTCGAAACGTCGTACCAAATATTCATTTCTTGCACAAAGTCGTTATTTTATTGCATCAAATTTTGTTCATTTTCGACGTACAACACGCACAACTTCATTGATTATCAATTTAGAAGAATAGTAGCACGTAATAAGTGCAAAGGTCACAGGTCAGCCATGTATAAGAAACAATGCATATATGTGGTAGGTCATAGGCCAAGGTCCATGTGTCATATAAGGTAATAACGGAAACACACATACGGGCGTAATGGATCAGACAGCTCCAGGAGAAAGGATATAAGAGACAGCCACTCCCTGGCGTAGGCCAGTGGAGGGAGTAAAGCGTAACTTACAGGGATTTGTCAATTAAAAATAATAATATGAGGTTGATTTAAAAACTGCAAATTTGTGTTTCACAAGGTTCATGTCTTGGCCATCTTGCTACCTTCGATCCATTAGCTGAAGCAATGACAAAGTGCATCATATCCACATGCGCATTAAGGTCCAAGCTTGTGGAAAAAAGTTACATTTCATAGCGCTTCATAGCAACAAATAAAAACTTTAAACTGCGCATGTGCAAACGATACAAAATTTTTGCAGCAAACGGACATTAGAAAAAAAGCTGGTGTGTCCCTCCACAAGATATTGGGCTACCCAAGCTCAAGTCAAATAACAGGCAGATGTGTTTTTACGTAGGGACCCGCAACGCAAACTTAATATAGAAGCACTCTGTTGAGAACACAATGACAACGACAGGGAGACAGTCACCTCGGGGCCTGCCACTCCTTTTGGAACCTACCAAGATATTGGGCTACCAACTAAATTCTGGCATCCCTGGGAGCTGTTGCTATCGTTTCTGAACTGATATTCAAAACCTGAAATCTTTTATTGTTAATATATATGTAATTTTGGCTAACAGCTTGAAAATACTCTATATTTTAGATAAATTCTTGATCAAGCACGTACCGTCTGGAAGATGCATATCATTCTCAGGGACTGACGATGCACCAGCAAAATTGAAGGGAGCTTGCGACGAAAAATATGTTTATAACAACAACGCAGAAATCCAGCATGTGACATCATCGGTGTGTACTCGGTATACCGAGGGATACTTTACACTGACATCCAGGGCATGTATATATGGACAAGGCTTTGAGAGGTCAAAAATTGGTACAATAAAGGCCATTTATGCGGCCAATGTCCCGTGCTTTGCACCAATGGGGTCAGGAGAAGAGGGAGATCAGTTGCACGCATCTTCAACTTGCAGTACTCCAAATGCGAAGTTTAAGTTAATTGACGGTATAGTTTTGAATTACATTTTGATTTTTAATATCGACTTGATTAATCAATCATAGAAGATAGAAGAGCTCGAGAACGGTTGCATGCTGATTCAGACTTGCATACATGGCCTTTGCCACTTGGCCTTTGCCACTTGGCCTTTGCCACTTGGCCTTTGCCACTTGGCCTTTGCCACATGGCAATTTAAATAGACAATGGCCAGGAGGGTGAGTAGTACTTTTCTCAAAGAATTTCTGTTACAGCAACAGCAAAATGTAGAAAAGAGCAATTTTCGGCATTGACAAGGGGAGCTCAGCTACCTAGAGGCCCCTAGAGCACTCCCAGACCAACATCCCGTTGGTAAGTCGATAAGGCCGTTGGATAGCAAAGTCAAAATCAGCTACAATGCCTGCCAAAAGTACTTGGAACACCAAGCAATTCACGCTGCATTTGATATCTTTCATTCCTTTCATGAAAAAAACATTACTACTGCCGACCCCTTCCCCCTGAAACAATGTTGATGATTTAGAGAAATATCATAGAAGAAGCGCAAAAGAAAGTGCTTCCTAAAATCCTAACCCGTTTGATAGTAAACCAACATTGTTCCATGGGGGAGAGGGGGATGATTGGTTTTGATCTTGGAAATTGATGTCAGTGTTCCAAGACTTTTGGCAGGCATTGTAGATCACATGATAAATATATCATTTACAAGGCACAGGAAGAGCCTTAACAAAGTGTTCTCTTTGTTCCCAGCTAGTTACAATTCCTAGTAGTACATGTCTGTTTATCTTTGTAGATGTGCCTGCTAGCAGCCGACTATCAATGGGACAAAAGGTCATTCTTGCTACTAAGAACAAATACGTTTTCTTCTGCAACAGACACAAATACCTGTAAGTTACATGCTTCGATCTAGATAGGCCTGCCAGAGGCTAACTTTTCTCATTATTAAGCCCAATCTCCAGTGAGAAAAAGTCTTGCGAAATTTCGCTGCGAAATACTTCACGCGACAAATTCCTTTGAATGCTTTTGTTGACCTCACGACATTGGAATGTAAAGTTTGGAAGCGTGACAAAAGAATACGGAATATGATTGGCTGTTGAAGGATTTCGCAAGCGATAAGCGAAAAAGTTAAACTCATTTTAACTTTTTTTCGCAGATAAATTCTTCGCGAGAAATCCCAGCAAAAGATCACTGCGCATGCCTAAGACGTATTTCGCGCGAACTTTTTCGCATTTCGCAGTTTTTTTTCTCACTGGAGATTGGGCTTTAGAATACGACACACTGCTAGAATAACAGTAAAAGTCCAATAGTCCAATCGGTAACCATTGGACGATGACCATTGGATGAAAATGATCTATAACCAATGGTCAACAAAAAGTTACTATTACTTTTTTTACCAAAAGCACAGATTGAGACTTCATCAGTATTACATCTCTCTTTTAGCTCCAGACCATCGTGCTTTTTTAAGAATGGAACCGACGATTCCACGATTAAAGGTATCAATACACTTTCACTTCGAAATATATCATACTGTAAGTAATATATCAACAAAAGATAACAAGAACTTTTCAAACGATCTCTTGGGGCATGTTTTTATTAGTGAAAGGCTAAACCTGTGTTTGTTTTTACAATTTCATTTCATTCCAGCATTGCCCGCTGACATGGTCTATGTGAAAGCATGGGATGCAGTCAAATCTGATTTGTACGGCATTGGGAACTCGGGGAAGAGCTACGTGAAAATCAACTTGATCTGGGAGCCACATAAAGTCTACCAACTGGAGGATTCCCTTTGGAGCTCCATCGCAGAACAGGCAGGGATAGAAAAGAGCACGGACGTTGTGCAGTCATCCTTGAAAGACTTTCCAGAACAGCAGGGCAGCTCTAGCTACGCAGGTCCGTATATGTCGTTGAAAGAGAACGGTTTTTAGTTACCTCACTAAAATTATTTTGAAATGGGAGAAAACACATTTAGATCGTTGGAAAGCCATCAACAGTGTTTAATAAAAAGCTTGTGTGAGTAAGAAGAAAATACACTATACATCGCAGATTTCTGCACCTTAGTCGTTGAATTTCACACAGGAGATCTTCCGGTGAGCCCCCCCCTCCCCCCCTTAAGTCTCCACTTTGGTAGACTATCCTATTGTTGGCTACCATTTCACGACGCTGACACTTAGATCTTTCCTTTTTGAGGTAGCACCCTTTAAAAAACTTGAACAAACAATTGGTTAATATTTTAGATGGTTAAACTTACTCTATAGAAAACTTTTTATATCACTCGTAGCTTTAATGAAGAGATTAATTTTTCTAAACAATAAACTTCATAAGAATATAGAGGTTAGTTATAGCCAGGCTCGAATTTAATCCAAATTTAACATCCCTTCAATTTGATAAACGATCTAAATATGTTGCGTTTGAATTTCAGTGTCTCTTAAAGGCTTGTACCAACAAGACACCTCTTCAAAGTGGAACCTTTTTTTCAACTGGTAAAGTGACTAAGGAGCCTCACGATTCTTAACTAGTCTTATTTGAAAGTGCGCACGGAACATGACAAAAGATTCCAATGGACATTCAAGATGTCTTAAAAGATGACTGCAGTTACAATTATGCTTCAATATTTATTACATCACTCGCACGATGGCACATTATAGATTCAGCCAACTGGTTGATGCACAACTTAATAGAAATGCTAACAAAACCATGTACCCATTTATAAACATCAAGAGAATCATGACGACGGGAATCTGAAAGCCGCTCAAGAAAAAAAGGGCCAAAATACATGCTTTCCAGACTGTTTAGCCATCGATTCTATCACGTGAATGTTCTCAGTGAATGTGTCAGAATCGTAACTCGAGTTATGGTTTTTTCATTTCTAAAAGAATTCAAGTTTGCATGAGAACGATATATTCCCTACATGCAGAGTTAGCAAGCACTAGAAAAACTGATGTCTTTTATTTGTGTGTTTTCTTTAGAACAAATAAAGAGAGCCTCTTCATTCTCCAACACCCATTTCCTTAGTTTAGAACGACGCAACCATTAAATTGATTATCAATATCAAAAAACATTCCACGGGCTCGCAGCCTTGTTTATGTTGTCATAGATTAAAAAGAACACATTTCATAATTAATGGTGCTGTTAACTGTCTAATGTCAATGTGATTCTTTGATAACAAATGGGAAATAATTCACGGCAATGTACATCCAAAGGGCGATTCACTGACACCAGAAAGCTCCAAACAACTTGATTCGACGAAACTTTCATAAAAAAAGTTAGTTCCAATTTACAACTAGCATTACCTCTGGCAGATTCTTGCAGAAGAGATAAGCGGGTCAGGGGGCAATTGCTCTGGGGCAAGTAACTCTGGGAGCCAAAATGTGACCGCATACACGTAAAAAGAATGGTATTGTGTCAGTTTGGTCTGCGATCGATAAATTTGTGTGGTGCAAACAAAATATTTATGCACTAGTCATCGTTTCGTAAAAATATCTATGGTCCTATAGTGAATTTTTCAATATATTTTATGATGGTCTTTTCTTTTATATGGTCAAAATTAAAATATCTATGGGTACACTTTTATGACTCCTTTTATAATCACAACAATGAGGGATATTGGCGACCTGGGACAAACCAAAATCATGCCACATCTCCACTGGGCAAATTGTCTTGCATTCAATGCAACAGCTTTTCCTTGATTTTCTTCTTGGTTCTACTAGAATGCTTTTTCTTTCTTTTTCAGTTCGGTGCAGTTTTTGCTAAAATTCATCCAATTTAAGCTACAGTTACTTTAAGAACAGTAAAAAAAAATTAATTCATTCAATAGAAAACGTTACAAAAAATGATAATTAAAGTTAAGTTTAGGCATACTAAATAGGTATGGGAAGTAAAAGTGAGAAAAGAGGAAGAGAGGGGGGCTCCCTCAATAAGCAAGTTGATCGATTGAGGGAAACTCCTACGCCCCTTTTCTTGGTGTTACGAGAAGCAAGTTCCATTATTCCAAAGTCATTGTCTTTGTGGGATAATCACTACTCTACAGTAGATTTTTCTCGCCAACCATAATAAAAAATTTTTATTACCAGCAATGAAAGTCGACTGTGTACGTGGCCTATGCATTCGTCTGAATAAGAATTAAACTGAGACGGAAGGGGCAAGGGGGAAGTTGCCCTTGGGCCGGGCAACACCAAGTGACCATATGTCCGCAGTAGTATTCCAGTGTCAGTTTGAAATTAAATCGACCTTCTTGTGTAGGGCAATGAAATATTCATGTTTAGTCTGCATATGGTCTACTTCCAATCCCAAAGCTTGCTCGATCACCGTCTGCAAACCGAACTAAATGTAGTGGCCATTAGTCATATTTTAACAACATTTGATGAGAGACAACTACTTGCGCCTTAGCCGCTTAAGCTATGGCCCTCAGCGGTCCTAATGAAAGGTGAAATTCACAAAGACAATACATACTTCAATTTCCTGCAAGCAGTGGGAGATGAAATGCACAGAAAAAAATCACATACGGCGTAGGAGCGTCAGGAAAACGCGCTTTTTTCAATTTCTCCTCTCGCTTTAAATAATGAGAGTTGGATCTGTAGAATGTCATTTTGAGAAAGACGATGGGAGTGAGTGTTTTGTTAATGACTGTCTGTCTAACTTATTGTCCAAAACTGCATTAGAGCTTGTAAATAGAAAAATATGACATTCTGATTGAAGTATTGGCATGACTGACGATTGGAGGATCAACTTCATGAATTTAAACAGAATATCACCTGAAAAGCTTTTGTCATACGGAAATCAAATCAATTTTTGTCCTATTCTTTTTTTCCTATTCTATACCTAAGATGCATAATTTCATGAAATAAATTTACATTAAGAAAATGATAACTTTTACCGGTAAGGTATTTGATATTTCATCTCTATTATTTTAATGATGTTTCTCGTTTTCTTTCTTATGAGCCACATGTAGATAATTCTTCGAATATCTCTTTTGAACTCATCAACTTCTGGTCGCCTTCTTCAACAAGAACGACAACATCTCGTAGAATTCTCTCCAATGACGAGACCCTAAAACAAATAAGTTACAGTGTTTTATAATTTTTCACTTGAATATATAAAAAAGTTGTCTTAATATAAACAGTACACAGTGAGACCTGGGCTGGAAATATAATTTAGTTTAACCTTTCGAAATAAAGCTGATTAAAACCATATTCTAAAACCAAGTTATGGTGAAGGAACTTACTCAGCTTCAATTTGAACCAACCCTGAATCTGGGTTTCGATTTCGTTCGACAAAAAGTCTCATCTTCTCTGCCGAAATCTGTAAATAAACGAAGCAGAAGTTTTGAAAAGCTGTGTACTGCTAAATGAGCGAAGCAATTTTGGATGACACTCGCAACAAATTTTGTAAGGTTGGTTTACTTTCATTTACCGTACCCAGAAAACAGCGGCGGCTTCTGGGTGAAATATTTGGTTTCATTGATGACACTTTTTTGCAAAAACCTTTCTGGAATCTAGTTGTCAAGTCACGTGTTATTAGAGAAAGGGAAGAAGCCGGGAAAAGAAATGACGGTAGTGATGATTGAGAGCAAAATGAGTTATCGATAAAAGTTAAATAGAGTTTATAAAGTTAAAAGTTTGATGAAAAAAGAAAACTGCATATATCATGTGTCATTTTGATATTCTCTTCAGTGGTTTGCATGCCTGGATTCTGATAGCTTCGAAACAAAATTTTTCAAGTCCTATCAACATGTGAACATGGATTGCAGGATTCAGAGTTTCAACCATTACACCAAAATTTTGCATTTCCGTTTACAAAGTCGCCTCTTAAGTAAATAAATTCTCGCTTATATCTCGTTCGACGTACATCACGCCGAACTAGCTTGCTAATCAACACCTCAGGTCAGAGCAATGTTTTCGAAAAAAGAAAGAAAGCTCTCGGTTCCCTTACAATATCATTATAAAATAAAAATCTTAGCTTTAAACGCAGTAACAATTCACACATTCAATGGAACTAATGAAACATCTGAAGAAAACAGAATGAGGCAATATCAGTGGTTGTACCTGATCGATCACATGGCAAGCGATCTTCTCGAAGTCATTCGACTCTGCCGCTGCGAGAGTATATCCAATTTTCCCTAAGTCTTGCAATCTGTTTTTGACAGATCTAAAAGCGATATGAAACATTGATCAGTTTAAAAAGTAGACTGGGAAATTGACAGCAGGACAGATCTCTTGATCCATTTCAGTCCTAAGAACAAACTTTCGATGTTCCGTTCAAGGTTCGCCAAGCACTGCCAGTTAGGATGCGGGGTTTTTCAACCTGTTTAATGTGACTGGCAAGGAGGCTGTCACGACACAGCTTCAGAAGTGGCCACTACATCACTCACATTATTATCTTGCAGCATCTTTTACTCAATTAAAAAAAGGTATCTATACAAGAAAACTAGTGCTACAAACCAAAATGATTTCAGTGGAAAAACTAAAGCTGTGTCTTATTCATGATATGTTATCAGGATTCTCATTTCATGAAAACATTTTGCTATCTGGTGAACGAGAATTGCCTTAGTCGTAGGTAAAGCAATCAGAATCAGACACGTCATCAGAGGAAACGCGTAAACAACGATCATATTGGATAAATGAACGAACTTACAAGAACCAGTTGTCAAATTTCAAGTGGAGATCACGACGGACTATTGAAAGACTTTCGACTCTTTCTTTAACTGTATTGATGCAATCCGATATCTGCTGCCTAAAAAGCGATTTGGCAAAACAAACTTCAGGATTAGGGCTTATGCGAGTAGTAGAGGACTCATCCAAGGAGGGGGTGGGGGGGGGGGGTATTGGCGTTGCTCTTACTACGACCAAATAGCATTTAGAAAAACTTATGCAGGTGATAAATTTAATAGTCAAAATTTTATGTCAATTCTATCAGCATCAGAACAAGTCCTCACTCTGGACTAGGAATAAAAGGATCATTTAAGGGGCATATAGAGGGATTTATTTGGTAAAGCTAGTTCGGAGGTAGGGGCTTGTTGGAAGGGGGGATATTCAAATGGAGGCTTTTTTAAAAGGAGGCTTAATCAAAAGGGGAGCGTAATTGAGGTAAAGAAATTAATTCAAAAACTATAGAGGCTTATTCCATGGCATTCACAGCCGTGTTTCATCAATGTTAACATCGGTTGAAATCTGAAAGAACTTACGAATTATTTATGCTTTATTATCAACTATTATATATTGATTATACATTTGGACATTTATACTTTTAGAAAAATAAATTTTAGGATTCTGAAGAAGAAATTACTTTAACAGAAAGAAAACTGGCCATTATCTTAAGCAGATATGTTCAAATTCTCATAGTTTTCAAGCCAAGGAAAG